AAAGAGGGAAAAAATGACATCCAGAAAGTGGTAAAGTAACTTTAGACTTCATTGAAATGAGTTGTTTTGGTTCGAGTGACTAAAGATTATTGATTGATTGGACACTGAGAGATAATGACATTCAGGACGTTGCTGTATTTGTCCGTATTTGCCCCCCAGAAACCACCTCCGTGACTGACATTGAAGACAAATTCACATCGCTTAAACTCTTTTCCAGCTCCAGAAAGTTTTGATGTTTTAAAGACGTTTCCTTAAACACAGAAATGTATTCTGGGTTGTTTTGAAGTCGAAGAGGTTCTCTTGCTGTTGCTGACCCTGTTCAGTCCGGCTGCTGGGCTCTTTTAGTGTTTGTCTACAATGATTTATTTATAGGTGTCTATGTTTGGGACTCTGGGTTGTTTTTCACTCTCTCCTCTAGGACAGAACGGTTATGTTGGGTGACCGCGGACATGCTGTTCACCTTCTGTTTTAGCTTCCTGAGTCTGATGAACAAACACCTGAAATTCTGTCCTCAGGAAAGAACCAAAACACCCCAGACTTCATCAGACGTGGACTCTGTTAGACCTCTGAAGGTGAGCTGTGGGATCTCACACCTAAAGGCTCGCAGCAGTGAGGGGTGTGAGGTGGGGCCTCCGTGGATCAGACTTGGTTTCTCAGCACATCCCACAGAGGTTTGACTGGACGGAGGTCTTTCTCCGGGTTATCTGGTCCAGCTCAGGCACCTCCTGCAGAGACCAGAATGTGATGCAGTGTGTGGTTTCACACCTTAGCGGCTGTCTCTCACCGTGTGCATCATCGAGACCCTGGTGCTGGTTCACACTTTTGGTGGAAGCTGACCCCTTTGGACCTGGACACCTGACAAGAACTCTGACCCAGTTGTGGCCCCCTTAGTGTCATGGCTGGTTGGTGTATGTCTTGTTGAACAGATCTATTGTTTTACGACTGAGCTTGAGCTTCATCCGGCTGCATTAAAGCGATGTTAAACTAATTTGGACGTCTGTGTGGCGTTTGCAGCGATTTAACAATGACATTGGCATCTGTCTTCCAAAGAAGTTGGTCACGTGGATCAGATCCTTGAGGCGTTGGAGAGACACACACTCTTTTGATTTCATTAGTCATTCATCACACACGGCTGCCTCTCACAGGAACCACACACAGGCAGATGAGGTATGAAACGAGCCTCACATAGATCTCCACCGTCCCACCGTTCCCAGCATCAGAGCGGCTCCGGCTCGCTGCAGACGGCCCGGTGAGGCTGAAGCGAGTCTGGCAACCTGACAAGAAACTGCGGAGCGGTTTTGCGCTGCCCCCCCCTCCCTGAATGCCAGCACCACCGCCCCCCTCATGCAGCAGGACATGAGAAGTCAGTCTGTGCTGCTGCATAAGGAAGCAGTGTTCACTCCAAACCAGTGACCACCTCTCCCTCCTCCTCCTCCTCACTCTCTCGCCACCTCTCCAGCATCCAAAAGTCTCTTTTTTACACCCTTAAATTATGTAATACCTTCACAGAGATATATCTGTCGCAGATTCAATGGGCTCACTATCGCTGATGCACCACAAATGACTCTTTGTCTGCGTTCAGTTATATTTAGCGTAAAAGGAAACAGAGTCGGTTTAAAGCCGAAACATTAGACTCGTAACAATGTCGGCAGGGAAATGAACACGGACACCTTCAGAAAGGAGCTTTTGAAACACGCGTGCTGTGACCAGTTTAGCTCCGAACCATAAATCAGGTTAGAAAATAAACAGGAAACTTTCCTTCATTGAGTTTGAGGGAAACGTTGAGTTTGTTACGTCGGATAAAAAGGTGAACGGGTTCACTGAGTGTCAGTCTGAGTTACTTTCTCTTTTTCACTTCAGTCTCTTTGTTTAAATTCATTTTGTAACCTTTTAAAACCCGTTGGAAAGACTTTAAACAACCCCAAACTGTCATCTAGAGTTAACTTGTCCTGTGGGGTGCCTCAGAGCTCGTTTCTAGGACCACTTCTGTTTTCAATCTAGACAGAATGATGCTCCTAGGGCAGGGGTTGGCAACCCGCGGCTCTGGAGCCGCATGCGGCTCTTTCTTCCCTAAGCTGCGGCTCCCAGTGGATTTGGAAAATAAATAATAAATACTTAATTGCATTTTATTTTATTTTATTATTTATTTTATTTTTTTGTAATTCTAAATTCAAAGATTATAATGCTCTTGTAACATTAAATAAACTATTAAGGCTGCAACAACGAATCGATTAAGTCGATTCGTCGTGACGAAAAAATCCGTTGCCAACAAATTCTGTAATCGATTCATCGGGTCTTTATATATGTCCATGGACACCGGCGTGTAAACATCAGCAGGACGCACAGAAAAGAAACAGCCATGGCCGAGGCAGCGGCTGAGAAAAACATGGACACAACCCATGGTGTGGGAAAACTTTACCAAGACTGAAAAGGAAGGCGTTCAGTGCAACATTTGCAAAGACCGTTTTGCATGGCTCGGGAGTACATCGATGATGCGTGAGCACAGGGCTCTCAAGTCTCACGCATTCAGCATATGACACACGCATTCCCACTCGTTCACACGCTCACACACCACACATTGTATTTCTCACGCATTTAAATGAACACGGTGATGTCCACCAAGTTGCACTTCTTCAACTATGGAACTGGGGGAAATCAACTGAGTTCCTCCGAGAGTTCAGAAGCTGCGTGCCACGCACAAGCCAATCAAATAAAGTATATCTACTGAACAGCCAATCAAAAAGCAGCATTGCTGTATCCGGGTAGATTTTGATATCTTGCGGTTTAACTACAGAGGAAGACAGACACTCGCCGAAATAGTTCATTTATTTCATAAATGCAACTCGCTACAGTTTTTTATATACTTTGTATAAAGGTAAAAAAAAAAAGATATTTGCAATGTTATCTTCATTTTAGATGTCAAAGAGGTTTTGTGGCTCCCTGTGTTTTCTTTTGTGTGGGAAACTGGTCCAAGTGGCTCTTTGAGTGTTTAAGGTTGCCGACCCCTGTCCTAGGGCATGTGATCCATCGATACAACATTGTTTTTCATTTTTTTGCTGACGACACCCAGCTCTGCTTCTCTTTTTATACCAATGACACCCAGCTCTTCCTCTCTTTCTATACTGACGAAATCTAGCTTTAACTCTCTTTTTATGCTGATGACACTTAGCTTTACCTTTCTTCTTATGCTCACAACACCCTTCTTTACCTCTCCTTTTACCTGTGACAATCCGGTTCACATCTCCTCTCTATCTTCTAAACCAAACTCTCTTCCTTCTGTCCCCAAAAAACCCTGAAGTTTCACTTTTCATTACAAGAAAAGCTGTTTCAATAAATAGATAAAATCAACAGTCCAAGTCCCGCCTCTGACAAGTCAACCAGCCAATCACAGTCCAGGAATGTAGGGCGGCATCCAGACACCTCCTTATAATGCACCATTTAAAGGACATCGCTCTGTTTATGACACAAAAATAAGACAGTTATTGTGTTTTAATTGGATAACTTCAGTAAAACTCTCTGCATGAACTCTTCCAGGACATAAAGTAGATCTTGCAGGAACTAAATCTGCATCATAAAGTACTTCTAGTGTAGTTTTACTGTTATTAAAGGTCCTGTGTTTTCTGTGCACCTGCATGAGCATCAGTGAGACTCTGCAGACCGTCTGATGTTTGTGTGAATCAGAGCATCGCTGAAGCATCTTCACCAACTCAGAGCGTAACTGTTTAAACATTAACAAGTGTGTTAACGACAGACACACAATGAGAAGGAGGAGATCAGCTGTTCTCTGTCAGAGCAGATCGTGAATAAATGAATTTAAAGGTTTATATTTAAAGAGGGAGAGAGAGAGAGAGAGAGAGAGAGAGAGAGAGAGAGACGCATTAACATCCATAAAGAAGCCATTCACCTCCACCGAGAGGCTGTAAAGAGAAAAATGCAGCCCTCCCACTTGATACACTGTGAGAGGCTGTGTCAACACACACACACACACACACACACACACACACACACACACACACACACACACTCTGCTGCCTTTCCTTAATGGACAGCAGGAGGAGATGCTCAGCCAGGACTTGTTGAAAGAAGGCCTTATTAGAGAGGCGCACGCACGCAGGCATGCACGCACGCACACACACACACACACACACACACACACACACACACGCACACACACACACATAAAGAAAGACAGAAAAGGAAGCGTGTTGTCAGATCATTTTTAAGATACTAATTTTTGTCAAAAGGATGAAAACAGTATTATTAATGAACCGATGTAATCGTCTCTGACTCACAGAGCCCCCTGCTGGTCAATAACACAAACTGCAGGGTTTACTGCAGACAGGATATAAAACCTGAGGCCAAAATTTTAGCATTTTCTGGACATGCATTTAACGGATTGTGTCTTTATTTTGTTAAAGACAAAATCTAGACAAAAGGCTTTGTAACTGCATATATATATTATATTTATATATATATATATATATGTATATATCATATATATTATTTTTACTCTAAAGTTTGAAGCGCTAATGGTGTGCTGCCCCCTACAGGAAAGAAAGAGAAGTAGGTTCAGACAGTGTCCAGAAAGAGGACAAATCCAGACAGTGTCAGGACCGAACTGTCGTGTCTGTTTGGTGTTTGATTTAGTTTTTCTGAGCAGCTTATAAATGTCTGTGTTTATCGTAAAAATCCTTTATGAAGTGTAATTATTGAAAAGACTCAAAAACAACAAACATAAAAATCTACAACTGTGTGAGGAAAAAGGGTTTTAATTCAGGATATCAATACAACCTTTTGTCTCATTTATGGTGAGAAAACAGCCGATTACTGCTGGTTTGAGGTCTCAGGTGAGCGCTGCACATCTCCTCCTGTTGATAAAGAAAAAAAAAGATCTAAAGCTCTTTTACTGTAAATCATTTTAGAAACAACTCTTTATAATTTTTCTAAACTCAGAGAGCGAGTCAAAAGAAGCTCCGAGAGAGACGTCGGAGACTCACTCTTTAACATTTGTAGAGCCTGTTCAGTCTGGCGATGTCGTTCTTGCTCATCTGGTTGGCCGTGCCAAACTCAACGTTGGCGTTGGGGATGGGCGCCATCGTGGGCTTGTTGTTACCTGAGAAGGCATACCTGGAAAAACAAACAGAGTAAGAAAGTTCAAATAATTTAGATTTAGTAAAAAGTAGAAATGAAAAGTATTTTAAAGTGTGATTGAAGGGTCAGATCAGTTAAGAAAACATTAACGTTGACTTTGAATGAGCGCTTATGAGTTTTATAAGGTCATGCCATTTATTGTATTTTTACGATATGGGGGAAAAAAGGTCATTAAAAAGGGACGTGGAAAAACTAGATGGATTTTCAGAAAGTGGAGTCCGTGATTTTAAGAAACGTCAAAGAGACCGACGCTGACCTGTGGTACTGCATGATGGAGTTGTAGTCGTAGGGGGTGTTCTGGTTCAGAGTGTTGATCTTGTCGAAGGCGTACTCCCAGCCTGAGAGGAAGACAGACGTTCGGTCAGCTGCACTTTCAGATTTCTAAACTTCAAACATTCGATGATTTTGTTTTTTCGTTAGAGTCCAGACCGGACTGGATGTTCTCCCACAGGATGCGGATGTGCTGGTCTCTGTCAGAGCGGCACTGCTCGTGGTTGAAGCCGAGGGCGTGGAGGAGCTCGTGCTGGACGGTGCTGTGGTAGAGGCAGCCCTGACGGTCCAGAGACAACGTCTGGGAGTAACCACGGCGACCCACGTACGAGTAACAACTGCAACCAAATTGATTCACATTATTTGTGAAGTATAGTGTCTGTTTGGGTCGATGAGGTGCAGATAGTCGGCAGGGAACCTCACCCGCTGTCGGACTGGATGTTGAGGTAGTCCCTCTGGCCGCTGCGTTTGACAAAGCGGATGCAGGAGACGTCGGTGAAGGAGGTCAGGCCGCGCTCGATGATGGAGCGCTCACGAGAAGCTAAAGAGATGAAGACACGGTTAGTTTGCTGAATGCTTACAAACACGCTAACACACAACAGGTTCACCAGCTTCTCTGCAGATCATGTTCATCTGTGTCAACTTTGGCGCCCCCCTGTGGACAGAGCAGGCGTTAATATGGGTCTAGCTTACGTCAAAAAACTGCTCACTGGAGATTTAAGTCATTTTTTTTTTAGATGCAACGATCTGCTGACAAGTTATCGACCTGGGAAATTCCAGTCTGTGTCTGGACTCACAGGATACTGATAACCCCCTTACAGGACTACAGCGGCTCAGCAGAGTCCCTCCTAAAAAAGTCTCCTTTCTTTTAATTTTAGGTCACAGTAACAGCTTAAAGCCCCTCTTAGTGGGTCCTAAAGGGCTGTTTGGTCACTCACAGTAATGTCCCGCGATGACATAAGGCACGTAGACTTTCCCATCGGCCGATTTTCCCCACATGCAGCCCCTGGAGGTGCAGGGATCAGCGTTTCTCTCGTTTTCGTTGTCGTAGGCGATGTCGTCGATGACCAAAGGCTCGTCCTTCCTGCGCACTGCAGGAGAAAAGACATTTAGACCCTAAAGTGACTGAACGTTTGACTGTTTTTATTAGACTCTTGTTCAGACGTTTTTGTCTTACCCACGTCCTTGTTGGCCTTCCACAGAAGCTCAGAGACGGACGGTTCCTGGATCAGAGACAGGTGATCACTCACAGTGAACTGACTCTCTGCTCATGAGAGGTCTGTATGGAGGCCCTCAGTGGACACAATCAGTGGATCTTATTTTCTCCATAATACTGATATTACTAAGTGATTTTGGAGTGATTTTGGACTCACTTGAACAGTTTTCTCTTTCAACATTTAAGCCTGTTTTTTATTGTCCAAAGGTATTTTTAAGGTGGTCTACAAAATACTGCAGACTGGTCGCTGTGAAGGTTACAGATTATGACCTGTTATCCTGTCTATTCCTCCTTTAATGAGTGAGGTTAATCCTAATTTCAACTCTGGGGTTGGGACTATGACCACCTGACATAAAGCCCAAAGAAAACATCTGAATTTAAGTCGTAATCACAGCAAGAAAAAGAGTAAATAAACTGTACTGCATGGTTGCTGGTCCTTTCTGCTTTTGTTTATTATAAAAAGACATTAAACTAAATTTCAGTCTTTTCCTTTATTTAAAAAAAAAAACTCTTCACATAAGCTTCAAATGATAAAACTACAAAAGGAAAAGAAAAAGAACAGACTGGTGAAAAAGCGAAAGGTGAAGTTTACAAGAAATCTGTCTGTCTGTGTTTTTTATAAGAGTTAATTTTTTTTTCTATTGGCCCTAATCCTCTTCCGTAGAGTTATCACAGATTAAGCCTGTTTGTAAAAAAAATAACTTCAGAAAATAAACTTAGAAAAATGAAAAAATGATTTTTGTGTTCACGTCATTTTAATTCGACAGATAAACAGACAGCAGGAAGTTAAGATCAGTACAGTGTTTTTTATGGGGGGACAAAATGTTTGAATTTTAACAGTTTTTATTCATTATTAAAGTTTATGTTTTTAAAAAAGTAATTAAATTTAAGTTAAAACCATGCAGCTATAAAAACATTCATTTTAAGTGGCTCCCAGTGCCATATTTAGTCTATTTGATAATTATTCAACATTAATAAATACTGACATCAGTGTCAGAGTTGGTTCAGCTCACTGAATTGTCTTCTGGTGTAAATCTGTATTTCCATGTGAGTCTTTTTTAAAACCGTCACTATTATTAAAAACATTTACCAGATTTTTATTCTGTCTCATGATAAGAAAAGTTCACAGTTTAACTTTAATATAATCGATGTCTGGCACATTAAAAAATCTCCAAAATGTCATGAACTCACTCTTTTCTGCAAACATTTTAATGCTCACAGACGTATTTCTGCAGACTCTCATTTCCTCTGTATCTACAAACTCCGTAAATTTCTCTCCGCTCTCATCTGCCACTAAACTAACCTGTCTCTATACTTCCGATCTTCTCCTTCTGAAACCCTGAGCAGAGATACTTTAAAGCCTCCTCACCTTCTCCTCGGCCCAGGAGCAGTCAGAGATCAGGAGGAGGGCGAGGACGCCCAGCGTGAACTTGAAGACAGCCATGTTTCAGCCTGCAGGTGAGCGGTTGGAACACCTGGATCCTGCTGCGGTGGACGTTTATAACCTTCACATCTGTAGAAAAAACAAAAAACAACACTGCCACCGTGCTCTATGATAAGACACATATCGCCTTGAAAACATGCTGCTGATTCCCACCTAAACTTGGCCGAGTGAAATCTGCTTGTTGATGCAGAAACTTCAGGGAGACATCATGGGAGTGAAAGCTGAGGAGACACCTGCTCAGAAAAGTCTGATTCAGAACTGATGAACGTGAATAAACCAGCGTCAGAGAACCAGAGAGCTGACTTCTGTTCAGGAAACAGGAAGAGGAGGCCTCTCTGGTTACAAATGACTGTTTTATATTTTCATTTTAATGTTTTTCTGTCTGTTTATTACTGTTTGCAAAAGCCCTCGAGGAAAATAACAAAACTTTCAACATTAAAAAAATAAATTGAGGTCGCTCTTTTCAGTTTTTAAACAGAGGTTTCGGATTATTATCGTGCAGATTTATGAATCATAAACGGTCAAGTTGAGCGAAAGTGCAGACACAACAAAAGTGCTCATGTGTGAAGAGGAATTAAAGGGTTAAACTTTGTGACTTAAAGAAATCTAAAAGAACGTTTTTGTTATTAAGAGTGAAACTGTTCATATTGACAGGATCAAACTTTTCTCATAATCAGTAAATGTGAAGTGAAATATTTCAGGTTGGAGACAAAAACTCCAGAGCTCCTCTTCAGGGTTCAGGTCACGAGGGTCGGCTGCCTAACCAAGTACAACGGGAAAACCAGGGTCAGGAAACCAGTTTCTGGTCGTTTTGGGCAGGAGCTAAATCCTGCTGAGGAAAAATAACAGCACCGCCCACAACGCCAGAACGCCTACCAAACTGCTGACCATAATTTAGTAAGGTAACAGCAGTGATATCAGAGTCAGGAGACCGGTTTCTGGTCGTTTTTGGTGCTGCTGGAAACAGAAATTTGGATCTCCAGAAAACTTCTCTACAGGAAGACGAAGCAGGAAGGTCTCGAAAAACCTCCTGGTGGACTTCAGACTGACGGCAGCAGAGTAACATGAAACCCTGAATCATCTCTGATTTCCAAATGAGATGCTTCAATCTGAAAACAGGACTCTGACCCAGTTTCTTCTTGGTCCAGGTGAGACTCGTGTGACGCTCTCTCTGGACCAGGACAGTCACCTGGACTTGTCTGAGTGTCGAGGCTCTTGGTGCTCTGAGTCCAGTCCCTCTGAAGACCCCCTAAGGTCTTGGATCCCTGCTGCCTGGTCTCCTTTTTTCACTCTCTTCAATAATTGATGAAAATACTGAACTGATATTTAGAGCTGCACCACCTGCAGTATAAAGAGTGTTTACCTGAGAAGTCCACGGTGTCAGGAGTTTAAAGTCCCTAATCTGACTCAGATTCCACACCCACAGTGACAGAGAGGAGCGTTCACAGTCGAGACATAAACAACATTTATTCAGACATTAATAAGAGCAGCAAGACGACGACAGGTAAAAGTACAATCAGGTGCAGAGAGGTTTAGGAACCTCTCGATATTTTCATCATTTAAAACATGTAATACTCTGCTCCAGTCACGACCTCGCTCATCCAGACTCTTCACTGGATTTCTTTCTGCAGCTTCTGACGACAGAAACCCGGTTTGTTCCAGAGAGAACCAGACCCAGATCTCCGGGAAGCTCCAGATCAGAAGGACAGATTGATGAGCGGGGCGTTGTTCTCCCTCTTGTCTTCTGGACTCCACTTGATGAGCGGAGAGCTCAGGTCGATCAGCTGACGACAGACGGGTTGAAAGGTTCACTTTAAGAAACTTAGACAGACACTAAAAGAAGAAGATGTTTCCGAGCAGAAGCAGAGACCGGTACCTGAGAGTTGGAGCAGGTCTTGGTGTTGGTTCGGATCAGGTCAGGGGTGTTGGTCAGGTCGATGAGCAGCTTCTCTTGGGGTTGGAGAATCGGAGCGGGAAGATCTAACAGAAGGACCTGAAGAAGAAAACAAAGAGAGAGAGGGTGAGGAGGAGGAGGAGGAGGATGAAGCTCTTAGAGACGGAAACATCCACTCAGGGTGCGTCTGTCTGTGACCTCTGACCTCTTGTGGCTTGCTGCTGCTGCTGCTCTCCTCCGTAGACCCCAGTTCGATCAGGTCTCTGTTGGGCTCTGGTTTGCTCTGAATGGGTTCTGATACAGGCTCGGGGCTCTCTGATTGGTCAGACTGAGGAGGGCTTGGAGGTGGAGGAACGGTAGATGTCTCCTCCTGCTTCTCCTCCACCACCTCCTTCTCCTCCACCTCCTTCTTCTTCTCCTCCTGCTTTTCCTCCTCCTCCACCTCCTTCTTCTCCTCCACCGTCTTCTCCTCCTCTTCCAAGCAGAAAGGCTGAACTTCAGGAGCGACAGGCAGCTCCACCTCCTGAGCGTCTGCAGAGACGGGGCTGCACACACAGAATCATGAGACCTCCATAAAGGGCTGTTTCACCATTTTCATCATTTAAAACATGATAAGAAACTTTGATAATATTCTCTATATTCTATAACTCAAACATTTTAAACTCTTTCACCTGCAGCATCTCTCCGTCCTGGCCGCACTGGAGCAGGGGGCGGGGCCAGAGTCAGCGATGGTTAAAGGTCTGGAGGGCTGGATCCTATTGGTGGGTGTGGCAGGTGGAAGGGCGGACATCCGGCGCTTCACAGGGGTGGGGAGGGCGGAGGGACGCCTGGTTTTCATCTGCAGTGACCTGCCGCTGCCAGTAGAGGGCGTTAGAGGACCGGCAGAGAGCTTTGAAGGAAGACTAAGAGAGAGAAAGGAGTTTTATTAAACAAATGTAGTAAAACGTCAAAAACAAAAACTTTAGCTGAAACCTCATTAAGCTGCTCCACTTTCTTTAAAGCACACACTGAAGATGTTTCCTGCTCAGATCTGATAAATGAGTCGCTTCAAGTTTGAGCTGCACGTCAAATTAAACCCAAACTCTGTGGAGAACCTGTCAGGCCTCCAGCTGGATTATTATTTTGAGTCTTTCAGCGACATCAGTCCTACAGTTTTTTTCTTTGAAACTCAGAACTTCAGGTCGTCAAATCCTCTTAGCTTTGTGCACTTGATATAAAATGACTCGGATCCAGATCGTCTGTTCATGAGGACTTGATTGCTTTTGTCTGCAGATACAAACACATCCTCTTAAAGGTGATGGTGTTTGACTCTGCTTTGGGACGTCATGTTTTGATTACAGATTAAAGTTAAAATTTACACTTTCAGCTCAAATTAATCTGACTATAGTATAGGGCTGGGCGATAAACCGAAAATTTACAGATATCGAAATTTATGACAATAACCGACGTCATTTTGCCCATATTGGTATATTCAAAAAAATAAATAAATAAATAAAAGTTGGTTTTGGATGTGTGTAGGTAGGCTAAGGTCTCATGTCTCTTTAAGACACTGTCCTACATCAGAGACAGGTGAGGAGATGGAGGACGGTTCAAAAGTTGTAGCGAAGAAGTAGACGAAGTTAATGTGGGAGGGGGTGAGCAGCTTGTGGAGTAGTTATCGTCCATTTATCGTTATTGAGGTGAACTGATCAATATATCGTGATATTGAGTTGAGGACATATCGCCCAGCTCTACTAGAGAGTACAGGTGACCTCAGTGACGGTGGTGTAGTGTGGGGTCCTCTACCTCTCCACGCTGCTGGTTGACGTCAGCCTCTTTGGCTTCACTTTTGAAACGTCTGGAGACGAAAGAAAAAAAAAAACAAGTCAAATACAGGAAGCGAAAAACTAAATCTTCAATAAAAAACTTAAATATCAGATTTGGTAAACTTATAGGGGCTCAACTCTAAAGTTGAAAACGATTCACAGGTTGTTTTTGGGGACATCAAACAAGCTACACTGCTCAAAGTCCTGAATTTGACTTTTACTCGACTTGGATACTTGCTCCTCGTGAAGAATAAAAGAGTAAGAGCAGAAAATACTAAAAACTTCACAGATCAGAAATAGGTCCAATAAAAACATCATGAAAAATTCCGACACATTTCTGCTGTCTTTCGTCGAGTCTCTAAATCCACATTAGCAGCTCTAGTTTTTCATACTCAAGTGAAAAATGTCTCTAAAGACCGTTTTTGGATGAAGGTTTTACGATGCAGCTCCTCTAACTGTTTTTCTCTGAACTCAGAGTTTTCTCAGATTTTCGGTTGGAAAAGAAACAAACAGCTTTTAAACAGACCGCTCTGACGTGAATCTCTCACCGTCTCTCTGGGCGCTGCCTCTAAAACCGCCGCTGAGCGTCGGCAGGACCAGAGCCTCAGGTTTAGGTTTCGTCTTCAGTCCGCTCTGCAGCCGGGTGGAGTTAGCAGCGATGGAGGTGGTCCTCTCTGCCGCTCTCTTGGCGGGCGTTGTCTGAACGGGCGTGGTCTCGGCTCTCTTCAGCGGCGTTGACTTTGTTGTTGTTTTGCTGCGGTCCGCCTCTGAGGGCCGCCTCACCTGGGTGGAGAGGGAACGGCGGCCGGCGTTGGATGGCGCCGGTGGTGCAGGGCAGTACATACTAGAGCGGGTCGACCTCTGATTGACAGGCTTGCCTACGCTGCTGGGGGCGGGTCCAGTCGTACCGCTCAGACTTCGGTTTAAAGAGGAGTTGAGTTTACCTGAGGAGGGACCCGACACTGAAAATAAACACAGAGAAAACTAAGTGACGAGGCAAACAGCCAATCAGAGCCCAGGAGATCAACTGTAGACAGACATATGGTCTAAGTTTGAGCATGAAGAAGCTGAGATGATACCTTTAGCAGGAGACAGAGACAGGCTAGAGTTAAAGCTGGACATGGATGATGAGGACGAGGACGTGTTCTTCCTGTCCGTCACCCTCCTGGTCTGGAGAGGAGGAACTTTCACAGCCGACAGGTTCCTCGTCAAACCCTGAGATGAGAAAACAAGATCAGTCGCAGTCTTTACAACGACAACAAACCGATGGATAAGGTGTTGTCTAAACTTTGCTCTGATAAATTCATCATCATCTTCAAACAGGTGTGTTACCTTGCTTGGCGGGGCCATGTTGCGTTTTCCCAGCAGACTGGAGTTGAGGGAGGAGTCGCTGATGTCCGAGGCCACGCTCGCCGAATCGGAGAGCAGATCCTCACATGAGTCTGCCCTGCTGGACGGACGAGAAGACGGACTTCGCTTCCAACTCCCCACCGCCTCAACAGGAAAGAAAAACAGCGAACATCAGTATAATCATTCGTTAGAGTCAGAGACAATCAGAGGAAGGTGAAGGATCCTGGAAACACGTAAATTCATTCGCTCCACTTTCAGGCACCTTGTCTCCTACTTTACTCGGTGGTTGCAGTCTGGATTTCTCGGCTCTGCTCTTGCTCGCTGAAGCCGTCGGACCGGCCAGTTTGCTCGGGAGCACCACTCCCAGCGCCGCCCTCCCCCGCAGCCCCGACTTGGGCTGAGTCTTGACCCCGACGACAGGGCTGGAGGTGCTGAGTCTGGCAGCAGGGCGGGTGGAGGAAGCGTTGGAAGTAGTGCGGTTTGATGCGGCTGCGCTTGTAGGACGGATGGACGGGGTGCTGGCAGAGCGGGTGGATGAGGCTGCGCCTGCACTGCTTCCTCTCAGCAGGCGGCGCTGAACAACAGGTGGCAGCTCCTTCATGGGACTGTCCTGCACTAAGAAGGTCTGCCGTTTGATGGGACTGAGCGCGCTGTTGGTCTGAACGAGCACGCCCAGTTTGGCTTCGGCGTCCTGGAGGAACTCCTCCCTGCCGTTTGTGGCCTCAGCGGGCTCTCCGTCCTCGTCGTGCGGCTGACACAGTTCGCTGCTCTGTAACTGGTTGGCTAGTTTGTGAGCCTCCTGACAAACAGCCTCCAGCTGATCTCCGCTCAGGGGGCTCCAGCTCCCCCTCACAGTGTCGCTAACCTCAAGGAGAGACGCCACATTGACAGATATGCATTTCTCCTTATGGCTGAGAGGACCTACAAACACCTCATCTTCATCTTCATCACCTTTGGAGCTGCAGAGCAGAGAGAAACAACGAGGCTGAGTGGAGCACAAACAGATGACATACAGAGATCCTTCTGTCACAGTGATACACACGCAGCTTTAACACTCTGAACTCCGCTGGACACCTCTGAACTCACTTTGTTTTACCATTAAATGAGTTTTTGTTGTTGTTGCTTTAATGTTGCTGCTGTCCCATGTCTCTCTCGCTCACCCTCATTCTCTACTCTCTCTCCCTTACTCATTCTCTCTCTCTCTCCCTCTGCCCTCTCCCCCTATCTCTGTATTCTTCCACAACCCAGCAGCGGCCTGGTGGCTGTCTAGCATGAGTCTGGTCCCACCCAAGGTTTCTGCCTGTTAAAAGGAAGTTCTTCCTCGCCACTGTCACTCATGTTAAATGAGATCGGCCAAATCCCATCTTAGGTTGGTTCTTGATAATTCATCAAACAATGATTGTGATCTAGACCTGCTCTTGTTCTTTGGAAAGCATCTTGGGATGACGACTGTTGTGAATTGGTGCTATATAAATAAAATCTGATTGATTGATTGAGATCGCCGGCGATCCCACGTGACACCATTAATATAGTTTACAGTTTCTCAGGAACTATACCGTGTATCTTGTTCAAAATCTTACCCTTTTGGCGATCTATCGAGGGTTTCCAGACATTTCTACACCTGCCACAAGGTTTACAATCCAGCCTCAAAAATAGGTGTTTGATCAGAGACGTTTGATGGTAAATCCACAGTGATATACCGGTGAAAACAGGATTATTTATCAGATTGTTGTGATTAAAAAAGATCCCTAAATGCCGCTAATGTCTTCCAGGTTTGACAAGCTGTTTTGATGATGTCTTTTTCTGTCAAACTTTCAGTAATTACATGGTCTCATATTCTTCTTCTATTCTTCCCTTGACGGTAGTGTTCAATAAGAGACAGTAAAAGTTCCCTGTTTGTCTGCAAAATACGAAATAATGGTCCTCAATGTTTGGAAACAAGTAAAGAAGAGATTCTGAGCAGTATGATGTGGTCCTCTGTCTCATCCCAGACAGGAACTGCTTCAAGAAGTGACATAAAACAAATAAATAAATATGTCAATAGTTTCTGTTGTGTGTTTGTTCCAATCCTAATATTTCCTCTCCTGATAGCCAAGACTTGAGAGAATTATGTGCAGGTGAGAAAAGGCTTGGTCACTGTAGATTGATGTGTTTTTTTGAGCAGTATTTGTTTTTTGGTTGACCTAGATGTTTCTGAATCTACTGTCACGTTCATTTTACATCATTTTTGCTCCATAAACTGACAGCTGAGGTTGTCCTGAAAAAAAGGATGTGTATATATTTGCTGTGCTTGAAATGATCCAATTGTGAGTTTTCGGTGTCAATCATCACAAGTTTGCTGGTGTTTTCATGTTTCTCTCTCTCTCTCTCTACAGTCTCGTGGAGTTTTACAGAAACCTCCACGTGCCTCTTACCTGGCAGGTGACAGAGAAACGTCAAAGTCGAATTTCTCATCCGGCAGAAAGAACAGATCTGTTAATAAAGGTTAATAAAGGAGGTTAGAGTGTGAATGACAGTGAATAAAGGCTGAATCAGAGGATGTTTACTGACCTCTGTTAGCAGTGAAGTCCATCCCGCTGTTCGGAGTTTACAATCGGAACCAGACTGACCCGTATCAGACCTGTGGAGGGTCATTTCAGCTGTGTCATCGATTTATAGTTAAAAATTTTCACATAGTTACCCCTAAAGAGATAATCTAAATATGATATGTAACAGTAAAAGGTCAGGCTACCTCAGACGTTAGCTTGTTGCTCATAGGGCACCAGTCAATAAAGTTAGCGTCGACCCAACTGTTCACAATGAGCTTTAAATTCAGATTTGACGGTGGAGTTTTGTCCATTCAAAAGCTTAATTCACTCAAAGTATGATTTCAAATAAAACCACAAACCTCAAACCTCCCGAAACAACTCTTAATTCTTATTTTCTTCTCCGCATTCAAACGGCGACACGACAACACAACCAGCAAACAATTCAAATCTGCTGCGCTGCTGGTCACGTGACTCCAACAGATTCAGCCATTGGTTGGAAGATTATGACGGAAGCTCAGATAGAGTGCTGGGGATTGTAGTCCGGATGTTTACAAATGGTAAAAGCGACGCTAATCCGTTTAGTACGGCTTGATACAAATACTATTACTCTCATAATACACTGACTTATCATGTTTTTGTTTGTTTTACTTATACATACATATATTTTTTCCCCGATTTTGTTTTGTTTTTATCCTGCTGTTTTCATTTATTTCTTATTTAGTGTAAATATTGATACAGTATTTGTATTCGTTGAATGTCTACTGTGTTTCACTGGTGCTGTTTTTTAATTTTTTTCTCTGGGATTATTAAAGTATCTATCTATCTATCTATCTATCTATCTATCTATCTATCTATCTATCTAACTAATAGAAAAGTAAAATAATAGAATTTAATTGTAAATTTGAATAGTTCAAGTTGTAACACAAGTTTTGTGATTTTTCTAGATAAAGTAGTGTTAATAGCTTTAAATTTAGAGGCATGAATATGAACGGAACTGGAGGTGAATGGACTCGTTAAACGGAGTCCAGTGGAAATCAGAGCATGGTCTCCCTTTATCCACTAGGGGGCGCTGTCTCTGTCCATCAGATTTACTTGAACCAGACAGGTCTGTGAACTGGAGGATAATTAGAAAATAATCTGACGGTCTTCTTCTTCCTAATTACATATTAACCATGATAATATGACTCTCTATTATTCCAAAAGTATTAAAAACATCTTAAACCTCAGGCAACAAATGTACAAACTAAATATTTAACCACCATTTCCTTAAAAATACTATTTCTAGGTCAGTGTTTCCCTCAAAACCCCAAACAAAATAAGAGGAAACAACCTTTATGACTTTCATCTTTATTAATCAAACTCATGGAAAACGCCGGAACAAGAGTTTGTTAACATGTGAATTGATCTTCGTTTTAAATAGAAAACTCAAATTAAATACTTTCTCCTCTAGAATTCACTGTGAGTTTAAATATGTTATAAAAAAACAAAAACCTAAAAATTCTTAGATTGAGTGAATTATCCCAGTCAGCCCGTTAGAAGTAAAACAGCTGTCTGTGGTCCTGTGTGAGATGTTCAATAAGATCAAGCTGGAGTCTAAAGGACTTACAGAGTGGACACCAGTCTGATTTACTGAGACTTGAGACTCTATGAAGGTGAGCTGAAGGACGCTCAGTCATAGATGAGGATGACTGACTGAGTTTTTAAAGACATCTGATCACAAAGTTCTTTTTCTTTTGTGCCAAAAACATCCTGCACTGTTATGTTTTTTTTTTTTAATCTTTTAATAATCTTTGGTTTAACATCTTTTGAAACAACAAGAGTCTAAAACATTTTCTTTTTTACAAAAACACTAGAGTCCAACAATAAAGATGTAACTTAAATGTCTGTCTGTCTACAAAGATAAAGCTGACTGAATCTAAACACTTCAGTCACAGAATCTAAAAGTTTAACCTTGTCACAAAACTAACCTGAACTCGTCAAACCAGCGTCCTGTGAGCTCTGTCTACGTCTGAACATCAACATGAATATTTACAGATTTAAAACTGATAATTGATCGACAACCTCACAAACACTCATCTCCTAAACAACAACAGTAGAGTCCATGTCTATAAGAGTAAAGAAAGAATCATCAGTCTGTGCGAACATGCCTTTGCTTTGTGCACAAACACAAACACTCCCGCCAACATCTCCGCTTCTTCAAAACCGGCGGGTGAACTCCTGACAAGAACCAATCAGACGAGTCTCTTTGTAGATTTCTTTGGATTTGACTCTCAGAACAAACAAACAGTACAAACAGACCTCTGTCACAGGAAGTGATCAGGTCTGGGGGGTGGGGCCTTAGAGTGAGGTCTCCAGACTGTGTAGGGGGCTTCCAGGACAAGGCGGCAGCGTCGCTGAGTTGCCCGGCAACAGGCCAGGCCTGGAGGAGTCCTTATGCAAGGGGACGATACGTTCCAAGGTGTGGTGGTTCTGGTTTGCTGGGAGCGGCGGCAGGTTGGACAGGCCCATCAGCGGTGGTGGGACGACAAAAGAATTCCGTTTGGTGGGAGCGTCGTCCTCGCCTTCGATGTCGTCAATCATGGGTATCTGAGGCTCCGAGTCATCGATGCGGAACTCAGGGTGGGTCATGAAGTTGTGGATGGAGCTGCGAGACTCGGGCGTCTCCAGACCTTCGTAGGGAGACACGCCCTCTCTGAAGGCGTTCACCACACGGATCTGAGAGGGAGAGGAACACGGTAAGCTCTGGGTCAGAGTTTCAGTTGGAGTTGGAGTTTCCGGGTAAAACCGTACCTGTGCATGAATGCGGTTGAGGCCACGACACCACAGAACACGGCCTCGCCTCATCTCCATCTCAGCATGATCGATCTCATCCAGGTCCTTCATCTCCTCCAGCTCCTCTTCAGGGATCTCTTCCTGCTGAGTTCCGTGACCCGCTGTCTTCAGGAACTTCAGCCAGCTTGTGGGGATGCTGGACACCAGCTGAGAAGGAGACGGACATAAAAATGACACCGATGCAGTTGGGGGCCCCTCTAATTTGTCAACACTTTTGTGCCTTCAGAGTGTTCTTGAGACCCCTGAAGATCTTTAGAGAGCTTTAGTTTCTCCTGATGTGGAAAAAAGGATTACTGGGGCTCTGTTCTGAGTGAGATGCTGACGTCAAACCTTCTATCTACTATCAAGAAAACAGCCAGGAGGTGTCTCACCTGTCCCCACAGGAGGGTGCCCATGCCCAGGAAGATACACCACAGCCACTGCTCCAGGTTCAGACTCACACAGCTGAATGGTTTACCTCCAAACTGCACGATGACGAACTAAAGCACAAACAAATATCACACATGTAGTGTATTTTTCAGGTCTTAACACGTGTGTAAACAGTTTTCCTCCCACTGCTTACCTGAACAACGAGGGTTCCAAAGACGATGGAGCAGAAGATGGGGTTATTGAAGACCCCGTCAAAGACGTTCCTCTCGCCGTGAATCTTGCGGGCGTTGAGCTCATTGAAGATTTGCATCAAGACAAACGTGTTGAACACGATGGTGTAGTGCTCAGAAGGCGGGGCATGAAGGGGGGCGTCCCTCCCACTGTCCATGTCAAATATTATCTCACCTGCAACCAATTAGTGAGTACAGGGTCAACATAACCTCCAAGTGACTCTGTTTAGTCAGAGGCAAAATCTAACGTCATTATTCTAGACGTCATAAGGTCTTAAAGACGAGTCAGGAACTGTTTTAGTTAAGATGCTGTCAAAGATGTTATCGTTTAGAGAGGATGACAGTGACATTATTATGTTATTGAGCATCAATTTCGGTGTGAAGCTGCTGAGTATTTCAAAATGAAAATAATCAGTCAACTGGTTCAAGAGTCCATCTTTATTTCAAACAGACATTCATGCAGGTCCTAACGTTATCTAAGAGATGTGGAAACTGAGTCTGCAGCCTCTACAGGTTCAGAAGACTGGCTCCAGAAACTTCAAGTCCAGCATTAGATTCACAGACAAACTCAAAGAGCTGCACTGCCGGCCAACACATCTGCTTCACCTGACTGTTATCAGCCAGCATCAAACCTGGAGAGGGCACTGGGAGGGGGTGGAGCTTCTCTTTGGTTGGTGAGTATGTGGGTCTGTCTGACTCTGCTATGAAGACTTTTTTTTGCTGTCATCTGTCATCAATCACTCAGATCAGTGATTTCTATTTACCTGCTGTTGTTGCTCAAAGGTTTAGCAAATCCACTCGACATCCAAAAACATTTACGTTTGGTGAACTGACTGATTTGAATCCCTACACATGCGAAGGTGTCAATATATGTAGCTGGGGTGCATTCACTGACCAGCAAAAAGCAGGGTGAAGACTACGGTCAGCTGGTAGATGGCGTGTCCGAGGATGTTCTTCATCATGGTGCGGGAAATGAGCGGCTTCTTGCGGCCGTAAGGGTTCCTGAGCAGCAGGGCCTCAGTGGGCGGCTCGGTGGCCAGGGCCAAAGATGCAAAGGTGTCCATGATGAGGTTGACCCACAACATCTGCACCGCTTTGAGAGGAGAGTCCTGAAAACACACACACACGTCTCATTCAGCTGCTCATACAGTCTTGATGTTTTAGAGTTCACACTGATGGTATTTCATGAACAGTCGTAGTATCGGTCATACTAGTATCTTTGTCTTAATCTTGCGGTTAAAACAGAACTGCAGCCACTCAAAGAGATCCTTTTTGTTTTCATCAACATGTTGTTAAGGTTGTAAACAGTTCCATAAGAAACAGAAATATATTATCCTCACTTTTTAACTCCCACACTTTGCTGTTATATCTTCGAGTATCTTCAGCTGAGTTATATTAAATAGACTCACTCTGTTACAGTTTTTATTAGGGATTTACCTCTACACGGGGTTACAGTTAACATCAGCAGGCAGACTTACAACTCCTGCTGGATTGCACTGCTAGACAGTCAAATGTCTCACCTGTGTGATGCAGGCTCCAGTGAAGGCCACAATGACAGCGACCACATTGACAGTGAGCTGGAACTGCAGGAACTTGGAAATACTGTCGTAGACGTTCCTGCCCCACATCACAGCTTTCACGATGCTGCTGAAGTTGTCGTCGGTCAGGATGATGTCGGACGCCTCCTTCGCCACATCTGTTCCAGCGATTCCCTGCAAACCGAGACATGCAGGTGAGCTCCCCCTCAACTTCAGATCCACTCTGAGTCTTTTTTAAAAACCAGTGAAAACCTCTGAACAGCTCTTTGATGACAGCCATCACTGAAGTATTTACCATGGCAAAGCCCACATCTGCTTTCTTCAGAGCAGGTCCATCATTGGTACCGTCTCCGGTAACAGCAACAACCTGCCTCTGCTCCAGCACAGTGCTGTCGATTATGCCTGAGAGGAACAGGGGACAGACAAACAGTGATTGATAATTTTTCTTCGTAAAGCTCTTTGAAACTGTAAAAACGTGCTGTATAAAGTGTGTGTTTTATACCTTTGACCAGAGTGTGTTTGTCGGTTGGAGAGGATCTCGCCAGAACTCGAAGTTTGGGCCAAATCTTGTCAATACGCTCCTGTTCAATCTGCAGAAAAGACAGAATACAGAAGTGAAGGGTTAATGTAGCAAAATGAAGGGTCGGAAAAGATTCAGAAGAGGGGTGAGGAGTCTGGAAGATGAAGAATCTGCTACTTTAAGTTATTTCTATTTCTGACTTTTATAACTAAAACTGAAGGAAAAGGAAAAGGAGAAGAGAAAATCTAGATTTAGATCTTAAAGTCTGACAGACACCACTGCTCTACTGTCCTCTTCTGTCTGTCTGACCTCTCCCATCCGGTTCCGTATCCGTCGGTTGAACTCTTTGCCCTCCATACACAGGAAGTCATCTCCAGGATGCAGGATGCCACATTTGGAGGCAATGGCCCTGGCAGTGTTGATGTTGTCTCCGGTCACCATGCGTACGGTGATCCCAGCCCGCTGGCATTTTCTGATGGCCTCTGGGACCTGATGAGAGTAACAGTGAGAGATGAGTCAAGAGTGATCAACAGTGTTTCCTGATAAAACTGATATGGTATGTTGGTCATGTTCGTGTTTTCCTGTGTGAAGACAGAGCTCAGGTACCTCAGGTCGTACAGGGTCCTCAATGCCAACCACAGCGATGCAGGTGAGGCCAGTGAGGATGTGGCCCTCGTTGTCCCAGTCAGGCTCTCCTTCAGAGGCAGAAAAGTCTTTGTAGGCGAGGCAGATGGTCCTGAGGCCCTCTGAAGCCATCGGCTCGATCACCTTCTTCACCAGCTCGTCTCTGTCTCGAGGTCTGAAGGCTTTGGCATCGCCACCGGCCACAAGGATCTTACAGCACCTGTGCAAGGAGAAAAGGTTCACGTGTCAAAAAGCCATCGTCCTGTCAGAGAGCTGATAGGTGAGTGAGCGTCAGCATCAACCCACTTCCTGAGGAGGATCTCTGAGGCCCCCTTGCTGTACATTCGATAGCTGCCATCGTAGTTCTTTAGCACGGTGCTCATGGACTTCCTCACAGAGTTGAAGGTGTAGACCTTGAAGAGTTTCTCCTCTGGGATTTCATTGCGTACTGTCTGGTAGTCCCGGCGTAGGTCAAGGGAGAGTCCCAGTAAGGCACATTCAGTCTTGTTCCCTATCTGCCGAGGAAGTCCGCCCTCTTTTTCTGGGGGCTGTAGGAAGCAGGAGCAGAGATGATTTTAAAGAATATACTGAAGTTTTTCATGATGTTATGTTTCTGTTTATGTGTGGGGACAAAGATCAGCGCTGGTATTTTACAATGACATTTATACAACAAGCTTCATCTGTCTTCTGCTCTCTACCAGCTATTTTACAGGTTACATTGCCCTCCTAAAAACACATTCATACTTCTGTAACAACGGATACAACTTGACGTGACACGACGTTCAAAATCTACAAAACCAGGAGATACATTCTGCTGCCTCCAAGAAAAAAAGTGAGACACACGGACAGAGACGAGTTTCCTTTGACAAACCAAAAGGTTGTTTTTAAGCAGCTCTATGACAGGAGTGTGAATTTCTCTGTTCTGTTCTTATATTTGTAGAGCGGATCACTGTGATGCACAAACTCACAGCTATCACTACAGGTCCATCACTGAAACTGAGAATAGACACAGACAGGAGGGGATGTCTGCTGCTCTGTGATCACTCCTCACTCACCACATCTATGAGTATTGTCCTACAAACAGTTACCAACATCAACCTTCATCTCTGAATTTACAGCCAATCAAAGCACAACACTAACTCTTCACACTTATGTAATGTGTAAAACTGCCATAGTGTCACACTCTGAACTGATCTATTCTGGATCGAGTCTGCCAAGTCCCTGTTTTTTGATCTATTCTGGATCCCTTCAATGTCCTGGATGAACCCTGGATGAGGGGTTAGTGTTATGTAATGGTGTAAATTTAACCATCAGAAAAACCGTCTCAGTACAAAAGAAACTAAGTGAACTTTTTTTTTTTCTGTATTTTCACAGAGGTGACCCGTTTGTCTCCTCTGTACTCTGATCTGTGCAGCGGATCAAAGATCCAGTGATCAGATGAATCCTGAGCTATTGTGGACGCTTTCCAAACCATTCCTCGCTCCAGGCCAAACGCTTAACTAACACTGCTTCCTGAATGGAAAGCTATTTTTGCAGCCTACCATAATCTTAGTGGTGTAGGCGCAGTTGACCCCGATTCCTTGGATGAGCAGGTCCAGTGGCTTGGCAGGTATTTGGTCCGGTTCTGGCACCTTCTTGTAGTAACATCCTGCGATATAGGTCTGCACCACCGTCATGCGGTTCATAGTGAGAGTGCCTGTCTTGTCAGAGCAGATGGCTGTGGCGTTGCCCATCGTCTCACAGGCATCCAAGTGACGGACGAGGTTGTTGTCTTTCATCATTTTCTGATAGGGAGAAAAAAGTTTAAAGAGCTTCATCCGGAATTCTCCCAGACATTTACAGAAGAAAAACAGCGTTTGATCGGGGATTATCTGGAGGCAAACAGGTTAAACAACGAGTACTTTTTTAAGAACACAGATATAAAACAATACACAGTATGGAGCAGGATAGTTCTTAAAGAGGATTCACCTTGACTGAATAGGCCAGGGAGATGGTGACAGCTAGAGGGAGACCTTCAGGCACAGCTACAACCAACACTGTCACACCAATGATGAAGAACTTGACAAGAAACTGCACATAGATGGGCGTACACTCTGCGGTCCAGGGAACTCCCTGCACCCAGAAGGTATCGATAAGGAAGCGAGTGATGAGGATGATGACCGTCAGACCGGACATAAACAGACCTGCAGACGGACAAAGAGAAGTGGGTTTTAAGTTTGAGCTCAGCATATGTTGTTTTCTGTCGCTGTAGAAAGTGTGCTGACATATGAAAAGGCAGATCCATGTTCAAACGGTTCAGCTCAGAGACGTGTTGAGCAGTCTTAGTATCATCTAGAGTTTGACAAAGTCAGGATTGATCTCCTGGTTTTGAGATGACTAAGTTCTTTAACCTGCAGCAGCAAATAGAAAACACACCTCATTGACTCAGTATGAAGGCTCATTCATGCTCACATTACTGTAGATACATATACTGGTACAAACAAAGCCTTCCATCAGCACCGTGTTCATCTTACTCCTCCTCTGCAAGCTTGCAAAAACAGCCCAAATGTCACAAAACCACTTAAGACTTTAGAGGGAGTAAAACCAACAGTTCAGACCACAGACTTTAGGAACTGAATCCTTCGTCTATGTCATTAGGTTTTAAACAGAGTAATTTCCAGGATGCTGACACTGGTTTTGCCTCTTTCTTGAAGCTAAGTCGATTACACGGTTTGAAAGGTGCAGCTGTAAGGGGAGCATAAATACGCACCAGGAAGAAACAGGAAAAAAGCCTCTCAAGAAGGTGGAGGTGATGTCAATGAACGGAAACAAAGCCACTCCAGCCAGAGGTGAGAGAGTGTTTAATTCCTACATGTAGGACACATCTCTCCACTCTCCACTCACTCTGTGTATCACTGATCTGCTTCTTTGTCTGTACCTGCTTTCCCGATCTGCACAGCCAGTTTGGTCAGCTTCCCCTGCAGGACCGATTTCTCCTTTTTTGGGAGGTTTTTCTTCTTCTTGTCGACTTCTCCGTCTTCTTTGAGTGGCTGCATCTCCACAGTAGCTCCGTCCTTTTCTTTATCTTTTCCTACGGAGAACACAGAAAGGAAAACACTCAGGATGAGAGAGTGACTTCTTAGATTGGGCGAGTGATTCTGATAGTTATCACAGTATATGAACAGTTAATGCTGCCAACTCAAAGGATATCAATCTGTAGGTTTACTGGCTACAACTTAGGGTACACTTAATTTAAGTGCGCAAAAGTCCTCTTAGTCTGAAAAATAAAAAACCCTGAACCTGTCCTGCTGATCGTCAGACGGCCTCGATCATCAGCTCAAACACAGACGTTCTTCATTTATTGATGTGTGATGATAGGCAGGCAGTCAAAATGTCAACATCTATCAACAATAGCCTTTACTGGGTTCCCTGTTCATGAGGGTCACACAGCAGGAGTTGATGATGATGATGATGTAAATATGAGGTTCATACCCCCCGCTTGTCCATTACACAGCAACAGATTATCACTCAGTGGTTCAAATAGTCAAAGTGAGACTGGAGCCAGTGGATGACAGAGTTCTGACCCAACTGTCCTCTCCCAGTGTTGTTGTTGTCGTGGATTTGTGTTGACAAACATGAAAAAGGGACAAAATTGACCTCTAAGTAACTTTCCCTGGAACTAATGAAGTAACTAACTCATCAGACCTCATTATCCCCTTTACATCTGGATCACCACGGTAACAATTAACAGCCCAGCAGAGTCAAGTGACACATAGCTCAATGTCAGAGAGTGAGGGTATCTGTGTGTGTGTGTGTAAGTGTGTGTGTGCTTGCTGATCCCAGCTCAGTAATGAGGTTATTAGTGGACAGGCCAGGCAGCAGCAGTAGGCAGGAGAAGAAAGCAGCTGCCAGGCTTAAGGCCGATAATCTGCTTGCTCCTAATCACCATCAACAGAGTCAGAAGCACCTGCTGCTGCTGCTCCTCAGACCACAGGGACACACACTCTGCCATGTGGGACCACAGGGTGCGAGTAAGACCTGCCAGGGGCCGGGAAACATCAGCAAACACAATGGATACCCGGAGTCTGACTGCCATCTGAATCTTAGGTCCACCTCCAAAAACCATGATTTCCTGGAGAACTTTGACCGATCAGAACAACGTCCTTCAAACCAATAATGATTACCTTAATAACATGGGACCCTCACAATACCAGATCACAGCGACCACAATGACCACATGACAAATCCTGATGTAGAGATTCAGAAACAACAACAACAACAAAAAATCCAAATCCTCTTCAAAGTGCAGTCATGTGCCTGAAACCTCCACCTCATATTTTAATATTTACATGAAGCCTAAACCTCAGACTTAAAGGACCATCTCCAAGTTCCTTCAATTAACTTCAAGGTACAACATGCAGCATTCAGTGACATCTAGCATCAAGGACTTGGTAGATATACAAGATATCCATGAGTCTGTTTACATTTGTTAATTATCAGTCCAAAATTTGAATCCTTCGGCAGTATTTGGAGGTCAGACTTGACAAATGGAGGATCACACTTGTCATGCATCTCAGGGGCTTTGTGTCCTGAAAGGCCACTGTCTACTGTCAATGACTGCTGATATTTCTGCAGACTATTAGTTCATTACTTCACTGACTTCATCCTCCGCCATTATCTCTGATAGATGTAAGATGCATGCTGGGATGTTCAGACAAGTCTATTTAAAAATGACCTTGGGTTAAAAAAAGGGATTTCCTGCACAGCCCATGTCAAACTGATACTGCTCAATCAAACCTGTTCTACTCTAAACAAATAGAGGTGGTTGGTGTTGCATGTATCTGAAGCAGGTTCAACAGTTTTGTCCCATTTCTTTAGGTTGATCTGAAGCAATACTAACATGAGATTACTCTTACAATCCTTCCTCTAGAAAAACTTTCATTAATTTTACTGATAATGTTGTTCTTGTTTATGTAAACACTCGTGATCTAACTCTGGGCGGTTCCCTCTTAGCAGAAACTTCAATAATAATTCTTAAAAAGAGTCAAAAACGGTGTCTTCTTGTCTCCTGTATGTCATTTCCCCTATACACAGGCTTAAAAGCCAGTCTGATAAGGTGAACCTGATAAGTTCAGTGTAATCAAATTAAGTTGTTGTGAACAGTCCAGCTCTTTGCATTGTGGTAGGCACGTTATGAAGGACACAGTAGGACAGGTCTGAAACTGGTCGGGTGAACAACACTGGTTTTTAGCGACATTTGTATTTCAGGGATGTCGAAGTGAATCTACAACTCAGTATATGTGGAGTATAAAGATGAGAACTGAAGATGATTCAATTTTTACCGACAGATAAAATCATCAAGCTTTAAGAGAAAAACAGACAAAAATGGTCCTATGTCTACTGTCATTATTATTATTATGATGTCTTTATAACCTCCATTCTGTCTGATGTCTGTTTATCTCTTTGTAGGATCTATTTGACCAAATAAAATAGTATAAAAACTTTGAATTATAAAGCACAGTTTTTCAGTGGAGTTGACAAGAATTGATGATACCTCTCTGTATCCTAAATGTTTGACAGTCTGGGAGCATTTGGCTGAATGCTGCTTAGGAAAGAGCTGCTGATCAAATCTAAAAGTCACATTCAGACTGTGAGTCCAGAGTTAGAGACACCCTGTGTGACTTTGCTTCATCATCTTTAACTTACAGTACTTTCTCCCTCTTCTCTTACCAGTTCACAGTGGAGCAAACATTGATTACACACATTTCCAGTTTAAAAGAGAAACGTCAGATTTAAAGTTGATTGTTAATTTAGAGCCATAGAGCAATAGTGTAATTCAGTATCTGATCACTTTAATAACCGTTTTAAAAAATCGATGACTAGTTTACTCTGGGAATAGTTGTTGGTTGCTTCCTTAAGGTCCGCCCCATTATTTAGATTTCTCGCCAACTAGGCCATAAATCAGCGACTCTAATAATTCAGTGTAGTTCACATGTATACACACTCCTTCACACAAAACAACATCTAACCCAGAGGTTATCTGGACACGACTGTATCTTTGTGCTTCTCCACAATGAAGGCAAAGCACTGACTGACTCTCAATAAAAAAACTGTTTAAGTTACTCCTAAGGCCACTTCTCCTGTCATCAACTCACTACATGGTGATTATTCTGAGGAAACTACAGGTCCAAACCAGCCAGCCTCAAGAAACAGATTTTGATTCAACCATCACAGACGCTCTCAGTTGACAGAATATCTCTCAGTTCTGATGTCCTGCTTACCTTTCTGCCCTTTTTCCTCTTTTTTGCCTGTAAAGGAAAAACATACAACAGTCATTGATAACTTCAGACAGTGTCAAAGGTACACAACCAAGGTCAAGAACATATCAGGCTCCATGCATCCTCTCCTCTGTTTGGCTGATCATCAAACTAGTAACTTGTAGCTTTCACCCCAAGCAAGTGTTTGCAGTTTTAAACCAACGAAACAGAAAAAACTGGTTGGTCACCCCTACTTCATGTTCCTGTTCTTTCAGCAGCACCTACAGTGGAGCCTCCAAGAGTTCAATTCTAATCCTCAACCAGTCACATGTCCTTAACTAAAGGTTTTATCAAATTCTACTGTCAAAAAATACCAAAAAAATCAGTGTTGGTGTGTTTTACCAGGTAAACATGGGGAAATCTGCAGTTTTGAAGACTTAGAAACAGCTAAGATTTACTTAAGGACTCAGCTTTTTTCTAAAATCCAAATTTTTCCTTGACTGAAGATGTGGGAGAGCTGATTTTCACGTCCTCTAAAATAAGAGGGCGAGGATAGAAAAAAATGAGCCCCTCTGAATCAAAACAAGGTTTTAGTCTGGTGGTATGGGTCTTGGTTTGTTCATGAAACTACTTGAGGTTTTCTACAGCTGCTTCACTTCATCAGAACCACTTAAACCAGCTGCTGAATAGAAGAGGCGAGTAATGCTGGTTATTGTTTAACTGACTTTGGCTGCTGCAGACAGACCTTAGACCGAAACCTTGTTTAATGAAATACATCAGCTAAAGTGAGGCGCTGTGCAGGAGTTCCTCCAGACTGAGTTCATGCAGTCATCTTGTACGTGTTTGTATTCCCCTTTTTTAATGTTTCTTTACATTGAAGATTCACTGGAGTCAGATTCATGTTATGTTCAAACACATATCAGGCTAAAAGTACCTTTCTTGCCCTTCAGCTTCTTTTTACGCTCCTCCTTTAGCTTCTCCTTCTTCTTCTTTTTCTCCTCAGCCTTGTCTTCACCGTCACCTTCGCCGTCATCACTGGAGCCGAGCAGAACAAAGATGATTCCAGTCTGAGAGTTCACACCCACAGCAGTGACCAGCATCTTCCCCGAGCCCTCCATCACATGGGTACCTGAGAGTGGGAGAGAGGAATTCTTCGATTGTTACATACAGTTTGTGTCAAAATGGAACAAAGAACATGTGGGGTGAATCTGTGTGTCCCTCCTCATCAAAGCTTCACCTGCTCAATCTTACACCTTACTCAAATTGCTTATACTGGGTCATTATGCCAATAGACTTTTTACATTTGGTTATAACGAGTAGAGTGAAGAAATACTTCTGTGATACTCTCCACCAGATCTGGAATCACAAGCGTAAAGCTGAGTGTGTTCATGCAGACTTCCTCCATCACTCTCTCCCAGATCTCTTAGATTTTACTCGTGTTTTTCTCCTACAGCTGTGTGTGCTTTGATAGTATTGTGTACGACAGTTCAAACTCGGTGTGTTTGTACAGCATTAGAATGATCAAAATGATGATGGTGATTAAAGCACTGTGGATGTAGAGAGCGGGAAAAGAAAACCGTAGATATTCTGAGTTTAAATGTGAATAATGGCTGTAAGTCACTGTTTTAAAGACACATTTATGTTGATGATGTTGAAAACACGGCTGCAGGTTGTGTTATTCTAAAATCTGAAGAGTAAATGTCTGCAAAGGTCAACAGGTTGTTTGAGTCAATACCCTCAGGGACTATAAATGATCATTACTTTACTGATTCTGTCATGGAAGTTCTTGTTGGTCAGTGTCTTTGGGTTAGAATTCTACTATTACTTCTGTAGTTTCAGATTTGTGTTGGTCACAGGAAGAGATTTACTTTGCTTCCTGCAGGTGAGAGCACCGCAGAGACAGAACAATGAAATGATGGAGAATGAGCTTCAGAAATGACTTGTTAGAGCTGACGGTAAAAGCTCCGATCACAAAGAACTTGGCACTAATTTGACATGTGTGGTGTGAAGAGCAGCACCTGACAGCAACATGGGGTCTTTGTCGAGAGTCTTCTTGACATGATCTGATTCTCCGGTCAGAGAGCTCTCATCAATCTTCAGATCATTGCCCTGAATCAAGACACCATCAGCAGGTAGGAGGTCACCTGGAACACAGAGACATACGAGCAGACTGAAACGAGCGCTGACTGTGATCAGGTCATGTCACAGCACCGTCAAAGGATAGAATCATCCTTGAATTGCAATAATAACTTCTGAGTGTGATAAAAAACTGACGTGAGGATGGCTTAGGAAGACTTTTCAGTCATTGATCAGTCAGCAAACCAACCCAAAATTGTTCAGAACCTTGTAGTTGAAACTCAAATACCCTCATAAAATTACCAAGAGATACAGATTTGTGATGATGAGTTCAAGGACCGTGTGATAAAAACATTCAATCATCTGTTTTGATTTTAGGGTAATTGTCGATTAAAATCAAGAAAACTATAAAGCAGCTGTCACAACGAAACTTGTGAATTGTTTTTCATGTGTCAATATTCAGGTTACGTTCTCATTAATTCTAGATGTAAAGGAAATAGAAACTCAAGTCAGTGGATTGTCAAGAAACAAAACAATCACGGCTGTTTATGATGTCAGACTGAGATCCATTTTGTATTGGAGTGAGCGCACCCTCAAAAACACGACAAATAAAACTGTGGAAAACTTCGGATCAATGGTAAGCATTGAAAGAATTCTGTGTTCTCAGTAAATTACCGTATTTGACTTGAGCGATGTCTCCCACGACGATCTCCGACACTTTGATCTGGGTCATCTGCCCTCCTCTGACCACAGTGAACTTCTGCTCCTGCTCGATACGGCTCTGAAGGCCACGGAACTGCTTCTCTTTGCTCCAGTCATTAAAGGCCGTCACCAGGACCACACAGACCACCGACAGCAGGATGGCAGCCCCTTCGATCCACCCAGCCTCTGCCTCGCCGTCTTCCTCCACGCCCCCAGCAGCACTGCCACAGTCTGAGTGGAGACAAACACGGTTACAGTATTTTATGTGTTCTATTTCTTTTAAAAGCTTCTCATACTCTACTCCTTCTGGGTACCTCAAGTAAACATGAATTAGCATTACTCTTTTGGACGTTTTCAGAACAAACAACTCTAAAGAACTGCTCATAAAGTTTGAGTAAAGTCTTGTAAATAAGAGTTTGTACCCAGTATAATGACCATGGGATCATCTGAATGAGACCTGCAGTCCTACTGGGACTATAAAATGATCACTGAAAAAATCTGTCTCTGTGATAAGTTGTTGCAGAACAGTGGCATTAGGTGACAAACTGTAAAGTGACAATCTAGTTTTAGACATATTTGGTATCCTGCAGTTCTGATCCTTCAGTATGAGTTGAATATGAATGAAGTGTTTGCACTTCTCTGCAGACTGGAGTTCTATCTTACAGAGATAAATACAGATGGAGATCTGACTTATCTGAAGTTAACTTGATCGTTAATATAAGTCAAAGAAGTTAGTTAGCAGGGATGTAAGTAAGGACCTGAAGTCCCGTGGTCACTGACAGTTACTATGTGGCTGACAGATATATGTAGTTAGACCACTGCAGCTACAAAGGTTCACTGCAAATCTACTGACAAAACAACAGAGTTTGTCCCAAATTCCAACCCTGTCCATGTCTCATCACAATATCCACACAATAAAACTCCTAAGTGAGAGTCCTGGTTGAAAAACAAAAATCTCATAATATGAGAGGATTTGATGTACACAGACAGAGGAGATCAACTTACTCTTTCTCTCAGCATCTGGTGGTTTATAAAATGAAAGGCCTAATGAAATGATGGCTGCCACCTCCAGGATGATTAGAGTCACATCCTGCAGGGCCTCCCAGACTAACTGCACAAAGGTTTTTGGCTTTTTAGGAGGTATGAGGTTCTGTCCAAAATCCTGTTTTCTCCTGTCGATATCTTCTACACTTCCATCTAAACCTGCAGGAGGAAACAAAAGACACAGCGTTAAAAGTAGATCCTCTCATCTGTTTGACTTTTTATTTCATCTAACAACATTATGTATTAAACAACAACAACACTTAGCTGTCGTTTGGTGTAATTATTGACTTGACTCATAACTGTGAGGCTTCAAATCCCAGAATAAGTGTCCCAGTCTTTACACACACATTGTCCGTCAGAAAGGTCAGCTTCACCCAGTTTCAAATTGTGTTTTTAACTCAGCACAGTTGAGTCCTCGATCAGTGTCTTACACCTGTGTCTTCTTTATTCTACAGTGGCTCCAGCATTAGTTCAGTCAGGGAGACTAAATCTGCATTCACAGCTGGTTAATTTACGTTTCCTTCTCTCACTCTTGCTCCTGTAATTTCTTGGGGTTGTCATTGGTTAATCCATAGCCTCCTTATCCAATAGCCTCTAGTTCCTTTAGTACTTATGATACATAATCATCCCCCACCCCGACCTCTCCATCTACACCACTGGTCATCAGTTACCACAATCAGTGCCTCCCCAGAGTGTTTCTTCACTTGTCTCTCTTGACTGAACTTTTTTTGTGGACCTGGCCCATGCAAACATTTTTCTTGCTATTCCTTGTAATAAAGTAACCTGTATAGGTTAACTCTCACTGGCACTAAACAGCAAACAGCAGATGGTGAACATAGTAAACCTGAGGGAAGCAGACAGGCGAGAGCCACTAAACCCACAAGAGTTGCCCCCCTCTGTGTCTCCCATGATGGCTCTGTGTGTATTCATTGTTGATGTTAGGATATGGAGTTCACAACTCAAAGGTTAGCTCAGGTTAAACAGTGAAATCAGAAATACACAGCCTGCGAGCTTTTGAGGGGAACTGTTTCAAAAACACAATTGTCTGACCCGTTACCTGTGCTGTCGTCCACAGTGGCTGATTCACAAACTCGGTTATGAAAATAAGCTTTACTACAAAGAAGACTGAGAAGCATGATGGAAAAAACACTCTGGAGGTAACAGGTGAGCACTGAGTCCATAACTCACATAAAGCAGCTAACTACACTTACTATAAAAGAAGTCACCTCAACAGCTTCAGTAAGTGTAACATGGTTCATAATGTTTGTGTGTATCTTCTATATGTTTTAGAGCGCTGTTGTGTGGGAGCAGGGAGCAGACTGGTGGTCTCTGTGGAGCAGAACATGTCTGAACGTGCTCAGATCCCTTTGGACACTCGGCAGCAGCTGACTCGGTTGCTCTGAACAGGTTCAGCATCAAGATCTCTTCTGCATCGTGTCTGAAAATACAACTCACTGATCAGTGACGAGAAAACCCTCTGCTTTCAGGGGAAAGGGATTACACTAAAACCTGTCATGAGACACCCAGAAGAGAAAAAGCAGAGTGATGGATTTTCAGAGTGATTTCAAGCTGTTGTTGACATTTCGTCTCTCTGTCAGCAGGGATCGAAATACTGAAGGTGTTTACTGAGTGAGTGCAAGACAGACAGACTGAATGAATTAATGATGAGGAAGAAAATGTCAAAGGGCAGACGCGTTACAAACACCGAGTCCACATATACACGAGGTCCACAGGGTCTACTGTTCGCATGTCACACAATGACAAACAGTTCACTGTCCTGAGGTCAGCGTACGTCACATTAGAGCTGGGCTTTATCATCAATATGAAGTTTGTCTGATCATCACTGAAGTTGACTAAAGCACATCCCAAGGCAAAAGCCTGTGGTCAAATCAAAGCCTGACTTGAATAAAGGTTGTGTTTGCTCCAACAAACACATCAAGAAGCAAAAAGAAAAGAGTTTAAACAGACGGTGTTCAAGTGGTAATTGTTATAAAAGAAGAGTGATTTTAATGAAAACTCTAAAACAGACAAACAAGACAGAATTCTGGAAAACCCACAGACACAGTGGGGTCACTGAGGGGCCTTTCTCACCTTATGTCCACTTAGAGGGTCCGGATCAGGGACCGAATGTTTACATGTTGCATTTTGCATTTGGTCTCCCCCCTCCCCATACACACACACACACGCACGCACGCACGCACGCACGCACGCACGCACGCACGCACGCACGCACGCACACACCATAAGGGCATGTGCAGGAGAAGCGAGTGTTGTTTTGCCGGCTGTTCAGCTCACTGAGATGAAATAATCTAATAATCTCTAACATTCAGAATAAAACACTGCATTTAATATGGTTGGTAATCTTTGGCCAATTCCTTCTGCTTAATTAGATCACTACCAATTGAAATTAGACACCTGATCAATACCAATCAAATGACTGATGTGCCCAGTGTTCAGTGGATCTCTGGTTTAAGTTCCTCACTGTCTATTTGACAGTATCTACGAGAGTTTCCTCCTTACTGATGGTGTTGGACAACAAAACTGAAGTTTCAGATTACCTCCTTGTTATACCACGGTCCTTTCAGTTCTTTAAACTTTAAAACATTTCACATCAGAACAACTGTTATAACTAAAAACTCAAAAACAAGAGAGATCATCCTCTCCATACTACTGAATTCTCTCTGTTAGTCTTGACTGGAAAACACCGTCTTTGTCTGAAGTTCACTGAGAGAGTAGGATAGAGAGAAGTATCCACAGAGGCTGTAGATAGTTCGGGTTTGCACTTCACTCTTCGATTCCCATTTCTTAAACTTCAGTTCCCCAGCAGGAATCTGGCCTGTGTTGACACAGATTGCCAGATAAAGCTGAATTTTTCCCAACATATTTACCTTCAACAGGTGACGTCCTCAATCTGGCACACAGTCCATTAACATCTCCATAACACTCCTGGATCTTGGTCACAGCCTCTGGTCCCCTTAGCTCCATGAGGGAGCGCAGCTCCTGTAGCGAGCAGCTGAACTCTGTCTCATGGTTGGCCCCAGCACGCCGGTCAAGTTTGGACCCGCGGAAAGAGTTGGCCATGTCTCCTTTTTTGAGACCTTGAAAAAGGCCTTTCAAACAAAAACAGTCTCAGTGGTCGGCCTCAGGTGTGGATTTGGCCTGGTGGGGACTCTGTGACTGTGGGGGAATGGAAAAAAAAGGTTATTGGAAAGGTTCTGCAAGACCACCATTAGGAAACCTTGAGACAAAATGTAGAAACATTGTTACACCAAGGGCATGAATTCACTGTCAAGGTCAAACTGAGAAGAAGACACATGCACCACTTCTTTACTGTTGATTTTTACTCCACATCTCAAACACGTCAGACCTGCGAGGGTTTCTAGAGACCCATATTTCAGCATTTTAAACTTGACCTCTCTAGTGAATAATGTTTAAATGGTCTGGCTCCATCTTACCTCTCTGAGCTTCTCCACCCCTACACCCCTGCTTGGTGCCTCAGGTCAGCTGATCAGCTGCTCCTGGAGGTACTGAGGTCCAAACTGAAGCTCAGAGGGGTTAGATCTTTTTCTGTTGCGGCCCCAAAATTATGGAAGGAGCTACCCCTCCAAATCAGACAAGCCCCCACACTGTCCATTTTTAAAACTCGTCTTAAAACCCATTTTCATTCATTGGCTTTCAACCCTGCATGAGACTCAGCTCCTGTTTTAGTGTTTTATGGTTTGCTTTTAGTTATTTGTTTCTATGTTTTTAAATCAGTTTTTAATGTTTGCATTGTTTTGTCTATTTATGTACAGCACTTTGTTCAGCTGTGGTTGTTTTAAATTGCTTTACAAATAAAGTTGAGATGAGACAATTAAGACAAGGAGATAACTCTGTCGAACTGTGCATGGACCCTCATATCAATAAACATGATGAGTGACAGATTTGGCTGAAGTCTCTTAAAACTACTGTTCAATGAGGAGCACTACTATGTTATTTAAGTGTTGATTTTAAACTCAGCTCAGAAAATAAACTCTTCCATTTTTTTCTAAATCTGATGATAATGTTGTTTTTTGAAGTTATGGTAGCAGCAAAAGAGAAAATGGTTAAGAAAAGAAAGAAAACAGCGAGCAATAAAAAGTCGTATCACAGACTTTTTGAAGAGGACAGCAGGGTGACATTCAAGTGCCCAGTATTTTGTCTTGAATATTCCCTCATCTCATCACCGTCAGTTACAAGATATATGACTGTACAGCTTTAAAAATGCCAAGTGAGAAATAAGGGCGGAGAGATCTGAAATACCCGGGTCTGCTCTGCTTGTGTGGGTCCATTTGACCTGTTGATTGCCTTTAAACAAACTCGGTCTATATCAGATATCTGTGTGTGGCTCAGAGCGTTGTGCCTGATGGTGCGTGAACTGAAGCATTTATATTTGTTCTTTACAGGTTGTGACCTCTGTGCTTTCAGCTGTAATCTGTGTCAATCAGTCAGCCGAGGCTTAATCTGAGCGAGAGAGAGGCAGCCTGCTCGAAGGCTGAAGGAGAAAAAGAACGAAGACCATCGGAGCGTTCCACAGACTCAATACAAGTCTTGACAGTTGTATTGATAACTAAGCCCTGCAGCTTAATATACAAAGCTGGAGCCGCATGTGTGTTTCAAACAACCAGAGAAAAATAAAGAATAAATACAAAAAGCTATTCAGATAAAAACAACAGACACAGCACGACTGTAAATCATCGTAAAAGTGCACCCGGATCATTTAGATTTTGTTGGAGACCTTTTCTGTTAATCACTTAGAGTAGAATAATCCTCCATGAAGGAAATCAGCTACAGTGCATCCAGGATCTAAAAATACACATTCAGGCATTTTGGAGGAAACTCTTTTCATGTCTGATTTAAAATTATTGTCACTTCATTGCTGCAAAAGTAAGAAGAAAGGCTTTACTTACAGAAACTTCCCCCATCGCCTCCTGTTAGCCGCAGCAGGTATTAGTGGCAGTCTGATTACTCTGAGCAGCTTCACGCTCCCAGGTCCAGAAACAGCCCATAACCCGACCACAGCTCCTCGGCCGGTGGCATACAAACCTGCTCCAAGAACCACGATTTACTCCCAAAAACAGTTTGTTCTTAAGAAATTCTGTTTGACCTTCAGCAAGCTCACAGTCACAGGCAGCACTCTATCGGAGGAAAAAAACAGGAGCCGGCTAAATGATTATCTGTGGAAAGCCTCGCTTAATCTAATTAGACAATCTGTGGCTTCACTCAGAGCCAGAGAGACTGCTGCTGCTGCTGCTTCTGCTGCTGCTGCGGCTCCTCCTGTCGAGAGGGACATCCCAGGTCTTCAGCAGTCACTAACCAGTTCTGCCCACAATGCATCTACACAAACAGGTGTACGGAGGACCAGGTTTTCAAAGTCTCCACAAACTACACAGAACAGGCCCCCATACAAACTAAGTGTGGTTCTGTATCTGCTGCTGCAAAAGCTCTTCTTCACCTTATCTCATCACATACCAATACAGAGGCAAATTCAAGGACCAAAGGTGAAAACACACAAATACTCCTGCACACTTCCCTGCCCCCCGACCGAGCAGTGATGTCGGCTGACGTCAGGTTCCACACACGTGACACACACACACAGGTGGATTACAGCACATGGAGACACAGGAGGATTAAATAAACACACACCAGATAAACAATGGGTAATATTGCTGATTCACATTTGCATGGTACCAACTCAGGTCAGAGCTATCATGACCTTTGACCCTGTAGTTTAATGTATTATCAACAAAGCAGAACTTTGAGCACTAACTGGACAGGTCAGACAGAGACTGACTAATCCCAGCACCTCAAATCAGACCCACAGAGCTGCATTTATGGTCAGAATATCTAAATCTCTGGTGTCCACATGTCTGAATGGAATGACTTTTCCTGAAAACCAGGCAGATTGAATAAATAAATAAATTCAAGGCATTAATGAGATCTGAATCAGAGCGATAGACTTACTGAATATTAAAATTCTGATCTGATTCATTTCACATAAAACTGACATCCCAGCAGGTTTACCCGGCATCCACTCATCTACCTGTAGGCGTTATGCCACTTAGTGGTCAGAAGTTGTCAACACAGAGGACAAAGTTGGGCAACCTTGTGTCTGAAAACAACTGATATTAATATGACAAAGTGATGGAGTCCAGATCTTTATAAAACTAACACCACAACGACAAAACATGCAAAGTAGATTAAAAAAATTGAGTTCCAGGTTTCCATCATGTAGATCAGGTGGATCCATCAGACCTGTACGTGTCACCGTCCACGCAAACAGCTGATCGTGACGTCACTCGTCAACATGGCGGACTGGAATAGAGGTATTTCTGTTTGACACGTATTCACCTGGAAATGTTCCGCTTTAAACCGTCTTTAACAGAATAAATCCGGTGTTTTATTGATGTTAAGGTATTCAGGGCAGAAGGGTTGGATCATATCAGTATGTCGTTCAGTGTTCTGCGCAGTCGCGTCTCTTAAAGACGAACGTAAAGTGATGCTAGCAGGCTAAAAGCTAGCAGCTGTGTTGTGAAGTAACTGTAACATTAACGTGAAATTAATGCGGTAACTTTAGTTCATCCCCGGCTGATAGTGCAGATGTAAGCCGTATTTACCTTCACGTTGTGGACATACACCACCGTTTAAATTCAGTTTAGGAGGTTAACTCTTGTGTTTGACAGGAACTAAAGTTGGCTTGGTCGTTATACAGTAATATGCTCATTAAAAACATATTTCCGTTTATCGCACTTTTGTGTATTTCCCTCACTATAATAAAGTTTCATAAATCTGATGGAGTGACCTAAAAAGTCTACAGACTCTCTTACATGGTGTTGTAAAGAGTCAGGGTCCCCTCTTTTAAATCCAGTCCAGATCCAGCCCATTTATGTTCTGTGTTTCTGGATCACGACCTGGATCGCATCATGTAGTATAATGGTGAAATCGCCCATTACTGTGTTTACACAAATCTAGAATAGTGTAACGATAAGTCTATACCTTGACATACTACAGTACTGTCTTTACACGGTAGGCTTGGTAGGCACGGTGTTTGTCTGAATTTTCGCTGATATTCTCGTGAATCTCGAATAACATTAAGGAAACAAATGAAGACGTTACAGGGGAGTGTTTGATTTTATTGCCTTAACCCAAGGTTTACTGTAGGTTACTACACCACAGCACACAAACCACGGACAGGTACTACATTACACCAATACACCTGAAGTTTTTTTCTACTTTTTCTGTTGCTGCTCAAACTGTACATGAACAATTCAGAATCAGACACTCATTTTTCCGACTTTTCCAGCGGAACTTGAATGCAGCGAGCAAACTGCGCTACCGCCCGGTCTCCGTTAGCTTAAATGTTATCGCTAGTTTACCGGGTATGCCTTATTTTAAATTTTAATTCATAAATCGAGCGTTGTATGTATTTGTAGTTGTGATTTTTAAGTATCGGTCAGAAAACGTTTTTATCGGCCACATTAGTTTTTTCTACACTTGTAAATCATCTGTTAGATAACCGTTTCTGACCGTTAGCTCAGGTAGCGCAGCTAGTTTAGCGGTCCGTTTCTGTCCACTTCGGCCTTGTGTTTCAGTTAGAAGATATTTTTTGTTACTGTTATCCAGAGATTCAGTGGAAATCAAAAATCCCGAAAAAGTTGAATAATTGCAGTAGTTTGAAAATGTACCGCTCGGCGCAGACCGGGAAACCCTGGACCGCCTAACGGGCAGTTTAACGGCGGTTAGCGTTTAACGGCACAAATGACGTAATCGAAACTAAACTTCAATTTTTTAAAAATAAAATAAAATAAAAATACTAATGATAACAATAAAAATACCGTAATTTGTATGATATGGTCTCTTATATTTTGTCACTATCTACTTTTTGTTTGTTTTACTCATCAAGAAATATCTAACCCATAGACATCATATACAGTCTGTGGTCTAACCTCGGCTGATTCATATCGAACTAAATCAAAAACGTAGTTCATTGAGTTCTGTAGTTTGATTAAATAAAACCTCAAAACATTCTCAGTTAATCAGTTTGACTTGCAAAATCTACGGCATGTACCCTACCAGTGTATTCATAAAGCTGTATGACAAAGATAACAGTTTCTGTTTTTAAGAGATTATTAGGAAATGTATGGGGTAGTCTATTTGTAAAATAAACTAATGCATGTGCAAAATGTGTGCTCACACTGCTGTTAGCTCAATAGGTAATGATAGCCAATCCAAATACTCATTTTGCATTAATATAAATATCTAACCGCAGAGTTTACTTAAGACTTACTGTCACTTTAGTCACCATATCGCTTGTCTTTCGTTATTTTCTCGCCTCTCTGCTTTTATGCCTGCGCTGGCCTATGACAATGTTTAGTATGCTCACCCTCTCTCAGAGCTGACATGCTTTAGACGCTGCACACTGCACAGAGGTTTATCATAAGTTTGACAGCCCTCACTCATCACTATTTTTTTTAAGAGCATGTTAGTCTGTCTCCTCCGCAGATAAATTCAGACATCATCATCTTATTTGAGTCTGGATGAACTGCTCTCTTTTGGGTAATTTCCAAATGATGCTGAACGAGTTGAAGGTCGATACACCTGACTGTGGATGTTTTTCATGGTCAACTTGTGATTTGGTTGATCTGGGGAAAAAAAATGCTATTTTAGACATTTCTTTTGTATTGTGTTTATGGATCTTCATCTTTTGTCAGAAACTTTGTAGCCTTCCTGTCTTGGCCAGGGCAGTCTTGAAGAAGAGTTTTTAACCTTGATTAATTTCTTTCGTCACTTCAATAAAAGTTTAGGAAAACATGAATAAAAATAAAATAAAATGTTATCAAAATCTTCATCTCCTGTCTGATGTGTGTGTGTTTCCAGGACATGACTCTGTGGATGACATGCTTGATGCTGAAAACAAGCGGATAGCTGAGAACTTGGCCTCCAAAGTCTCCCGACTGAAATCTGTGAGTCATTAACATCAACTGCCTCTTCCTTCATTTTTATTTTTCCTGACAAAGTTTTTAGTCAGAGGGAGTTTTATAAACTTGTAGAGGCAGGGATGTGTTTTCCTACTTGTCATCAGGGTAATGGGTGTGTGTGTGGGGATGGAGTTTTGTGAGTGTGTGTGTGGGTGGGTGTGTCACGGGGGCTGACTGATTGTCTAATGAATGTCACCTGTGCCTGCTTGTGAATTTGTTTGCTTGGTTCAGAGAGAGAGGAGGCCGGGTGCTGATATTTCTGTTGACCGCTAAAGCTTTTTACCATCATATAGTCAAAATCTGCGAATACATCTACATCAAATGCATGTTTGAAAGTTTGATTTATTGAAAGGGTAAAAAAATACCCTCGAGCTACTTCATGTTTCCTTCTTAGATTCAGCACGTCAGACAGATCCCTGTACTACCCTTTCAGCGACTAATTTAGTTTTGATAGTCACAATACAAAACTGTTAACTTGTACTCATCCTTCTCGTCTTTGAATCCGACAGCTTGCCTTTGACATCGACAGAGAGGCGGATGATCAGAATGAGTATCTGGATGGCATGGTGAGTCCTTTATTCTGGTGTTTGTTTGATGTAGAACTTTTTTGGAAAAATCTAAAAGCTACTCATATTTATTTATTTTCGTAGAAGTCAGTCCTGTAATATTTTATACATGTGATTATTTTATCCTGTGATTCTGATGTAAAGAAAACTGTCGCGCTTCGGTCAAAGTACTCCAGTTACATTTTCCTCCCTCTTCTCTGTTTCCTCTCAGGACTCGAACTTCTTAAGTGCGACGGGCCTGCTGACCGGCAGCGTGAAGCGTTTCTCCACCATGGTACGATCCAGCAGGGACAACCGCCGCATCCTCTGCTATGTCTCTGTGGGCGTGGTCCTGGTCTTCTTCCTGCTTTATTACATTGTCTCCAGGATTCAGCGCTGACAGGGAGACCTTAGGAGCCACAAGCTGATCCTGATCCAAAGCGGAGACTGTAGACTCTGAGATCATAATCATGTCTGGTCATGATTTTCCTGCATAAGGAAAGGACTCTTTTATTCTGTACCAAAGCGAGACTGCAAAGAGACTAAAAACATTTAGTGGAGTCCTTGACGAGGAGATATCTGAGATCTGAAGAAGGATACAGTCATGAGTGTGTCTTACCAAAGATGCTTGTGTCTGTGGAAAAAAATGCTTGGGGATTTAAGGCCTTCCCTTTGGCACCACCTTGATCCTGTTGTCACTGCTGCTGCCAGGATATAATGTGCAAAGAGGCTGGAACCTAAATGCTATTTGGGTTGGAGTGGCACCAATCACAGCTGAGTTTTACGGCTCATGAACTCGCAAACCAGGAAAAACATGCTCCCGTAAAGCTAGTTGAAAACAGCAAGATAAATGCAGTTTATGTGAATCAGATTAAAATTCAGTAAGAATTCCATCGACACATTTTAGTCTAGTCAAATGAGATTCCCTGATATCTTTCCCATTTCTTACAATGCAACAACCAGCGACATCAACCAAAGCATGACAAGAAAGCTGTGTCTCCAGAACAGTTACTGATGCCTCCATTGCTTCCACAGCAGCACACTTATGTCTTGACATAAAACTCCAAACTGTTTACATGTAGATAACACTGTAGACTGTCTGTATCAAAGTCTAGTCGGGTCAACAAATTCGAGTTGGCTGCAGTCTGGACAAAACCAGATTTAAGAGCCCAGTGTTTCCTTTAAATGTTTAACAATAGATAATGACATTTGTTCTAATTATAAGTCAGAGACATTTTATTTTGTTTAACTGTTTTCTTTATAAGAAGGTTTACAGAGTCCTTTCTGTAAGTGTTCACATTCCAACTGTCTAAACTGGTTAAAGATCGGATACAATATAATTTTCTTAATCAAAAAATGACTATGAGAAAGTAAAGTTTAATTTTTGAGTTAAATGAAAATAAAGTATGCTTCAAAAAACAACCCTGCAGTTGGAGCCCTGCGTAGACACTACATATTCTTATACGCTGAAATGCATTCATAACCAACCAAAAGTGGTAAGCAGCAAAAAATAACAATTTTAGAAATTCAGTTCAACTTAATTTACACAGAAAGCCTCAAAATATATTTTGGCTATTTGTGGTACATACTGTATGAAGATTGAGCTAAAAGCTGCCAACAGTCCATTTCTATCAGTGAATATGTGTTTTTCATTTCTTTCTTTCTAGATACAATATGAAATATTTGAAATGAAGGAAAAGAAAAGGAAGAAATACGTCTTGGATGAGTTTAGAGGATTTACAGAGTGATCTGTCTTTGTTGTGTGCCTTCTGGTAGTTACTGCATTTGGCCGCTGTGTGTCGCTGCGGGTTTACTCGTGCTCTTTCGGCAGTCTCCGCCGTACCAGATTCTCCATGAAAAACTCGGAGCAGACCGGTCGTCCTCTCTCGAGTAAACACGTCTGATATTTAGATTTGTCCATTTCTATTCAAGGATTATCGTCGAAGTTTGCAGCTCATCCTGTCTTCGTATCAGGTGAGCTGTCTGTCGTTTCGCGCTCTCCCCGCAGCCATTCGTTCATTTTCGGCTTTTGTCGTTCGACGGAAGAATGGACGAAGCGGACTCGGCCACGAAGGCACTCGGGCTGGTTGAACCGCCCATCGGCATTCAGGCGGTGGAAGGCTCGGATACCGAGTCGGAGGCCGAAGTTACCACGATGGCCGTGATGGCCGGACCGGGGAACATCGACATGGGAGCCGAATCCCTGCCGAACCCAGACGAGGCCGAAGCAGCATTTGGAGGCAAGGCGGGCTTTAGCTAACAGCAGCAGCAGGCCTCTGCTGAGCGGGGTGGCGCTAAAACCAAAACACAAACAGTGGTGATGATAGTGGCAACACAAATGAGCTTTTACCTCACATTATAGAAGGGAAACACAAGTCTGATGAATGCATTTCCACATAAAACGATTCAGTTATGTTTCATAATAATAAAGTTGTTTCGTACAATTAAACATGGCTTCTGTGCATGTATGGTATAGGACGTCATTATCTCTTATTACCAAATCCTATTCAAATATTCTGTAATTTAAAGATTTTTTGCCGTTATTTAGCATTTACTTTTGCATATCTGGGTAAAAAAATATTCCATGTACTAAATTAACAGTTTTTCACACATTCGGCAATTAGTATTAAGATTAAAAATTTATCAGTTCTAAGAATATAAACTTTATAACCATGCTAGCCAACTGTGCACTACCAGGGGCGTTTCAAGTCGTTCCAGACTGGGGGGGTTTAACCAGAGCACAGACTGATGAGGGGTGGCATGGAGTACACACACACACACACACACACACACACACATAAACACATAATTTATTTACTCTTCCTGTCATGGCTCATCATACAGCCAATAAAGCCTCAAGCCTAAATTATGTATATTCCCCAGTCATGCTGAGAGAGAGCACCTACATTGTTTAACCAGTTATTTTCTGAATGAAACTCATTATTGTCTATTTGTTTAATGGTAAATCTTGTCTAGTTGTTGTAAAACCTTTCCCACATTGACTTGTGTATCCTTAAATACTGTAGTTATATCATTGTGTAGTTTTACCGTGAGTCTTTAGGTCTACTGGAGGATTTTTTTGTTGTAGCAGTAAGACAGCAGGAGAGCTGATTTTAAGAAGTTTGTAATTAGAAAATGTATTTTGTTTTCTTCTTGATCAGAGGTGACGGCTGTGACGGTGGGAGATGTTCATTCAGGAGAGGACAACGCCTTTACCACCACAGTTGCAACATCAGGAAGTCTCCCTGAACACATGCTGGTAAACAAACACACTCAGCGGTCTCATTTATAGGTGTTGTTGCTTTTGGCACACTCTTCTTTGCACTCATCAGGTTAAAGGCAGCTTCAATATTTTTACTCCTAACATGATTAAGTGGATGTTTCTTGTTGTGCCCTGTATTTGAAGTTAGATTTGCACCTGTAGATCGTGACACATGGTTTGTCATCTGGCGCTAACGGCAAAGTCTATAAACTACAACAAAATAGATTATCGCCTTTTTTGGGAAAACTGGTCTGAAATAAGAGATATCTGTCTATTAAAGATGTAAAAATGTGTGTTTTAGTGTATTTCTTTTTGTTAACATATTCCTTCAGGCCGTCTTTGTTAATGTAGGTTCTTGTTGTGTTTGTGTGCTCCTGTCACAGAGCGGGAGGACCACCCTCCAGCTGGGTGAAGGTCTCAGCACCCAGAAAGCCACCTTGATCGTGGTTCACACTGACGGCAGCATCGTGGAGGCTGCTGGTCTCAAGTCTGCTGCTGCCATGACATCAGGTGCATACTGGTGTATGTGTGTATGTGTGTGTATCGTAAGTGTGTATGTGAGCTGAGCAGGCCATTTTGCTCTCTCAGGTGTCCATATCGAACCATGTTGTTCAAATATTAGCAAACCTAAACCTGAAGGACTGTGAGGTGCATCTTTCTCTCTTTCTTTCTCTGTGTTTGTTTTTGTTTCATCCTTCTTTGTCTCCATCAGACCCTCAGACTCCACCCACCCCTCTGACACCACCCCAGGACAAAGACTCCTGCTCCAAGTACAACTGGGACCCCTCTGTCTACAACAACGAGCTGCCGGTCCGCTGCAGGAACACCAGTGGAGTCCTCTTCAAGAACCGACTGGGCTCAGGTGATCAGCAGAGATCGATAACACACCAGGTTTACAGACCACTCCTCTCTGCATTTGATGTCAGCAGATTGGTGACATTGTTGCATAGGTCAACACTCACTTTTTAGGTAACAAACGGAGCACTGAAAAAGTATTGAAAGCTCTTTTTTGATCACACAAGGTTATTGGTATCATTTTATATTGAAGTCCAAAGCCATCTGCAGGCTGTGGTGTACTCTGGTCCCCCCATGTCTGAAATAACGCCATGGAAGTGCCTTCTAAAATGCCCCCTCTTGTCTCCTTTCAAGGTTGAGAGGTTGAAACATGATGAAGTGCCCTCTTATTGGAAAAATAAGGGGGCAAAACTTCCCTTTCCAGTAGATAATATTTGATAAAGCACCCCTTTGGTAACTAAGCCTTGTTGTCCAGATGCTCATGAAGCTGCTAAGTTCTGGCTTTTTGCTGGTGCCCCCATGGATGGAGGTGTTTTTCCACCTCTGCCCTTTAAACAGCCTCTGTACACCACTTAATGGAGCATCTCTTAGATTCGTGTGCTGACTGTTTTGTGTTGTGTTGTGTTCAGGGGGAAAAGGCCGCTGCATCAGACACAGCCAGCAGTGGTACACTCCCACGGAGTTTGAAGGAGTGGCAGGAAGAGCGAGCAGCAAAGACTGGAAGAGGAGCATCAGATACGCAGGCAGACCTCTGCTCTGCCTCATCCAGGTACTCTGGACTCCTGCAGGGCTGCTGCTTTTACGACGTGCACAAAGATAAACTGATTCTGATTAGAGGTAACTTTGTGAGCAGATTAACTTTCTATGTATGTGTGTGTGTGTGTGTGTGTGTGTGTGTGTGTGTTTGTGTGTGTGTAGGAGCGTATCCTCAACCCCCATGCTGCCTCCTGTACCTGTGCTGCCTGCTGTGATGACCTGACAGGGGTGAGTCCTGAACCACTTAAACCAGAGGGAGAGTGAGGTGGGATGAAGAGGAAGAAGAACACATGTGACAAGTTATCAGTCTCTCCTCTGTGTCAGTTACAACTGGAGGACTTTGACTAAATTATTTCAATATTATCTGACTTTAAATTCTGAGAAATTTCAGGCTGTGTAAACTCTCCTCTGAAAAACCCAGCCTCTAAAATAAGTCTGTGATAATGCTGCTCATCAAACCTTTTACTTTAATCTTCAGTTTGAGATCCAGTCAGAGCAGTGTTTAAACTCTGGAGGAGTTGATTTTGGCGCCCCCCTGTGGACAGAGCAGTTGTTAAGAAACCTTATCTTAATCATTTATTCTGAATATTTTAAAAACAGGACTGTTTCTCCAGCTGCTACCCTCTGTGCATTTTATACACATTTTTTAAAGAAAAAGTGTCAGAGGTGTTCTTGATATTCAGGTCACCAAAACTAATGCAGGTGTTCCTGAATGCACCTGTGCAGAGAGGGGTCTTCGTCCTTTAGCTAGATTAAGAACACATTAGGAGAAACTTGTACAGGTGTGTAATTTCAGGATTTTCAGGATTATTTGGTTTTATTAATTTTTTTTGTATTTTCATTTAGAAAAAAATCAGTGAAAAAATGAACTGTGACGATCGGGAGTTAAACAAAAAAGGGAAAGGACTCAAAATGCAGAACAAAAACAGGATTTATTTTAAAAGGAACTAAAAGAAAAGCAACATAAGAGAAAAAAACACAAAAGATGCAAATTCCAAACAACCAAAAATCACTGGGGACACAAGCAAGCAAGCACACACATCGGCATACAGACATACAATGAACCAACAAGAACAGAGGCGACGACAGGGACTATATACACACTCAGGGAAACGAGCAACAGGTGAGGCAGACGAGACACATGTGAAACTCATGAGTGATTAACGAAGGAGGGAAAACTGAGGCGGTAAAACCAGACTATAAACACAAAGAATAGACTACTACAAGATAAAACAGGAAATAAATCCTGAAAACTGATCTTAAGAATAAAACACAGAGAACAGGAGGGAAACAGGGTCAAAGAAAAACTGAAAACTCCCAAGACTGGATTACAGGAACAATAGACAACAGGAACACGAGGAAAAACACAGAAAATACACTCAAATAACAAAACCAGGGAAAATCAACGGACCATATCATGACATAAACATTTCAAACTGCTTTTGTTCAGCCAAATTATAATTATAATGATCAAAATTATAACCTCATTATCAACTGAAATGACTCCTGACTAAGATAATCTTTAAGCTGTAGATACTTGAAGGGGTTAGGTCTACACAGAGGTCTACACAGATGTAGACCCTCGTTATTGCAGTAATAAGAACTGAATCTGCTCACACAGGTGCAGACTGGTGTGTTTAATACATCACTGTTAGGAGGACTTGGCAGAGAGACATTTTTGAGCTGTCAGTGAATTCTTTATTTCCTTCTCACTCTCGGCCCAGAACATAACGATAAATCTCTGAGTGGTCGAATCATGTGATTGTTTCTTCTTTCCCGGCAAAAAGTGAAGCAGCGGTCAATCACAGACATGATGAGACTGAACTTTGTTTCTGGGAAAGAAGACAAAAAAACAATAAAACATCTGTTTTTCAAAATAAAAGAATTAGACCTTCATAATTGGACTTGAGCTGTAGGTAATGTTCTTGTCTGCTTCTTTCTCTGTAGTGTCCAAAGGATGGAGACACTCTGGTCGCAGAAAGCATCAGTATGGTAAATATGAGGTTTTTCTTTCACTGCAGCCTCATAAAAAGCTTCATTTTTATTATTTTTAGTTATCAAAGAAAAACAGATTTTAAAAAGCAGACTTTGTTGGTTTCCCTGTTTCTTCTTGGCTTGATTCAGACCGGTCCAGTCCGCCTCTTCGTCCCCTATAAGAGACGGAAGAAGGATGGAGGGCCGATAATCAGCCCAACTAAGAAGGAGCTTCCAGCCACCAAGAACATAACTCTGACTCCAGGGACCACATGTAAGACCTCAGTCTGATTTGTAGATTTCTCATATTCAGGATCTTGAAGTCACAGTTTGTTACTCTCATAATTTAGAATAAGAAAAATGTTTTACAAATTTGGGGATTAAAAAACTTCTGGAAGATATTTTAACCCGGTAAGTCATTTCTAGTTGAGATAGGACTTTCATCTGAGAGCCCTGTCAGATTTTGGTTTTATATTTTGCTTTAGTTCTTTAAATATTCTTTTTATAACAGATTTATGTCTCCTAAAATAATTTATCTTCATTAATCTTTTCTTTTCCACCTGATTTTCTGACCTGACTGATTTCTGTCACTTCTTAAATCTTAGTTTTAAATGTGCGTCATGATCAGCAAAACTCAGATGTCCAAACAAACATGTCTGACAGTCTGTCCTTCACCTACAGTCACCGTGTCCCCGTCAGGACAGTTCACCACCTCTGGCACGTTGACCTTTGACCGAGCTCCTGCAGGGGATGCCACTGCAGCTGCTGCCGCCGCCGCCGCCATCATCTCAGAAGGGTCACCGCAGAGCGAGGTGTTCACCAGCACAGCAGGTGAGTACCGCCCAACAAATCGATGCTCAGCTGAGGCACACATTCACGCCAATTATCGTCTTTTCTTGAGGGTCAGACGTGAAGATTCTATATCAAGAAACTCTAAAACTCCTGAAAGTTAAAATGTTCATTTAATGGACTGAACAAAAACCAAAACTCCAACTTGAACAGAAATGATGAACTTTCCTAAAAAACTTTCTTATAGTTAAAAGAAAAAAAGATTACATGTTTTCACCACTAGATGGTGCTGAGTTTGTTTCTTGTGAAGCTCTCGGGTCATGTTCAGGATTAGGAGTTCAGTTAAAATGTAAATTCAAATGTCATACTCGTTTTTCATCGAAGGGATCGTTTCAGTTCAAGTTTAACTTCATTAGATTTTTGGTTATTTTTATAAGTTTATCCTACAACATTTACAGCTTGTCTTTTTACTGTTTTGATTCACGGCTGCTTGATTATTAAATTTTCAGGCAAACAGACTTAAAACTTTCTTATTAGATAAACTGATTATGAGCGTAGATTTTTCTTTAAGGTTTAATTTGTAGGTCAAAAACAGTCACAGGATCTGATATAACTTCTAACTAATGCCTCACATAAGTAGTTTTGGATGAAAAGCAGCCTGCAGTACTCTGATTCAAGAGGGTTGTTTAGTTCATCACTTTTTTTAATCAATTTAAAAATGCATGTAATAAATGAAAATGTCAAAACCTTCACAGCACACACACTTAAAGCAGAGGTCACTGACATGTTCCAGCTCCACACACAAAGTTAAACCGACCTCTGAAGGCAGGAGAGAGAAATAAAGAGTTTCAAATGTCAACAGATTGTAAAGTTTCCACAGATCTCAGGTCAGCAGGCGCAGTAGTGACCAAAACTCACCTTCACCTGAGTCAGGTCCCCTCCAGTAGACCCAAACCTGATGGTCTCATCATGGTTAATCCATTTTCAGGTCAGAAGGAAATTAAAGAGCTTCATATTTAAAGTCCCACTCTGATCTTTTTTTTTTACTTCTTAAAATGCCCTCAGTGGTCTTTAAATTGTGATTATGAAGTTTTTAGCCAGAACCGTGTCACTTGCGCCTTTTTTTAAGGACTTTTCTTCTGCAGAGCTCCAGTAGCTCATTAGCAATTCACCTCTGAGTCGTAGGCGGAGACAGCGCTGCTCTGCACACTCCTCTTCACGCTAGCTTGTAGCCTAACATTGACAGTGTAGTAAAAGAAGCAGGTAACATGAAGCTATTCAGCTCTTGGACACTAATGTCTTTTTGGGGACATGATGAAAGTTAATATCATAATTAGCTTCATTACGAACGTTACAATCCACTAACACACACGCTTGTTCCGCTATCGTCCTCCTGACTTTTCCGAGTCTGGCCTGCATAGTGAGGCTCCGGGGGTGGAGCTTAGATTTGTGATGTAGGAAATCTCACTGTATTTGAACCTGCTGTTTGGGTCTGACAGAGATTCACAGAGATTTTAAATGAAGAAATACTCAGAAATGCAATTTTGCACTTATTTTTCTCATGATATGTCCTGTAGCATCAGAAAAATGAACATATGAACATGTAGACAACAAGAAAAACATGATTTTCATCAGAGTGAGTGTCATTTGGTGTTTTCCTCTGGTAGCAGCAACACTCCACCTCTCTCTCTATTTCTCTCCAGGCTGTCTTTGGTTAACTCCACTTAAACAGCCTCTAACCAGCACCGCGAGGAGGTCTGGTAGTGCTAGCTCTGCTGTATTTAGCCACACTCAGTTTGACACGTCAGCTCAGTGATCCTGTTCTTGGATGTGGAGTGAGAAGATTTGCTCAGTTCTGACTGTTTTTGTCTTATTTTCTTACCTGTAGACGAGTTTGTTTGCTGGAATTTAATTTTTAGTTCAAACAATAAGAAACAAGTCTCTTTAGAGCATCTTTAAATTTAATGTGTAACATTAGCAGAATATCTATATGTTGTTATTTTCAGTAAAATTGGAGTTTGAATTAAAAGCTCTGATGGTACCGCTTCATTTAGGTGTTCAGACGCTGGACTCAGTCTGCTCTGTGTCCACTTTGTCCTTTACATTTCACTCCTCCTCCTCCTCCTCTTCTCTAATACTCTGTGGGGAGTTTCAAACATGCCCCTGCACCCCTGAAAACCTGCAGCCTATCCATCATCCTATCACACATCAGGGAAGCACCGCAGCTGCGTCCTGATTGGCTGTTGCGTACCTGTAATGAGCTCTCAGGAGAGACGCGCTCGCTGTCCTGATTTCTCTGCACGATCGTATCCCCCTCCTCTTTGAAGGACCAATCAGAGATCAGTCTAGGTGACTGACAGATCCGTCAAAAGTCAGGAACGGAAACAAAACTAATAAGTCGTGTTTATTTTTACTTCTGAGTCGGATAATTTTAGTTACAATCAGCTGACAAACAATGAAAATAACAGATGAATCCTCCGTCATCCATGATGCTGCTGCTTCTAACTCCACGCCGCACTGATCCAGCTGTCGGCGCCGTCTCTTCGTCCTTCAGCCTGAGGTTAATTAAGCACTCTGGGCCTCAGTGTGTGTGTGTGTAGGTGTGTTGGTGTGTGTTTATTTTTGAGTTTCAAGTGATGACGTACGAGACGGGAAAAAAAAACAGGTAAAAAAATCAACAGGATGGTTTAATATCTGTTAACAACTCCATCTCTGTGCACACGACAGCTTCACTCAGGAGGACCTGTAGGTTAACTGTGTCAGAGTGAAGTTAGCAGAGCTAGCACCCCCTGCAGGTGAACATCCACACACCTGAGCCGGACACCACCCACATTTAACTCGACATTTTCTCACACCCACTGTCCTCAGACTTCTCCGTCATGTAGCACCATCTCTGAAGAATATCTGGTGTTTTGCAAACGTGAGGATAAACTGAATTTAGACGAGATAAACACGCACCTTTATCTACCTGCCGGAGCACACACTGTTCCCCCGGGAAGAATCAGCGCCTGAGATGGATGTCCGGTTATTTTTGGACTCTCCTGTTCTCAGTGGATCTCTGTGCAGACGTTATAGCGTCGTGTATGTGGGTCATCAGTAGATGTATGGATGGAGGACGCACAGACACACTTAGATCTGCTCGGACCACCCGCTCAGTTTGATTCTGCATGCTTCGCTTCTATTTCAAACATCTGAAGGACCGAAAGAAACCTCAGGAAGAGTCACAGCAGGCGCCGCTTCAGCTCTCATCACAGGACGGCCGCTGCTGCATGATATCCACACGTGAACCAGACCTTTAAATATTCATGAGGGTCTTTTATATTCACTTCATTTTTCACTGAGCTGCCACACCCTAAAGTCATACCATAGGTGAGGACTCGAGCCGCTCCACGTCAGTAAAGACAGACCGTTAAATCGACATGAGCTCACACCAGGTGATTCAATGGACAAGAGTTGGTGAAGTCTGCAAAATAGAATTTTTAAACTCTATTTTAGCTTTAAAGGGAGAAAATAAAACATATCAAAGATTAAAACGATAAGATTTTAATGTTTTATGAAACATTTGAAATCAACACAGGGACGAGAAAACTCTGAAGATGTCCGAAGAACATCTCCCAATTTATCAGGGTAATTACCAACAAGTAAATATCAGTATCTCTCAGTTTAAAGATGGAAAGAGGTTCGCCACGTTGTGAGAGACTGCGTGAGCAAATAGTTCAACATGTTCAGGATTATGTTAAAGTTTGTGGATATAAGATGAATCAAAATTTAAAAACAGACGTGACTCTGTCGTGGGAATCTCTGCACGTTCTCTGAATCAGTTCCTAAAACCATTTTCAGTGACCACAGTTCAACAAATGCATGTTAAAACCAGTGGTGTAGTGGTCCCTGGAGAAGTGGGTATACTATCAGTTTTCACCTTTTTTTTACCTGTTTTAGAAACAGAGACATGTAAGACAACTATTTAGTTTACCCCCAAATCTGTCATTTCTACATGCTCACTATTATAAAATTATCATGATTTAATTAGGAGCAGTTTGTAGTAATTACTGGTCACATAAGCAGCCTAGATGAATGTAAAATGTATTTATAACTTTCATAACTTGAGTCGACATGCACAGTTTAACTATCGGTGACAAAATCTCTTCTCCTCGAAATGTGCGGTCATATTGACAGCAGTTTAAAACAATGATTCATTTGGAAACCGACTTAAAACTCACCTCAGAGTTATGTCGTCCATGAGAGTAGGTTCTCTCAGTATGTGCCCCTCACTTGACAGATGTTTATTCTGTCTTTCTCGTATTTCCACGCATCTTTCAAGGAGACGTGCAGTGACCTGTCAATTAACCGGAGTGGCACTGAGGTGTTAGCAATATTTTCCGCAGCCTCTGATTGGCTCATCAGTCCACATCCTGGAAGTTAACCAGTCTAATCAGTGAAGGCAGCGGGTACCAGCCAATCAGAGGCGGAGGAGTGTGGGTCATGGCTTCACCACCTTGAGTAAAAATGGGACACACAGCTCCCAAACTGTGACACGCAAAAAGGGCGCTGTGTATAAATTTGATGTGAACATGTCCTGCTGTCTGACCAATCAAAATTTGACATTCATTCATCATGGACACCATAAAAGGAAGTTGCAGCTGCTGCTTCCTGTCTCTGTTTATATCTCCACCATCATCTCAGAACCTTCATCAGGCTGCAGCTGCTTCGTCTGACCACCTCTCTTCTCCTCTCTTCTCCTCTCACTCAGTGCTGACTGCGTTGCCGGCGCTGGCTGTGGCGCCTCAGCCCGTTCAGGCCAAGATGACGGTCCCGGCTTCGGTTTCGGTTTCAGCGGCGTCTCCCTCAGGGGGGCTGGTGAGCGGGCTGGAGGTGGGGCCCGTGGGAGGGGTGGGGCCTGTGACGATCAGCGAGGGGCAGAAGAACACGTGGCTGTACCTGGAGGAGCTGTCCAACACGCTGCTGAGCAACGTCCAGCAGCTGAAGGCTCTGATCGAGCAGGCCAAGAACTCCGTGGGGGACACGGCGGGGGTCAAAGGTCAGGGGGGCAGGAAGGAGGTGAGGACACACACTGAAATACTCAGAGTTAAAAATGGCTGCTACACTCTGTGTGTTAATGTGTCTGCGTGTGTTTCCAGGTGGGTTTCAGTCAGACGTTTCAGAACCAGATCTCGTTCCAGCAGCCGGACGACCCGGACGCTAAAAGAGGGTCAGAGATCACCGAGATCATCATCAACGTAGGACACCATCACAGAAAAAACTACACCTGCTCTCCGCCGCGTTCATGTGTGCTCATGTGTTTTCTGCTTCCTTCTGCAGCAGATGTGCGTGAACTGTGGCCGGGTGGCGATGAACGAGTGCACCGGCTGTCACAAGGTCAACTATTGCTCCGCCTTTTGTCAGAGGAAGGTAAGAAGAGAAATTAAAGGTGAATTAATTAAGTCTTTTATCAAGATTTTACAACAAATCAGTTTGTTTGTCTCTGCAGGACTGGAAGGACCATCAACACACCTGCTGCCAGTCAGCAGGGGGCGTCACTGTCCAGGAGGAGGAGCCAATCACAGCCATGGACATGGACAAAGTAAAATGAAATCATGAAAACCAGAACCGGGTTTTACTGAAGTCCAAAAACTGAAAATGAGTCCGGACACATCTGCTCTGAGCTCTTCAAATCTTTGTTCTGGGGCTTTTATTGTGAAAGGTTCCACAGAGACTGACAGGATCTTGAAAAGTTGAACTTTTATTCAAAAGTCAGACGAGCTTTAGAGACAGTTCAGGTGTTCCCTCGTAGAGTTCCCTAGTGGGCGTTAGAGGAACTGCACCGCGGCACATTAAATTAAGAGGGTGAAAGGATCGAGAATACCGCCAAGTATCAGTATTAAATGTTGAGGACGAGTCTGTTTGTTATTACCTCAATAAATGTTTGTTTTTTAAAAATATAATTATGCTTTTTTCTGCTTTTAAGGGCTTTAAATCAAAAATAAATTAAAGGAGATCAAGTTTTTATGTTCCTCAGAGAGAGACAGACACTTGTGCTCTCTTTAAAGTGAGTTTACCAGGTGAAGTGTGTAGAAATGGGAACATTTAGCAACATTCAGCCAACAGATTCTGGATTGAAAAGCTCCCTTACTCACCCCTGCCAGAGGAAAGACGGTGGCCTTGAAGGACAAAAAGCTCTTGTTATGCATGATAGTTTTGATCGCCTGTTTTTCAAGTTTTACTGTCAAAAGCATCTGAAACATCTTCATCCTCCAACCCACTAAGTACAAAAACTCATATGATAGAAGTTTGTCCCTCCTGTGTTACTGTAGAAATGTAGTTGTGTGAGATGGCAGACCCTGTGGAGAACAGACAGATAAAAAACACCGACTTAAATATACTTAAGAACATGATGCTCCAAATCTACAAAGTCTGATCTGCTAAGTGCTGCCAAATACTGACGTACTGCACCTTTAAAAATCGATTTAAAAATACTCACCACTTCATCAGCGTGAAAACTTTGACATTTGTTAACCTCCTGCCAGCTACCGGCCCTTTAAATAATTTCTCCCAACATGCTCTAACATACAATTATGACCATAGGAATAGAGATATGACAGAGGGGTATGAAAGGGTTAATTAGTGTTAATGTGCATGAAGTGATTAAAATCTCCCTGGATGGAAATATTCATCCTTTTAAAGCCTTTTGATTAAGAGTGGTGGTGCGGTCTAACATCATGGAGCCTAATCAAGAAGAAAACTCAGATAAATGAGCTGTTTTTTTCTCACGCTCAGTTGTTTGATTCCAGCGTTATTAACTCTGATATTTATTTAATTTATCTAATACGTCTTTATTTAATATCTGAGCCGCTACTTTCACTAAAACGCATTATAGGGTCAGTTTTTACCCTTTGATCAAATTTGACAAATTTTCCCTCCGAGACTAAAAAGATGGTATCACGACATTTCAGGAAAAAAAACAGGACAAGGACTTTAAAGTCAGCAAACAGATCTGCAGGATAATTTTAACTAACTGACTGTCAGACTTGATCAGTTTTACTTTTTTTTTTTTATCTGTCTACGTTCATTTAGTGATTTTATGGATGAAACAGACTTCAGGTCGTAGTTTTATCATCTTCAGTCTCAGAGGGAATAAAAATCAGGATCATTTTTTCTCTGATCGACTCTTTTTATCTTCTGTCGTGTTTCTCTGTCAGTCAGCTGATCCAACCAACACCCAGGTCTCAACACCTGGACTCTTTCTCCGACAGAGACATGCTGTTGTAACATGCAGCGTCAATGTGGTTTGGCTTTCTCTCGCTAAAATTTCCAAACTTGTCTGAATTGTTCAGCATGAATGGAGTTGTTGCAGTTTAATACTCAGGATGATTGTTGATCTATTTGCTCACGCGGTCCCTCACAAAGCAGTGAACCTCTTCCTAGCTTTACTTCTAAGGAACTCCGCCTCTCTGGGAAACTCCTACAGGTGATTTGTATGATTTTTCAGTGTTTTTCCTCCCTGTCCCAACATTTTTTAGACACAAATTTAAATGAGAGGTCACATTTTTAGCATTTCATATGTTTTATAAGCTTGAAATGATCAGAAAACTGTCAAATTCTGTTTTTATATAATCATCTTTCTCTGTGTCTTCACCTTTGAGGAAATTAGGATGTTGAAGAAACAAGGTTTTAGGAGCTTGGACCTGATTTTACCTCGTTTTTAACTAAATTTTAGAGGTAAATTCCTGTTTATGTTGCTCGTAGGTACCTTTATGCAAGTTTCTGACACTGACCGACCAAGAAATCAAATCTAAAGACACAAACCTCAGAGGAAATTAATTTTTAGTGCAAACTTTTATTCTGAAAAGATGAATTTCGACATATAAAACCTTTTCTTATTGGCTGTGTGATGCAGACATGAACCTGATCCTCTTAAAACTTCAACTCCTCAGACTGCGGCGTCGTCAAACATGAAGCTCAAACAAACTTTGCTGTCGTCACACGTAGAAAAATAAAAAGCTCACAAATGAGTCCATCAAGAGTGACAAACGCAGACTACAGACACTAACGCAGAGCTGTCAGCGGCGGAATAGGCGGAGACTGAAGCGTCCTCAGCCTGCGTTTTTAGAGCAGCAGCCGTGGAGGAACTTCTTGAAAAAGTTTCTAAACTCGGTGTTGAAGACGGTGTAGATGACGGGGTTGATGGCGCTGTTGACGTAGCCGAGCCACGTCACCACGCTCATCAGGGCTGGCGGGATGTTGCAGTCCTGACAGCGAGCTCGGAGCGTGTGGAGGACGAAGAACGGAGTCCAGCAGAACAGGAAGGCACCTGCAGAAAGAGAAGAACCAGAGATCTGGTCAGAATTTCTTTGTTTTCATAAATCGCTGAGTCAAATAATTTCACATTTCAGCTGAGTGAGAGAAAGATGCACAAGGCCGCTGCAGCTCACACAAACAAATATAGGGCTGGGCGAGATGGCCTCAAATCAATATCACAATATATTGATCAGTTCACCTCGATAATGATAAATGGACCATAGCTACTTCACAAGCTGCTCACCCCCTCCCACATTAACTTCGTCTACTTCAGCTGCTACAACTTTTGAACCGTCCTCCATCTCCTCACCTGTCTTTCCCTCTTTGTTACAGACTGGATGGGGTGGAGTCACGTCTCTGACGTAGGACAGCGTCTTAAAGGGACATGAGACCATAGCCTACCTACACACATCCAAAACCTACTTTTTGATTTATTTTTTTGACACTGAGTATACCGATATGGGCAAAATGACGTTGGTTATTATCGTAAATTTCGGTATCTGTAAATTTTCGGTTTATCGCCCAGCCCTAGACAGACACACAGTTTTATTTCATTACACATGTGCTTTTTAAGCTTATATTTCTCAGTGAGCATTAAAGGGGAAGTCTTTAGTTTTATAAACCACCAGACGTGTTTGCAGAGTTTGAAGCTAAACTGTCGTCACTGAGAGAAATCAAACTGCAATGAAGAAAACTGAAGCTGAAGCAGCGAGAACTGCAGTTCTTCAAGTGTCCACTAGAGGCTGTCTCTGAACATCCCAATGACCCAATTAACAGCCATGTTCATCTGTAAGATCATCAACTCAGCAAGAAAACCTGCAGCCAGAGCATCGACAAGGAAGTCACACACCAACGTTTGGGACGTCAGCATCATGTGATGTGAACAGACCAGGACAGGATCACATGACTAAAGACGGACTGAAACGGGGAAACCCCAAATCACATGGTATGAAACTGTGAAACTGTCACGGGAGCGAACACAACAGGCTGCAGAGGGCAGAGAATTAAAGAAGCTCATTGACGCCTTCTGTCCTTTAGAGAGTGGTCAGTAAATAATACGATCAGGGTCGACTGATGGGCTGGTGGACTAAAGGCTGTTAACGAGGAGGAGAAAGACCCGCCTCAGCTTTGCCTCTTACAAGATCAACACATGCAAGATTTCTATAACTTTAACTGCATCATTTTCAGTTTGTTCACAGTTGAAGCAGCTCTTTTGTCTTTTTGCGTCTGCAGTTTGTTCCTGCCGTTGACCTCGTCATCTAAAACATCTTCAGAAACTTTTGAGACGAGTAAATCTCCTCAAACTCTGCAGCCGCCTCTTACACCATCAGGTGAGCAGATGCAGATTAATGAACGAGGAGCGCACACTGAAAACTCTGTCTGACCGAGCTTTACGTAATAATTGGATTTCAGATTAAGTAGCAGCAGGATTAGCTGCTGTGTGCTAAAGGGAAGCACTTCTGCGCATTAGGACCAACACTGGCTGCTATTAATAGGCCGACCTTTTCTTACTGATGTGAGAGTGACTGAACAGATATCAGAGATGGAGGTCAGTCATCCTGACGGCATGTGGGAAACTTTTTAGTTTTCATTCATTTAGATATTTGTGAAATAAACTCCGAACTTTGATTCTTTCTACTTCTTTTCAAGATATGAATCAAAATGTTAAGAATAAAGTCAAGGTATTTCTGTTGCATAACAAAAACAAAGTCAAGAAAAGAAAGTTGACATTCTTGTTTTGAAGGAGGTCATGTTTTAGTTGTCGTGTTTTTCTCCCCGACTCAGTCTTTTCAGTGAGCACCAACCACACTGGGAGCTTTACAAAGGCTCACAGATTTCAGGGTTCTCTTGGCAAGACATTTTATCCGTCCAAGGCTCAAACCCAAACAACAAAACAACATCTCACAATGATGTTTGGAACAATAGTGTGCTTCACTTTCCCATACTGCAGATGAAGGACTCCTCATACTCTACAATGACACAAAAAATACAATTCACAGCTTCTTTTCAGCCAGTGATTGTCTGTTTGTGGCATTCATCAGACTTCCTTTTACAACTTAAAGTGTTTATATAAACTCCAAGTATTTATGTAATAGAGTTTCCACACACTCCAAACCCTGAGCTTACCCAATTATCAGGCTTAAGCGTCAGGACTTTCCTATTTATGAATTTTTAGAAAATCCAAAGCAACATCTACAGGAAATATAAAAGTAGGCGGTCTTTGTACAAATATGGATTTACAATAAGAAAAGCAGGTCTGACATATTTTAGTTTTTGCTGGTTGATTTCAACTTTCACACCTTTTTGTAAATTATATGACATCAGACAATACAGTTTGATATGACACAGTCTGATACCGTACGATATATGATACGATACGGTATGATATCGTATGATATGATATGATATGATATATGACATGATATGATATGACATGATACGGTTCTACACAATTCAAATTGAGTTAGTATACTGTATGGTATGATCTGATTAAATTCATCAGGTCATGTTAAACTACAATACAGTATGATATGATGTGATACTACATGATAGAATTCCACACAAATTTAGAAAAAACGCTTTGATATGATATGATACATTATATGAAATATGATAATATATGAAAATATATGATACAATTTGATGGTATAGGACAAGATACAATGCAGGAAGGTACGCTACAATTCGTAACCAGTTGATAAAATTCCCTTCAATATGACGAGAGTTGATATGATAGGATATGATACATTATGAGATAAATAAATTGATAAAAATATGCAATGATATGATGAGCTGATATGATATGAAACAATATGTTATTATATAATATGATAAAATAGGATACAAATGGATACAATATGTTTTGAAATGACTTAAATTGTTACAATACGATATAACACGATATGGTACATTACAACATCTGACATGATAGGCTACACTGAAGTTTAGTTGGATAAGACACTATTTGATATAATTTGTTATGTCAGGATTTGATATGTGACAAGTACAAGTAATAATTTGGTCCGATACAATATGAAAACTGATATGATACGGTTTGGAATGATACGATACGACACGATACAATATGATATGATACGATACGATACGATACGAAACACCTTACGGTCCCCAAAGGTAAAATTTTCCTCATTATCATATAAGTAGTATCACAAACATAAATCAACAAGTACACTAGTGATGCACCCTCAGATTACTCCTAAATGTCCCCCATTTTTTCCATCTTTCCTCAAAGTCCACAACAACAATAAGTGAGAAGAGACCATCACAAAGCTGTGGATCCAACCCTCCTTCAGCCTCAAGAAACATGGTTAAATATCTGTTCATGTCGACCTAGTTAAGTTAGTGTAACATCAACGTTCTCTACAGTGTATCCTCGGTAACAGAGTTAAGGGTTAGAGGGTTTCCAGGATGTTCAGAGACCTCTACGTCACATCATCTCAGATACACTGATGATCCTCGTCTATTTTGGCTGATTACTTGGTTTGTTGGTTCCCCTGAAGCCTTTTGTTGCCCATCAGCCGCCCTGTCTCTACTGTATCTGGGTGTCATATGAATAACCTTAAAAAAGAGAACTCACCCACGACAACAGGAAGCACCTTCATGGCCTTCCTCTCCCGGCTGTTGATCTTGGCGGTCTTCCTCTTGCGGGGTTCGGGGTTATACTTGATCTCTCCTAAACTGACCGTCCTCACTTGGTTCTCTATGTAGTCCGCTGAGGTGTACGGCTGTTCTTGAGACAGGAACTGATCCTCTGGAGAGTCTGAAGGTTCTCGCTCTATGATGGGGGGCAGTGGCGGTGGCAGTGAGGCCAGCGGGGGCAGCGAGGCGGCGGCCTCCTGCAGCTTCCGGCACGCCTGGATACTGTTCTTCAGCTTGGCTTTCCTCGCCTCCTCCCAGCGCCGAAGACCACGAAAAATGCCGCAGTACAGCAGCAGCATGATGGGACAGGGGATGAAGAAGGAGCACACGGACGAGTACAAAACATAATCGTCATTCTCGAGTTTGCACTCGGTCGGGTCACGGCCCGGCACGTTGTTGATGCCGAAGATGACTGGCGAGGCCACGGCAAGAGCGAGGATCCACGTGGCCGACAGCAGCACTGCCTGCCGCAGGTCCACATGCTTCCTGTTGTAGTTCAGAGGGATCAACACGGCGATGAACCTGCAACAACAAGAGACATTTGAATGTCTGAATAACATCAGGGTGACCATACGTCCTCTTTTACCGGGACATGTCCTCTTTTTTAGGGGCTGTCCGACCTTGTCTGGGGAGGTTTGTAAAATCCTTTAAATGTCCACGGTTTTGGACGGAAGTTTCGAGTTTGTGTCACGTGGACTTGCTGAGTTTGAATCACGTAAAAGACACTCGATCTGACCTAAAAAACTCTCAAAATTAACTTCGTTTTTTGGGTAGTCAGAATATGGTCACCCTAGAATAACATCAGAGTCACCTCCGGGGTCTTTTTCGGAAAGTTTTGCCTCAAAACTTTGATTTTTAATTTGGATTCAGAACCAAAAAATGTCTACAGGTGTTACCTAATCCGTGCAAAAGTGGAGCAGCCTGAGAGGGGAAATTCAGGGCACAAAAGAAAGCCTGTTAATGACTCAGTGCAGCTTTAGGAGCTCGTGGCTGATTTGATCAAGTTGGCAAAAAGCCTGAAGTGCTTCATGAAGTCAGAACAACATGGAAGGAAAACTTGAACGACAGAAAAACAAACAAATCTACAACTAAAACTCAAAGTATAGGAACAAAAGCAGCACCTGCATCACTTTAACAATTACAGTCTTTGTTGACGGTCTCACTCACAGACTTTCTGTTTCCTCCTGCAGACACTTTGACCTTTTACAGATGAGGAGAATCACAGGAGACACTCATATCATTTAAAATGTGTCCCTACAGTCGTTACACTAATGCAGCAGTTATTAGTTTCACCTGTGATTGACAGCAGCGTACACTGCATGCTGGGAAAGTTACCCATTTAACCCTTTGTTTAAGTAAGTCGTCCTTAAAGAGATATTCCTGTTACACACCGTAACACCGAGTTAGACACCCCGTTGAGAGATAAATGCTGCTGACCGCTTGCTTCTCTAGTTATACCAACTTTAGTAATGACCGCAGGATAGCAATACAGAGAGCCACGCCCTCAACCAAAACACCACAAATAATGCTCAGAACAGCACCTAACTTCATCAACAGGACATATAGGGTCACAGCCATAGTACTAGACACCAAACATCTTTTTAACTTTGATTAATTTCTTTAACAAAGAGACTAAACACAACTCACCTACTCTCTTCCAGCAGCCGCTTGTTTGTACAGAGACCTCCGGGCGAGGCCATTGACTGCAGTGTGCTTTCTTCATGGAAATGCAATCAGACCGAGACGCTAAGACAGAAGAACTACAGTGTCTGTAAAATGATTAATATGGTGATTATTACTTCAAGGAAATGATAAAGAAATGATCATAAATGTTCTTCCTTGAGCTGCGTCCCCCCACTGTAGTCCGTAATGGACTGGCCTGAGGTCTCGCTACAAACAAGCGTCTGCTGGAAGAGAGTAGGTGAGTTGTATTTAGTCTCTTTGCTACAGAAATCAGGAAGTTAGGTGCTGTTCTGAGCATTATTTGTGGCTATAGAGTGGCGTTTTGGTTGAGGGCGTATGGCCCTTTGTATTGCTATCCTGCAGTCGTTACTAAAGTTGGTATAACTAGATATTCATCTCTGGATGGGGTGTCTAACTGGATGCTACGGTGTGTTTGACACTAACTTAGTTTTACGCCGGAATATCCCTTTAATGTTTGAGAATGCAGCTTCTGGTCGTAGTGATTGAAGAACGACTTCTTTGACTTTCAGGTACAAAAAAATGACCAACTGTCCCTTTATTCAGGGTGTTCCTGTTTCTGTTCAGTAATCCATCTATCAGTGACAGCCAGTCATCGTTCAGTTTGTTGTCAAAAGCATCAAACCTGCACAGACACCAGAAGATTTCCCCCTTCAGCAGCAGGTGGACTCTCTGTGGACCCCCAGGATCCGTGTCCAGCCCTCCCCTCATGAATTATTCAGACTCTGTCGCTCGGTTAAACCTCTTACTGCCGCCGCCTGCCTCAAAGAGCTTCAGATCATCATCATCAGTCCACGTTAGCCTCACTGCCTCCATCCGTCTTTGATGTAATCATATTTTCCTCCAGTCAGACATCAGATTTTCGGAGCGGCTCCGGTTTTTCAGCTCAGATTTTCATCCCTCAAATTCAGATAATCTCATTGAGTCAAAGTTAAAAGCTCAGAGTAAAGACGTCGGTTCATCACCACAGACTCATTCCTCGTTGGAGACTCTAAATTCCTCCTCATTTCTCTTATTTTGGAGCTTTTACAGGAAACAGACAAAGTGAATCTGGTGTTTTTTTCATACAGTGATCTGTTCGTTTACCGTCTGACTATGAATAGACAAATTCTGTGTGAGGGGTCTTCAGGGCTCCTGTTTGATTAATCAGCTGGTTATTTCTGGGTGACCCTGAACCCAGGCCCATTAAAGCTCTGATTAGGACCCTGAGTGTCTGCGCTATAGCTGACCTCTGACCCCCTACTTTAAATCAAATCTGCGGGGTTTCCTCTGGTATCACTTTCAGAGAGATGCATCTCCTTCGTTAATCACTCATGAGTTTCACCTGTGTCTCGCCTGCCTCACCTGTTGCTCGTTTCCCAGTGTGTGTATTTAGTCCCTGTCTTCCTCTGTTTCTTGGTTGGCTCACTGTGTGTGTATGTGTGTGTGTGTGTGTGTGTGTGTGTGTGTGTGTGTGTGTGTGTGTGTGTGTGTGTGTGTGTGTGTGTGTGTGTGTGTGTGTATATGTATATGTATGTATGTATGTCTGCTGGTTCACCGTGATCCTCTCTGTGTGAATCCCATGTCTCCTTGTGGTTTTTTCCCCAGTGACTTTTTTGTGGATTTTGCTTTTTGAAATTTTCTCTTTTTGTTGTTTTTCATTTAGTTCTTTTTAATATATCCTTTTTTTCTGCATTTTTGGGTGATTTTCCGCTTTTTCAACCCTGCGCTGTGACAGTATCTTATTCTGTAACAGTCCTACTGTATTGTATCGTATCAAACCGATTAGTATCTATCATATTCTAATATTTCTTACTGGATCATATCCTATTGTTTCAAAGTATATAGTGTATCATAGCATATATCAACAGTAAGAATAGTAACTTATTGCATCATATCGTATTGTATCCTAAGTTATCATATCATAACTAATCGTATCGTATGGTACCATAACTTAACATAACCTATTGTATCGCAACTTATTGTATCGTATGGTACCGTAACTTATCGTAATTTATTGTATTGTAACTTATCATATTTTAACATCTTGAATTACAATATATTGTAGCATATTGTAACAAATTATTTTGTGACAAATTGTATCATAACTTATTGTATTATATAGTACCATAACTTATTGTATCGTAAGCAAGTTATCATATCGTAACTTATTGTAACTTACTGTATCATAACTTATTTTATCGCAACTTTTTGTATTGTAACTTTATTTATAGTAACTTATTCTATCGTGACTTATTTTATCGTAACTTACTGTATTGTAACTTATCGTATCGTAACTTATTTTATCATAACTTATTGTATTGTAACTTATTTTATCATAACTTATCGTATCGTAACTTATTTTATCTTAGCTTATTGTATTGTAACTTATTTTATCGTAACTTATTGTATTGTAACTTTATTTATAGTAACTTATTCTATCGTAACTTCTTTTATCGTAACTTACTGTATTGACTTATTTTATCGTAACTTACTGTATTGTAACTTATTTTATCGCAACTTATTTTATCGCAACTTATCGTATCGTAACTTATTTTATCATAACCTATTGTATCATAACTTACCGTATTGTAACAGTATCACTGCTGTCAGTTTGCTGTCGTATTCTCCAATCATTGTCAAGACATTTAAAGTCAAACAAAAACCTGGAGAATCAGGCTCAGACTCTCTTATACATGAAGCACAAACACACTGCGTCCCTGCCAGGTGCATTTTCAACAACGAGGTAAACTTTGGTTCAGGCGAGTACAGACACAAACACTAAAATTAAACCCAAAACAAACGAAAATCCGGACACTGAACAAATCTTTGCAGGTGAGCGCTCACCTGTCGACGCTGATGGCGCAGAGGTTAAAGATGGAGGCGGTGCATAGCATCACATCCATGGTCATCAGACTGTCACAGATGGTGGTGCTGAGGGTCCAGACCCCGTCCTCAAACTGAAACACAAAGACACACTCAGTTTGTTCAAATTCACAACACACACAAACTACACAATTGTCACACATCGAAGAGTTGATTCACACGGCCAGGGTCATATTTTGGTTCACGATGAAGCTGTCTTGGTGTAAGTCTGTGGATTTAGAGCTTGTGAATTCTGGACTTGTTGAGAGTGTTTTAACATTTCATCCTCAAGCTTGGTTTGGACACTTGAGTTGCACTTGTAAGGTCCCGCCCTCCTATGCTTCTGATCGACTATAAGTGCTGGGCTCCGATTGGTTATTCCTTATGACTGTGAAACGTCATTGTCTGTCAGGTTAGGGTTACGATGAGGGTTAGGTTTAGGAGATTCAGAAGTGCGATAACGTTCTCTGATGTTCTGTTCGATGTACGGAGCTGACAGCTCTCGTTTGGCTTGAGCGTGTGATGATGTTTCCAACTTTTCCAGCCAATCAGAGGTGGAGGAAGCAGAACTTTCCCCAACCATCCAACAAAAAAAAATATTGCGACCTGAACTGCTCTACCTCTATGTTTTAATTATTTTACTAGATCCTATTTTACAACTTTAATTCCTGTCTTTACGATGTCTAACCTCTGTTTTTATTGTGTCTATTTTATGTCTTCATGTGTGTCAATGTTTGTAGTTTTGAAATGAATGAAGTAATTATATTATTGATCCGCAGCCTCAAACAGATTAACCCAAACAGCAGCAGCAGTATCTTTGACGTAAATAGAGGCGTCTGCGTTTGATTGTTTCTCTCTTATTTGGTGTTTTCTTTGTTTGAGTCAGATCGACCTCACTGATTTAATGAGTCAAGTTTCACTTTTTTAAAGATCTGCAGACGCTTGAAACAAAAACAGTTGTGATCAGGGAAACAGCGTAGACTGGAAAAACACAAAGAGCAGGAGACAAAAGATTGATGACAAACTGATAAATATGGACCCGGTCTTATTGTTCGCAGTTGTTGTTTTTTTCCTAAGATCCATTGTTGTTGTGGGGCCCCTTGTCTGACCTTTGACCCCCCACACTAGAGCTGACCTCTGGAGGAATGTACAGAGCAGACACTGTTCAGGACGTGGATTATTCAGTGATATGTGGCGGTCAGATTAAAACGTTCCCTTGCTCACCCCTCCTGTCAATGAAGTAATGGCGGCTTTTCAGGACCATGTATCTTAAAAAAAACCAATATCACTGTACATGGGAGGAGGCCATCAGTGCGAACACAAGGAGCCAATGACAGGAGCGGTCCGAATCATGTGACACGTTAGTTTCATTATATCAACTTTATAGACCTACGAGATCTTATCCATCAAAAACAAAAGTTATCTGCGATGATTTACGAGCACATTTTAGCAAAATGTTGTTATTTCGGTTGTTCGCTGACTACACAAGTTGAAAGCCACCATCTTTGTTCTGGTGTGTCCACCAATCAGAGGCTGTATCTGCAACAAGATGACCTACAAAGGTCCAATCAGAAGCCAAGGTCCCCATCCTTCATCTAAACATGATGGTGCAGGTTGGTGAGACTCACTCCTATTTAGATATAAAAGATAAAAGATAGATATTACCTGTCTTTTCTGTGTATGTGTATGTGTGTGTGTGTGTGTGTGTGTGTGTGTGTGTGTGTGTGTGTGTGTGTGTGTGTGTGTGTGTGTGTGTTTTTACAATTTTTTATTTATTGTTCTACGGATCGCCCTCGTGTCCGTGCCTAACATAAAGTGTTGAATTGAATTGAAAAGTTTTGTTTATGTATTTAGGAAGGAATCAGGTTTCATGTGAAGGTGTTTCTACATGAATTTAAACTGGATCCTTTACCTCATTTCTATCAAGCTTCTGCTGATAAATACCAAAAACTGCACTCGCACTGTCAAATCTCCTCCATCTACACTATCATGATGTATTTCAGGTGGGATTCAAAGAGGCTGATTGCAGGTCAAAGGCGTTAAATGTGATCTATTCAGTGGTTTTAATGGTGAATCTGTACGGATTATCTTGATAATTAGGTGTAAAATTTGCATTAATGAGAAAAGGCTTCACAGTTAAAACCTAAATACCTGAATTAAACACATAAATCTGATATTTTGTGAGGACTCTTGGACACTCACAACCCTCACACATCCGACTTTGAAAAAACAAAATAAGCTCTATAGTTTATTATTGGATTTAACGGTCAATGGATAGGAGCTGATTGTTAATTAGGAGAAATCTCATCCCATTAACTTCTACTTAATTCACAGATCATGACACCAAGAAATAAAAGTGATTCTAAGGATCGTACTCATCTTTCCCAAAGTCATGCCAGGGGTGAATTCAAAGGGTGGCTACGGCCCCCTTTGAGATCTGGCCACCCCAGAAGCCGTCCCTAACATCTTCAACTATGATAGGCTGTTAGATCTAGTACGTACCGGTGTTTTCAGCGCGGACATCGATCCTGTTAACCTTTGGCTAATGTGTTTGTCGATTGTTTTGGTACATGATAGGTCAACGAGGAATCAGCTGAGCGGTTAGGAGCTAAAAAGAGGGCATGTGCTCTGATCAGGAAACGGTCTAGTTACTGTCAGTCACAAACACTGAAGGAGACGTCAATCTCTGTTATGTCAGGACAACATTCAGAATATTTTCAGGCATGTCCAAACCAGGGATGAGGGTTTTGCAAAATCCGCTGGTGAGGGTTTAGAAACTGCTTCAAAAATCACCAGGGTAGACCGTCTCCTTTCACTTTAAATCAGGACCAGAGTAGATCTAGATCTGGTCACATTACCTGTCAAACTATATCTGCTTGTCTGTGTGCATGAACATACTGAACACCGCCTCTGCTAAAGTCAGTGCCCCACTTTGGCCAGCCCTGCAGAAGTCTGGCTCGGTCCCTGTGTCAGGCACCCTGGAGGATCTTAAAGGAGCTTAGGTGTTGGCCTGTCAAATCAGCAGACACATTAAAGGATCTCTGCTTAACTCCTTAATGAATTAAGATCCAGTTGGGTGTGTTTTGGAGGTTTCTGTGGGAACTCTCTGAGGAAGAGTCCGGGTAGAAAACAGTTCCTGAAATCGATTAAAAAGGACTGATTTGTAAGACTCTGCAGACCTGCACCTGGACTAGAATAAAGCAGGTCTTTAAGTCCCTCAACAGGTGGAGGTCCCTGTAGTTAAACAGAATCCTACCTGTAAAGATCTAATGCATGCTGTTCCCACGGTTCTGATCTCACCTCGGAGTAGACAAAGAGAGGCAGGACGAGCACCGCCAGCATCAGGTCCGCCACCGCCAGGCTGACGATGAAGTAGTTGGTGGTGGTCTTCAGCGCCCTCTCGGTGAACACGCTCAGACAGACCAGCAGGTTCCCGCTGATGATCACCACGATCAGCAGCACCCCGAACACCAGGGCCGGCAGGTTGTGGCCCCTCACGTCCGCCTCCGGGGCTGCCGCAGCCGCGCTCAGGTTGGCCGCCATCTCCGCCGCGGCTCCTCCGCTCCGTCCCGGTCTGAGCCACAGCAGCGTGGCCAGCGGGCTCTCATGAAGGCCGGGCCGGACTCTGATCCCCGCACTGAGGTGCCATCCCGGGGACTGAGTTCAGACTCTACCGTGGAGCTCCAGGGCGCTCCGGTGCGCACTTTACGCGAATAATACGCGCGTAAAACAGGACAGAACCAAGTGAAGTTTGGTCTCCCTCGCGAAGAAAAAAACAATCTAACTTGTAATTATGAAAGTGGAGCAGATAAAGTCCCGTCTGTCCATGAGAGAGAGAGTTTTGGAAGTCATGGAGATGTAAAACTCGGAAAAATCGCCAGAGAGTTGCGGATAAAATCCATGACTCCTCAGTGCTGAGTGAAAGACCCTCCGGGGGGGTCCGTGGGTCAGCCCACGGAAAGTGTGTCGACCTGCGGGTGATTTCAGTGTGTTTACCTGCAGGCTGCGAGAGGCCAACGGGGCAAAATTAGCAGATTAAAGCCGCTTATCAGCTGCGCTTTACCGCGTCCTTCAGTCCTTGAGCTCCAGCGGGAGACAGTCTCTCCATCTGTCCGTCACTCTGTCCACGTGTGTGAGTGAGAGAGAGAGAGAGAGAGAGAGAGAGAGAAAGAGAGAGAGAGAGAGAGTGTCTGACTTGACAGCTAATTAAAAAGTACAAGACAGCAAATGTCACAGACGAGGATCATAAAAAGTGGAGCTGGGAGACAGAAATACGACCAAGTTCTTCTGATTCTGTCCTGAAATTAAAGACCGTGTGGAAAAAGTACGGTGGCCGAAAACTGCCACTGCTGCAAAAAAAAAAAAATAAAAAAAGGGAAAAAAAAGAAAAAAGAAAAAAGAAGTCACAACAGAAGTTACTGATGCAAAAAAAAAAAAAAAAAAAAAAAACAAACAAACAAACAAAAAACAATGTGGAAAAAACAAAGTTACTTACTGTGAAAATAAAAGGATGCAAATAAAAAAAGTGAGCTGCCGGGGACCAATAACAATGATGCATCTGTGTTTTACGATATAGGCAAAGAAGACGACGGCGAGAAGATGAGCGGAAAAGTTAGTGGAAAGGTTTTTGTTTAATTTTGCTTTGTAAACTTTTCAATGTGTCGTTTGGTTAGGTCATGTAGCGCCTGAGTCGATATGAAGTTGATCTAGAGGATGCTGTTGTAGTGTTAGCTTCAGTTCAACTTCATATCGACACATCGGCGCTACATGACCAAATGACACATTGAAAAGTTTACAAAGTGCAATTAAACAATAACCTTTCTACTTCTTTGCTCGTCTTCTCACCGTCGTCTTCTGCACGTAGATCATAAAACATCGGTGCATCATCGTTATTGGTCCCCAGCAGCTGACTTCTGTTGTGGCTTTTTTATCTGAACCGTTTCTTTTTTATTTGCATCAGTAACTTTCGTTGTGGTTTCCTCATATGACAGCAGTGTCCTAAGGTTGGTAAGAAATATGACCTCAAACACTAGCCGTGTGTTGTATGGAGAATAAAGGCTTCGGTTCTCTGCCACTGTAGAAAAACACGAGTGTGTGACATTTCTATTAGTGTAGGATGTAGGATGATCAGGTTACTGATGGTAACCCTGAGCAGGTGTCAGGGAGGAGGAGGAGGAGGAGGAGGAATCCCCCCCACAGACCGGAAACTACAGGAATCCTCTGCTGCTGTGAAGAGTCAACATCTGGACTTGATCACCTGACCAGAGAGGACTCTCATTAAAGGAGGAGGAGGAGGATGAGAAACCTTCATCTCTTTAACATCAGATCATTTAGTGTAGATCAGAATCAGCCACACTTCACTCCAGAACACACTTAAATAATATAAACATCATATTCATGTGTAATATTCAGGGTTCATATGATTTCATCTTTGCTATGAGTGCCTGTGTTTCAGAGTCTGTCATCAAACAGGTCTGTAAAAGCTGATAGCATCCCCTAGAGGCTGCAGTGTTCCTTACAGCTACAGTATAAATGAGGATTACTCAGAGGTCGACAGAGTTCTCGTACCCTTCACGATCTCCATGGTGTCTGTGTGTGTTCTTCCTAAAGTGTGTCAGAGTCTGGACTCCCTGCTCTCTCGGTCTCTGGAGGTGATGATTTGACTTCTCTGAAGTGTGAGGCCATGTGTCTCCTCTCATGATGGATCAGCTGAGCTGTGATGTCAGCCAAACCTCCAGGGATGAGGGTGCAGACACACCTCTCGTCCTGTCCTGTCCGTCAGAGTGGAGTTAACCTTCATCAAACTGTGTGGAGGATGACGAACCCGGGATTCGTAAACCTCTCTCCCTCTGCTTTCGTGCATTTTGAGGTCAAAGGTCTTAACCTTTGACCTCCACTGATATTTCCGTGACAGTTTTACTTCAGTAAGATTTCCAACACTTGTTTTTACTTGTAGCTGACAGACGGATCGGTGGAGCCTCTTCAAGGACCTCCGTAATCTGCTCAAACCTCCCTGTGACACTCCTGAAAACTACAAGAATTAGGAAATCAATCTGTTTGCCCTTAAAAAACATCAAATCCCAGGATGCTCCGAGACTCTGATCTGGTCCTATTAACCAAAAAACAGACCCAGGTTTGATCAGTCAGTCTGTGCTGATGACAGACCTTTTTGAGTTTAATCTCTGAACCCCGAAAAAATCAACAGAAGTTCATCACCATACTGTTCCCATTTTTAAAAAATAAATAAATAGAAATAGACATAGAAAAAATCTGAACTTTTTGGGGGGATTTTTTTTTCCTGAATGATGTGAGAATTCTGACTTTTTACTCAGAAATCTGACATTTAAACTTTGGATCATCACTTCAAGATCCTAATTCCTGATTTTACTCGCAGAGGTCCAAGATCTGAGTCAGGACTATGATTTGAATATCAGGATTATGGCCTTTTTCTTTGAAAAAAACATCAGAAGTCTAAGATAAGGGTCAAAATTCCAACTTTACTCTAAAAAAACGAAGATAAAAATCAGAGGATTGAGTTGAAATAAAGGACATTAGTACTTATATTTGCCTTTTACTAAAAAAAAGTCAGAATTCTGACTTTGAATATCATAAATCTGAGATTAAAATCCTAATAATTATTTTAAAATTCAGAATCATGACTTTTAAAAATCAGGAAATGTCAGAAGAATTCAGATTTTTTAACTATCCATTAACAGGGATGGAAGAAATATGTAAAAACAATGAAAATTGCAGTAAAGATAAAAAGTATGACTGATGACAAGTGTGTCAGTTAAAACATAATATCTGTCATGTTTATGATACAAGACGACAATTATTTACTCTGACAGATTAAATCAACAACAGGGTCAAACAGAATAATTATTCATTCCTAACTCTAGTGTTTGATTTTTATCATCTCTGCGATTTTTTCTTATTTCTCACTGACACTGGCGCGCGCACACACACACACACACACACACACACACACACAGGTGTTTCAGTGTCCCACCCTGCCAAAAACACACAGATCAGTAAATCTGAGAGTTGTTCATGATTAATGTCTCTGCACTGATGTCACTGCATGTCAGCGTTAAATAAACAAATAAATCAGTGCTGTCAACTCGGCTCAGGGTCAGGTTTGTACTACACTGACGAGTGTGCTCTGCTGCCCCCTAGAGGTCATAGTCACAATTCAAAATCACACAGACGGACCACAGGAGTGAGATAGACCCACACACTTACTTTTATAAGATTCTTCTCATGCACACAAGATACAAAAATATTCAGTTATCCCACCGTAATTCATACAGCCCCTCAGAAAATAAAGATCAGACGGAAAACTCTTTTAATGCAGCGATGTTCCTGCAGAGAAGAGGACACATCCAGACTGAGAGGAAGAGCAGCAGTGTATGAAAATACTCACACATATACAGGTAAACACAAAGTAAACAACAGAAAGGCAGAAAGGGTCTCGATCAACAACAAAAACTCAGAGTCGGAGGGTCAGAGGGGAAACAACAGCAGTCCTCCTTTGTTCTGAAATGACACGACTTCTCTGAAATACTGCAGTTTCACAGTTCTGATAACTTTATATCGACTCATTCAAAAGCTAACTGTCAGTGACCAATCCTGTGGTTCTAATTTCTGATGTGGGCGGGGCTTCACTCTGGCTCACTGATTTGATCAATGAGGCGTTTTACTTACAGTCCAGTTTGGGGCTCACAGACTCACAAACTGTGTGTTTCAGGACTCGAATGAGGACTTTGTAATGTAACCTTACATCCACATGTTCATGTTTCAGATTTTAAAACAAATTTCAACACTCGGTCACAATTTTGTAGCTAACCCCACTGAGCATTTTTCAGTCTAAAACACGTCTAAATGTCGCCTAGACGACTGGTCTAAAACTAGGCTACCACAGGTCTAATAATGAACGTTTTTTCAGACGTCTAAATTTAGACCAAGTTTAGACTAGCATGCTAACAGAGGTCTAACTGTATTTTGCTCGACAGCTATCATAATTATTTTGGTTAAGTACTTGGAGATCAGTTATGCAACTCACAGTTGCTTTTTGGAATAAATAGTCATTGAATAATGGGTTAAAGTGCGACGTCTAAATTCTGTCTAAAAATGTACAGAATCTGGACGGTTGAATTTAGGTCTAAAAAACAACGAGTCAGTGGGACAGGACTTAGAAGAAAGTCTTTGGATTTGGTTTATTCTCCTGCACAGCGCTGATGAGTGTGGCCGCAGAATTTGCAAAAACATCTCTACAGCAGGAATCGCATTTTCTTCTTTATCTTTTACTTTAGTGAAATTTAGCCGACTTTGCACCTAATCCATGTTGTGGTTTTATCCAATCAACTTTTATGTTTCTGCAGCTAAATAACTGCAAAGGACTGACGTGGAAGTGTGTCTAATTCCAGTTTTTTTTTTATACCATGTGACGCTCTCACAGATTCATGTCCCTCTGCTCACCTGACCCCATTTAAGTCTGAGAGTGCGCCATGCTCAGGAGATTGAGACTGTACCAGTGAGGCTGTCTGTCAGGTCATGTGACACCACCTCCTGTTGTCACTCTTCCAGGTCGCTGAAGCTGATCCTGATGGTAAAGTGAGGCTGGAGCAGAGGCATGATGGGGTCCCGTGGGGCCCCGGCCAGACAGTACGCCTCGTCCACGCTTATCCCGCTGGAGCGCAGGGTTAGCAGGGAGCTGGCGCAGCTGTCTTTGCTGCCGTGCGCCGTCACCAGGATGAAGCAGAGAGGACTGTCAGCCAGGCTAAACCTGCGCCGAATCTCACCAAGCTGAGCCGCAAAACCCTGCAGAAGGAGAGAGGGAAATCCTGACTGTGGATCTCTGTATACCTCCAATCAGATCAGAGAAATATTACCTATGTCTCTTATTTTTAAACGTCCTGTGAGATACCGGTGTAAGTCTGCAGCTGCATGTTTCTGAGATTACCTGAATGGCCTCCCTGTTTGCTGGTGTCGGTCCGGTGTCGGGCTGGATGATAGCGTCCTCACAGAACATTATTCTGAGCTGATCAGATGGAGGGGAAGCTTCTTGGTGATCCAGCAGTGCTGAGAGAACACCTGGATCAGTGACAAGACGGACGACTTATCATCTCATTTCACAAAGACGCCAAACATCTGAACAATAACAACAGGAAAGGATGCAAAACTGAGGTTCAAATCCAGTTGTGTGATAAATACTTTATTTTTGAGTGAATATTTGTTTTGATAAAGCTGGAGATGAAGGTAAAGTGGACACTTGACCTTTCTGAGTGGCCTGCGACGCCTCACTTTTGTCTGAAGTCAAGAAAAGCTGAACGTTATTTGTCTGCAAACTCTCCACGAAATCCTCCTCGTTGGCAAAACAGAATCTGCTGATTTCAAGACCTGCAACAGAGCAGCAGAGAGTCAACTCTCCTGTAACAGTTAGGAGAAACATTTCCATGATTTCTGGTGCCTCTGTTTGTAGTTAAAGTAAAATGACCGTGGTGTTTGGTGCTGCTAATGATGCTGGAGCTCTGCTGCTGCTGCTGGCTGTCAGTGGTGATCAGGACAACGTCAAACTGGAGAAGCTCTTTAGCAGATTCCTGCTGCAGACGCTCATTCATTTCATGCATTAACTGAAAACAGGAGGAAATTACGCATTAATGCACAGCTGGTGTTCTGGTTTTCTCATGTTGTTTGTGAGATAAAATCATAACAATATTAAACATTTCCATTGCAGTAAACTGGAATAATTTTACAACCCTGCGCAACAATTTGACCCTCTGACAACAGGACAGGCTGTAAAATCTGAGGCTGAAAAAACGAGTTTAGGTTGGGCACATCAGGATGTAATTCTCACCATAAGCAGCTTTCTTGCCATGTCATCTCTCAAAGCTAAAATGTCTCCTTCAGCTCCATCTTCAAACACTTCACGAGACGTTACAGCCACAACCACGGCCCGGTCAGGATCTTTCTGCAGAGGGACATCAAATATTGTTTATTGTTATTGCATGTTTATTTGTCTTCCAGTTGTTTAGTTTTCATGTAAATGTCTGATGAAAAGAGCACAGAAAGGTGTAATATGAAATCTCAAACAGACCAGAGCAGAATCAGCATATGAACCAGCCTGAAATGTGGTTAAAATGTCCAAACTTGGAATTTACAGCTTAAACACAATTTAAACCTCAGTTTTCTTACAAATATCGACAAATGACTGAAAACTAACACAATATGCATGCTCTTTCTGTTCTAGGAAAGAGTTTAACTCACTCTGTACTTCAGGTTCATCTGCAGATTTCCACAAGCTGCAATAATTCCTGAACCATTCACTACTGATCCAAAACCCTCTTACAAAACGTGCAAATTAAGAATTTGTTGCTTATTAAAAGTTATTTACACTGCAGGGAGAATACTTGATGATTAACTTTGAAGCTTGATGTCTTAGGATAAATTCGGCACATATAGCATTCACTATAATATAAATGTAACTTTTAAAATAAGTCTTAAAATGTCCTCTTACTATGATAAATTCGACCTGTAACATTCACGTGTTATACCTGTAAAGATGGGAATAATGGACGTGGACGGTGTGTTCCGCAGGTTCATGTTGTCTCTCATGTTGGGGACAGACCCCAAGGTAAGGTGTGTCTTACCTGCTTCACGTCGGTGTTCTCGATAGTGGAGGCCATGTCCCCCTCTCAGCTGAGGCCTGTAGGTTTAAAACTGCTTATAACAAATCAATTAACACCTTTCAATTAACAATTTTCCTCCAATACCGCCACTAAGAAAACAGTTAACAGTAGACAAACTTAGTTCATAACACTACCAGAAACACTGGCTGTCTGTTTGGGTTCCGCCCGCCCAGATATGTGCTGATCGTGGACGAATCGGTCAGAAGATTCAACTCTTTTAACAGCTGCTCAAGAGCCCTCAAGAGTGATGTTATGTGCTTGTATATATTGTAGTGGACACCCAATAAGAGGCCATACGAAATGTCCACAAGGGACAAAAGGCCATCTAAATATAGAAGACATACATTTGTTTTAAATCATTTCATAAAATAAGAATGGATTTATCCATCCATGTGGAAAAGGGGTGGAAATCTTGGAATAAGTCACCATAAGAGCCAGGACTACATTATGCTTTCATGTAGATGTATTGCCATAAAAATATTGTCCCATTCTCACCTACATTGATCGAACATTGTCAAAATGACTGAGGTACCAAATAAAGTTGATCATAACATCTAAATGGACCAAAAATCAAACCAAACAAACAAACAAACAAATTTTATGAGAGACAGAGGGGTTTAATGTTTTAATGCTAATATTTAAAATTTCATTTTTTTTTTTTTTTTTTTTTTTGCTAATGTGGCTTTGTTTACTCATATTTAATAATTAAAGTCATGTGTGCGTACTAATGACCTGCAGTGATCAAAAAGTGTCAAAGTGACTGAGGTACCATGTAAAAATCTGATTTTGATGATTAACTAGCCACATATAAACTGAAAGAGTCGGAGCTTGGGGATTTGGGTTAAATATTCCACTTCATTAAAGCGAACCGAAGTTCCCATCCCTTCTTCCTCCTTCCGTCCGTTTTAAGAACGTAGCGTGATGGCGTCACTTCCTTGTTTGTCTGCCGCTAGCACCCCGCCCACAGCAGTGATTATTGTGTCAGGTACAGAAAGTCGGCCCGGTTTACCCCCTTAACCCCACATATTTCTCCCGAATTGTCCGGATAGAGAAGACGAGCTGATCGGGAGCGGGTCTAACAGGGATCCTGGCCTGGTGTGAAGTGGATCTGACTCGGTTCGGAGCGGTTTTCTAAAGGATCTGGACCACTGGGAGGCAGAGAAGGAGGGAAAGTTTGCTCCAGCTTATGTTCACGGTGAGAAATCCTTACTCTCTAACCTCTTTCCTTGTCTCCTCGCCTCCTACGCTCTTTACCTTGGTCGATGGAGGCGCCCTGTGTGCTCGACATGAACCCCACGGACCGGCTCGGTTCACGGTAATCCTGCTCGCGGGCTGCAGGTGGACGGCGTGTGATTGGCTCTTACCGGTACAGGTAGCAGAACCGGAGCAGATGGAGGCGATTTTCTAAGAGCAGGGACCGAAAACAGCTTCATTTGAGACTGACAGCCGGGAGTGAAGCGAAGAAATCAGCCTGTTCGACTGTATTTTTTTAATGCAAATCAATGCAGCTGCAACACATAACCTACTTACACATGCACATCAACTACTGAACAAAAATATAGATAAAACAGACACAATAAAACGGTGTCTAATAAAAAACTTAACAGACATAATGTGAGGAAATCTTCTAAATCTAATTAAAAACCAAAATTTGTTATAATCCTGTTATTAAACCAAATGAAACAGATAAAAATACACAAATACATGAAGGAACGAATTATTATAGCTGACTAAATTAAAATGAGGGCAAGGAGGTGAAATTTGTTGTATAGGCTGTATGGATAAAGCTTATTTTAAGGCCTAAAACTGCAAATATTGATAAAAATCAACAGATAAAATGCACAAAAGCTAAAATACAAAAGGAGAAATCACAAAAACCTTTGTTTGTTTGTTTGTTTGTTTGTTTGTTTGTTTGGGCCCCACTGGCAACTACGAACCTCTGCAGGTGAAACCCATGTGGATAATAGATTCACATACATTACAAATTAGAGTTCAAGCTTTATTATAAATAGGTAATTAATTAAACTCCACAGGCAACACCCCAAACCAAGAGTATCAATAAACCTGTCATCAATCAAACAGGTGCCGCTCAAAAAAACAGAATGTCCTGAAAATGTTATTTTTTTACCAGATGCTCTAAATCTGTCGCACACAGAGTGAAAAAAATCCAGACTTTATTCTGTTTGAATCTTTATGATTTCAGCTCATGAAACTCAAAAAACTGTGGTAAAGTCCAGTTTCTTGTCAGGTCCTTAAGTCCTGAAAAGAGCTCTGAACACCTGCAGAGGTTTTACTGAACCTTCATTGTCTCACTCTGGTCTGGTTTAGTCCACACAGTAGCGATCAGGGTTCAGACTGCTGACCTGACAGCGGACCAGGAGACGATCATTGATCCGCTTCACAGGGAGGGTCAACCACAGAAGGTCATGACTGAAAAGTCTGCCTGTTCTTCATCAACCTGCAGGACTGAGACAGAAGACCAGGACTAAACAGCTGCATGAAGAATCAAATGACCTGAAACACGTACAAACATGTAACATGTAACATGTGCTGCTGAGTTTTCTAGTGTTTGTTTCTGAGCTGTGGAGCGTTACTTTAGGAGTGGATTCAGAGGTACTGAAGGTGGATCTCCATAAATCTAGATAGACTCTCTCTCTGTCCCTTAAAGGGATATTCCGGCGTAAAATTAAGTCATGGTCAAACACATCGTAACACCGAGTTAAACACCCCCTCGAGACATGAATGTCGCCGACTGCTTGCTTCTCTAGTTGTACCAACTTCAGTAACGACAGCAGGATAGAAATACACAGCGGTCTGAGGAGCCATAAACAAACCTCGACCAAAACGTCACTCTATAGCCCGTGTCTGCAGTGCAAAATGATTAATATGGTGATTATTACTTAAAGAAAATTATAAAGAAATGATCATAAATGTTCTTCCTTGAGCTGCGTCACCCCACTGTAGTCCGTAATGGACTGGCCTGAGGTCTTGCAACGAACAAGCGGCTGCTGGAAGAGAGTAGGTGAGTTGTGTTTAGTCTCTTTAAGGCAAAGTTAAAAAGATGTTTGCTGTCTAGTACTATGGCTGTGACTGTGTATGTCCTGTTGATGAAGTTAGGTGCTGTTCTGAGCATTATTTGTGGCTATAGAGTGGTGTTTTGGTTGAGGTTTGTTTATGGCTCCTCAGACCTCTCTGTATTACTATCCTGCAGTCGTTACTAAAGTTGGTACAACTAGAGAAGCAAGCAGTCGGCAACATTCATCTCTGGAGGGGGTGTCTAACTCGGTGTTACAGTGTGTTTGACCATGACTTAATTTTACGCCGGAATATCCCTTTAAAACCACTTCTTCCTCTCCGTCAGTGTGTCTCATTCCTGCAGACAGGTCTGGGATGTGCGTCTGTCACCGCAGTCACGCTCTTTATCTGTCCATCAGTCAGAAAGCGCTCTGTGATTAGCTTTCGAGTTATTAGTCAGCCGTTAAAAAGTCGGTCCTACAGGTTGAGACAGAAGTCAAGAACTGAATGAAAACCATTAGAAGCAGTCAGACCAGTCAGACGGCCCAGCTGTCCTCAGACTGAACTACACCAACTCTGTTAATCCACAGTGAAGCTGGATCACAGCTGGGATGGAGCTACTGCAGGATATCTGTCAGCTTTTTCTGAGGGTAGAATTTAAAAATGGATGTTTAATAATGAAGACATGAAGATGGAGATTAATGTCGCACCTTAGCTTAGTTTAGTGTTATGATAAAGAGCAGGAAGAAAGCTGCTCAGGGTCTATTCAGAGGACACACAGTCCAGCTCTGAAGTTCATAGTTTGGACAATGAATCTGTAGGAGCCATAATGTCACTTTGCTTATTGGTTATCCTGTTTTCAGTTACTTTTGTCTTGTTGCCATCGGTTTTGCTGGGTTTGGGTCACGTGGTCACTGTGTTTGAAAGCCGGTAAGTTATTTAAGGGGCGGTCTTACCTGCACTGGGGTGGAGAGGTGAGCCGAGGTAGCTGTAATTTTTGTTGACCGCACTTTATGATCTTTGTTTGCTATGATACACGTCGCAAAGTGCACACATATTCTATCTGATCATTAGCAATTGTAGGAGCTTTTTTTCTGATATTGAAGCTCCGAGAACTTCCATGAACTGTGAGGGCTTCTTTGGAACAGCAGCGGCGTCGTGTCACACAAATATACAGGACCTAGTCTCTGCCTCAAGCGGCTTTTTAAAGGTACTTAGAAGGCAATAGAAACAAAGAGGAAACCTAAAACTTCTTCAAAACTTCAAAGCTCCTCATTCTCTTAAAAACTATAATCAGTGAAGAAGAAGTGGTTACTCCTCTCCCTGCTCTCCTCTCTCCACCTGTTGCAGAAATGTTGAGGATACACCGGTCCATAAATAACCGAACTTTCTTCCTCGTTGATCTGAGCTGCTTCTGAAGTGAAAGTTTGGTGAAAGTTTGAGGGGAAGGGCTTCACCGCAGGGAGGGTGCGCTTCATTCAACGTACAGGCTGTATCAGGGGCAACACCATCGCGCTGACAGGAAGTAAAGAACGGTTTGTGTGTTTCATTTTTTTTTTAGCACACAGCAGAAGAAGTTGAGAAGGTGATGCCCCTGACAGGAAGTGCAGGGACAGCCGTGAGTTAGTGTCACTCGTGTTCTGATCCTTGTTTCAGTCTGCAGAACAGAAGATGAATCATGAGCTCAGGGAGGATCAGGCAGCTGATGAAACATTTCCTCCTCCCTGAACAAACACTGATGACAGCTCAGTGCCGCCTCTAATTGCCTGTTTGCATGAGTTGGCTGCGATGTTGATGTATAAATAAAGCTTATAATCATTTAGTGATGAGGGCGCCTCAGATCCAGGTCAGAAACCAGAGTCATTAGAAGAAGAGGAAACATGTTCAGATGCTTCTTCTGTGGTTCCTGCTCCGCATCGGTCTCAAGTTTCAGGTTCTGTGGGTCAGTTTCATCACCGTCATTTTCCTGCTGGGGTTCGAGAATGTAAATAAAACTTATAGTTTATAAGTTTGTTTAGTTTATAAGTACAGCTTATAGTCGACGTCAGTTTGGTTTATACAATAACCTGCATCGGAAAGGTGGTGAGAACACGAGCATGTGCAACAAACACGCCCTTAAAGAGGGACAGGCGGGGTCACGGTGATAAGGAAACACACGGTACAGACTTTCACACATGTGACTGAGAGGAGCAGGAGGAGGAGGAGAAGAGAGGAGGGCAGGGAGAGGAGCAGGAGAGAGGGGGAGAGAGGAGACCAGGGAGAGGAGGAGGAGGAGGAGGAGGGGAGAGCAGGGAGAGGAGCAGGAGGAGGAGAGAGGAGAGAGGAGAGGGGCAGGAGGAGAAGGGAGAGCAGGGATAGGAGCCGGAGGAGGAGAGGGGAGAGCAGGGAGAGGAGCAGAAGGAGAGAGAGGAGCAGGAGGAGGAGGAGAAGAGAGGAGGGCAGGGAGAGGAGCAGAAGGAGAGAGAGGAGCAGGAGGAGGAGGGAGCAGAGAGGAGAGAGAAGAGAGGAGGAAAAAGAGGAGAGCAGGGAGAGGAAAAGGAGGAGGAGAGAGGAGAGCAGGGGGAAGAGAAGGAGAGAGGAGTGCAGGGAGAGGAGCAGGAGGAGAAAGGAGAGAGGAGAGGAAGCAGGAGGCAAGAGAGGAGCAGGAGGAGGCAGGAGGAGAGGAGAAGGAGGAGGAGGAAAGAGGAGAGTAAGGAGAGGAGCAGGAGGAGACCAGGGTGAGGAGAAGGAGGAGAGAAGAGCAGGGAGAGGAACAGAAGGAGCAGACAGGAGAGCAGGGAGAGAAGAAAGGAGGAGCAGACAGGAGAGCAGGGAGAGGAGAAAGAGGAGGAGAGATGATACCTGGGAGAGGAGCAGGAGGAGAGCAGGGAGAGGACAGACTGAGTCCAACAACAGAGACTGAAGTGATTGAAAGTTTGTTTGAACTCCTGAACTGAAAAGTGAGAGAACATCGTAGTGAATCTTTCAATTTTACTGACAGTGTAAAAAAACTGAAGCTGCTTAAAAACATGAGACACAAATGTTAAATCAGGGGTCAGTGTTTTTATTAATCCTGATGTCACATATTAGAAAAGAGTCTAAATTCTGATGGACTGACCCTCCAGCGTTTCTGTCTTTACAGGAAAAACTACAGACCTGACTGAATCAGTTCAAACACCGTCACACAGGATTACTCGTGGCGCTCATTTCTTTGTCTTCCTCTCTTCTTCTTCCTGTCTGCAGCGCCGCCGTCAGACATGCTCAGGTAGAGATCGACATCACGGCGCCTAACCATGAGGAGGCATCTGGACAGGATCCGGTTCCGGGGCCAGAGACGAGATGAGTTCCTGGATCTGGCCGAGTCCCCCAACACGTCTGACACAGAGAGCACCGAGGATGTGACGCTCAAGCCGCGAGTGTCCGTCAGAGAGGCGGAGGAGCTGAGGGAGGTGGAGGGCGAGCAGCAGAGTGACGCACAGGTACGCAAACTCACCTGTCTGATCCGTGAGGAGTTTAACGACCTGTAGGGCTGCACGGATAATCAATTTAAATCGTAATCAGATTATTTGGTGATGACGATGTTAAAAAAATTATAATCCTCAAATCAATTTTCCTCTGATGTCTCACACCTCCAGTTCCCACACACACACCAGTCTAAACAAACATGGCGTTTGCAGAAGAAGGTGATAATTTCGTGGTTAAATAGGACAAGAGCGAGTCAGTCGTGTTGAGTTGTTACGACTTAACAGTTTCAGACGAAGCGTAAACCACTCCCCGCTGTAAAGTCTGTCTGAAGGCGGTATCAACCTGTCACCATGGAAACGAATTCAAGAGAAAAGTTTTTGTCGTGTTGACGTTTCATCCACACGGAAACGGCGTTTCAGGTGACTGTAAACGGTATTTTTTAAAAACGGGTCAGAGAGTGAATAAATCTGTAAACGACGATCATTTCATCTCCGTGTGGATGTCTATCTGCATCTGTGGAAACGATCATGTGACACACAGAGTAACTCTTATATGGCGCCAAAACAACCTTTTACAGAAAAGTGTTTCATTAAAGGGAAATTTGGTGAAGTTGACACTGAATAAAAAATAAAAAATCTGGATTTTATTTTTGTCCAAAATCGTTCAGCCCAAACTACCAGGAGTTTGAGGAGGAGCAGGTCCTCTGGATCATCCCCACATGATCAACATGTGAAGTGTCTCTACCCTCTGATACCTGTCGTCGGTCTGTAAAGGGTTCAGGTTTCTGCGGGACTTCTTGATAAAACTGTTAAGTGGTACAGAAGTAAGATCTGCATGTCCTACAGAGAGCCTCAGGCTGAGCGGTTTCCTGCTTCCTGATCCTCCGTGCTTCTGTTAATTCAGTCTCTTTCCTGTCGGCCTTATCTCTTTGTCTAACCACCGATAGATTTCCTGTTGCTACCAGCATCATCGTTTACACTCTGCACTGTAGGAATGTGAAGAGTCTGTTTGTCGTGGGATGGTTTTACCTGCTAAGGTTCAGTAGTTTATGGCCCATCAGAAACATCGTCTCCAATTTTAAATTTCTTTAAATATTGTTGATTTTGTTTGATTCAGGGGATTTTTAATGACAGTAATCTCTGTATTATTCTCCTGAGGTCAAGAGTGACATTCAATGGTCGGGTAGCGTGCGCTCTAAACTGATAAACTTTATATTTTCAGCAGAGCAGCTCATCACAGCTCCAGTCTGAACTTCTTCCTCTATGATTTCAGATAAAAAGTTTCAGCCTGAATAATAAGCGGCATAGTCAGTTCTAACAGCACCGACACAAATCCCCCAGCTCTGTTTGTGACGATGCTCATATTATCCACTCCATCATTTGGCCCCAAACGCCCCCACACTAACCTTGGTCCACAAGAACCGGCACATCAATCCATCATGCGGGCCCTCCCCTTCACCACTGTTTCATCAGGTTAGACCCCTGACACCTCAAGGCTAAAGAGCGGAGGTTTCTCATTGAGGAAAAAGTTCAGGTACTTTTTAATCCTGACACAGGTTCCAGGAAGCTGTCCGTCCTCACAGAAAACAACTTCAGCGTGTCCTCGTTCTGAACGTCTGTGTGCAAACAAATGAAGAGGTTTTTGTTTTATGGAGAACTAAAAAAATCCTGAAAATTTCAACATTATTTCAGCAAAAAGTCACAATTTTCGGTCCGTATTATAATACTGTCGGTATTATAATATTGACAGACTTGGTCTTATTCTGAGAATAGGCCTGAGATAACACTTGAAACTCACAGCCTGGGCCCCTGGTGTTGCACACGTAGCTCTGTTGTCACACTGAATATGTTCCTTTCTTGTCTCTTTAAGCCGAGTGTGTCAGTCACTTCTGGTTGTTTTTCCTCTTCGCAGTCGTTTATAAACTCAGAATAAAAACGAGTTCATGTTTCTGATGGGCTGTTGTGATTTTTTTTTAAGTTAAAAAAAAAGCATAAAAATTGGCATCATTGCTGGTTAAAACCCACTCACACTTGTTTTAAGATAAATAGTGATGTAGAAGGTAAAAAGTGAGGACCCAGTATCGAACCCTGTGGCTCCAGGCATGAGAAAAAAACTGGGCTGGTTTCTCGTCCTTAAACCTCACACACCTGAGGCTCACTTCTTTGTAACAGTTTTATATTTGGCTTGTTTTAGTCGATTATTTAGTAACCTGCTGGTTTTCGTGTTCTCAGGCTGGTCCCGGCTCATTTTCTGCAGCTCTCCAAGACGACAACAAGACGGATCTGAATGAGGTCAAAGGTCACCTTGAAATCGCCTTGTTAGAGAAGCACTTTTTACGTGAGTAGTTGACCTGAAGAAGTTGAACGCTCCTCTTTCACCTTTTTAACATAAATATTTTCTGTTATTGAAACCATAATTCTTTGTAGGTGCATATTATTTATAACTTTCCAGAATCTGATTCTGGTTCTAGACTTTATGAATCTTAGTATTTGGGCCTCTTATGAAACAGATTTGACTTTTCATGACATTCAGATAACATAAAGAAAATAAAAAAATCAGGATCCGGGTGTTTTACTTTGGTGTCATTTGTGTTCCTAGTTTCGGAGCATTTACCCAAAATTACAACCAAAGCTCAATATGAGGATTAACACTTTTCTAATTAAATAACATATGCTAGACGGTCTACTATAGAAACCCCCGGGTATTCTTTTCATCTTCTTTAATAACTGTCTTTCTTTGTGTCTCTTTATAAGTGAGGCTGTCCGCTTCACAGGGGGGGAGGTTTCTGGACCACTAAAATAATTTCTGAGTAGACACAAAGAGCTCCTACACTGACCCTAAAACATTCACACATTTGATTAATCATGACAAAAGTAGTCATTTAATTTTCTAAAATTACCTATAAACCATTGCTTGATGAGGTTGGCAGAGTATGATCGTGAATTTCTATAAATGAAAGAATTAACTCTGTACGTAGTCAGTCGTCGCTCAGTGTGAACCCAACTTAATCCTCTAATTCCTCTTTCCTCACAAAAAAAAGAAATCTACTTGTTATCCTTGTATGTCTCTGGTAAAAACATAACTATCAAAATAAAAAAAGACTCTCTTGCTCAAAAACAAAAATAAGGAAGCTGTGGTTAAGACACATGGTTTACTGAAAAAAGTCCATCGAAAGTGATTTCGATGCGCAGCGGTTTATTTTTAGCTTTCTGTCCTCAAGTCTCTGCAAACGACGGCATTTTAGGATTTGGTCTGGCTACGCATGGAAATCGTAAAATGCCTTTTTTTACTACTTAAAATGTTCTCAGTGGTTTTTAAATTATGATTATAAAGATTTTTTTAGCCAAAATCACATTACTTGTGTCATTTTTAAGGACTTTTCTTCTGCAAAGCGCTGATCTGCACTCTTGTCTTCGTGCTAGCTTGTAGCCTAACATTGCCGGTGTAGTTGAAGAAGCAGGTAACACAGGAACTATTCAGTTCTCGGACATTAATGGCTTTGGGGACATGATGAAAGTTAATATCATAATTAGCTTTCTTATGAGCATTGCAATCTGCTAACGCACACGCTTGTTCCGCGATCGTCCTCTCTACTTCACTGAGTCTGGCTTGCAGAGCGGTCTCTGGGGGCGGAGCTTGGATTTGTGACATAGGAAATCTCACTGAATCTGAACCTGCCGTTTGGGTCTGACAGAGATTCAAATGAAGAAATACTCAGAAATACAATTTCACACTTATTTTTCTCATGATTTGTCCTGTAGCATCAGAAAAATGAACATAAGAACATGTAGACAACAAGAAAAATCATGATTTTCATCAGAGTGGGTCTTTAATTGCGTGTGTTCACTGGACCCTGCAAAGCTCTGATATGCAGACAGCAGAAGAGTAGGAAACACCCAAATATGGTCTTATCTTTTTATTACACTACTGTTGTTGGAAAAGACAAACTGACTCCACATTCGCCATATGAGGAGTGTCCTGGGTGCGACGATCCCTTACTGCTGATATTTCCTCTTGTCTGAATCAGCAGCATAATGTCGCCTGTCAGAGTTGAATTGTTGCTAAATAACAGATAATTATCAGCCCCTAATGTCTGTGTGTGGTGTGGTATTTACAGATGTCTGTTAACAGGTAAATATCGGCTGATACTGATGCGTAACAACCTGCAAATATCCAGAAGCTGTTAGCTTGGCTCATAGATGCACATAGAGAGGATTAAAGAGGCGATAACAGCTCTGTGTGCGTTTCAAGTATTAAAAAGAGTAAATCTGTCCATGTCTGATCATCAGGAAGTCGCTGATTTTTTCACTCATTGATATAAATCATGAGTGACAAAGTTCGGTGTCCCCTCAGTGAGAGATTACATGGATCTGCTCATTGTCGCTCCTCTCATTAGTGTGGAGACAAAGGTTCTACTGCACAACGGCATGCTGGGTAATCCATCAATATCTGCCTGTCAGCTTTATATAACACACACAGACACAGAGCTATTAATAACCCTGCTCAACCTAACGGACACACACACACTCACTCACACTCAGGCGTGAATAATGATTAAATAAGGACCTTATGTTTCCTTAAATAAAGTGTTTCCTCCGTTTAGTCGTTACAAAACCGTTTGTGTAAGAAGTGAAACTAAGATGTCAGCGAGGAAAAGGGGCGGGGCTTCTCTTCTCAGAGGAAAGTTAAACCTGAGGAGGAGCTGAAGTTCAAACATGTGAACTCTGCAGCTTTAAATGATCTTCATTACAGCAGAAGTCATGATCACAAATATATCAGGATTATTAAAGATGATCAAACGTAAATCATTCATTCTTCAAAAACAGAAACAACCAAGTGAAACCTGCTGTGTGATTCATCTGCTCTCTCTGTCCCTCTGCTTTACGAACACACACACCTCCTCTTCGTGCTCCTCTTCCTCCTTTCAGCTCGTTCCTCTCAGGTTGTCTCCTGGTTGGTGTGTTACATATAAAAACAGTCAGCAAAACTCGTGAGTGAGAAATTAACAGGATTCAAGTCAAACCATCACCCTCACTTTGACAGCGCTTTGCTGACTGTTTGGAAATTTTTAACTTTTTCACATCCTCTCGTTTTCTGTTGAGGTTTTGTTTACTACCCGGTTTCCTAGCAACACATTTAATCAGACTGATGTCTTTACATGTATTTGAAGACCCACTCTGATGGAGATCATGTTTTTCTTGTTGTCTACATGTTCATATATTCATTTTTCACTTTTCTGGAGCCCCGCTCTGCAGGCCAGACTCGGTGAAGTAGAGAGGACGATCGCGGAATCAGCATGAGCGTTAGCGGATTGCGGTGTTAGTAAGAAAGTTAATTATGATATTAACTTTCATCATGTTCCCAAAGCCATTAGTGTCTGAGAGCTAAATAGCTCCTATGTTACCTGCTTCTTCTACTACATCAGCAATGTTAGGCTGCAAGCTAGCGTGAAGAGGAGTGTGCAGAGCAGCGCTGTCTCCGCCCACGACTCAGAGGTGAATCGCTAATGAGCTACTGGAGCTCTGCAGAAGAAAAGTCCTTAAAAAATGACACAGGTGACGTGAGTTTGGCTAAAAACGTCATAATCTCATAATCACTTTGAAAATCCAGTTTCAAAATGAGCGGATCAGGAAACCTGAATGAGTGAGAAAAGCTTTTATTGATCTGTTGTTCACGCCCAGAAACCCTCTTATGAATAAATCAGAGGTGGTCAGTCGTGTTTAAGTGATCACTTAGAAATCTGAAACTGATAGAAGACGCCAGAATTCAGAGTCATACATCAGATTTGAGTCCCTGTCTCTGCTGAATTTCAACATTTAGACGTGTGGGTTTTTGTTTAAAATGTCCACGATCATAAATGAGCTTTAAGCTGAATTATTAGCTGCTGAACTGTCATCTCTTTCTATCATTTGACCTGATCTGGATCCTGAAAACTCCTCAAAGAGAAAAACAGAGTAAACAGAAGAAACATCAGTCGAGATAATCTGGAAACGGCGTGTGACCTTCCCCGACCTCAATCCTCACTTTTCTCCTCTCATTGTGCGACTGTCTCTCAACAGAGGAGGAGCTGAGGAAACTCAAAGAGGAGTCCAACGTGGAGTCGCTGAGACAGGAGCTGGAGAAGGAGCGCAGCAGATGTCTGGAGCTGGAGCAGAAGGTTAATGAGGTCCTGAGATCCAGGTGAGGATTTTAAAACACATAATCCTTTAATAAGGAGCTGATTCAAAGTCTGCGTTTTCTCCTGGTTTGATTCTGGACTCCTTTTCTGTCTTTTTTAGCCTGGAAGACTCACCTTCTCTGACACCTAAAGCTCCGGCCCCGCCTCCATCCACAGGTGGGAGCACAGGTAAACGAAACAAACACATTTCAGACGAGCACAAAGTTCCTGAAATTCCTCGGTGAGCTGTTTGTGTGTGAACAGAAACAGACGAGAATTTCACCCCAGAGTTCAAAACAAAACTGAAGAGAGTAAAATTCAAACTTATAAGAGATTAAAAATAAAGGATCAGCAGTTTTTAAGGTGGATAAAGTCGTAAAACATGACAGCGTGGATGTTTGTGTCCTCCCTGAAAGTGAGTTTAAGGTTTCCTCCTCGTCTCTGATCATTTGTCTCTCTCTCTCTTTTCTGCTCCTGCTCTCAGACAAACAGAAGGACACTCTGTTCGACAGCTTCTTAAAATGGCTTTACGACCGTTTCGGGGTTTACATCGAGGACTTTCGCTTCCAGCCGGAGGAGCACACGGTGGAGACCGAGGAGCCGCTGAGTGCCAAGAGGTGAGGAGGAAAAACTGAGGAGGGCAGAAAGAAACCCAGTCTTTATGTTTCTGTGTGTCTAAGATCTGGTTTCTGATCCGCAGGTTGACTGAAAACATGAGACGTCTCAGTGAGTATGACTTTTTAAAGATCTGTGCGAGTCTCTGATTTGACAGTTTCCTTGTTTTTAATCGTCGGTCTCTTTGTCGTGTTTCCAGAACGAGGATTCAAACCTGTGACCAACTTCATGAGGAACCTTTCTGCCTTATCCAGCTGGTACTCCGTCTACACGTCGGCCATCGCCTTCATCGTGAGTCTGGACAAAAACAAACAAACAAACAAAAACACATCAGCAATTAAATATGTTAATTTTTAAAATCTAATGGGACATGTTGAAGCTGAAAGGTTTTTATTTTTGTTTTTATTTAAGCTTCAGTTCTTTTGGATGATTCAGAGAGAAAAAGTGTTTTTTTGGTTTTTATTCATTTATTTTCTTAATTTTCAGTTTTTCTTTTTACATGTTTTATTATTTTAATGTTTATGTAAAAAAAACGTTTTCAGGAGACTTTAAACGTGTCGATGCTTTGACGCCTTAATTTCAATTATCACCTCATTAACTTTACGAACAGTTAAACCTGATTATCTCTGATTATCCAAACAGACACGCCCCTCTAAACTTAACTCTGTGTGTGTGTGTGTGTGTGTGTGTGCGTGTGTGTGTGTGTGTGTGTGTGTCTCACAGGTCTACATGTACGCAGCGTGTAACGGCTGGGCCATCCCCATGTTCCTGTTCCTCGCCATCGTCCGCCTCTCTTTGAATTACCTCATCGCCAGGTCGGTTCAAGCCCCTCCCACTCTCTCTGACAGCCAATCACAACGGCTGGAGTCTGTTTTTTAAAGGTCTAAACTCTTGATTTCAGCAGCAGATTGTTTTTTTAAGATCTCAGTCAGGGTCAGACCAAAAAACAACGAAAAGGGGGTTAGTCAGGATCAGACAGCTGGAGCTCTGATTGGCTGAGTCCTGATGACATCACTAAAGCTGCGATAATTTTCTGATGATTCGGATCAGTTCAAGTGTTAACAATGTCCTCTTTACCTGTGTGTTCCCATGATGCACTCCTCTCAGAGGCTGGAGGATCCAGTGGAGTATCGTTCCTGAAGTTTCAGAGCCCATGGTGAGAAAAGTGTTTTTGTGTTTTTTTCACCCTTTAATTGTTGGTTAACCTCCTTTTTTGGTTGTTTTAGTTTCCTGAACATTTGATTCTTCCTCTTCGATGCCTCGATAGCGCGTCTTCGAGTTGAGGCGTGACGTCAGGTGTCGGTGATGATGAAGTTTCTTCCTCCTCTGTTTTCCAGGAGCCGCCTAAAGAAGACCTGACGGTGTCTGAGAAGTTCCAGCTGGTCCTGGACGTCGCTCAGAAAGCTCAGGTTAGACGCGCTGAACAGTTACGGGCTGAGGCGTTCGGATTTAATGACGACAACAATGACAACTGTTTCTGTTTCTTCTTCAGAATCTGTTTGGGAAAATGGCGAACATCCTGGAGAAAATAAAGAAGTGAGTTTGTCTGCACACGTTTGTAGAGACTATGCTGACCTGAATTTTAGTCACTGTCCGGGTGCGGGAGTGAAGTTTTTTGACGCATTTCTAGTACAATCCAAAGTCCAGTCCAAGGTTGTTGTTGCTGTTGAATTATATTTTTGCCATTTATTAATTAAATGAAAAACAAACAAAAAAAGGCAGATAGGTTTAAATTACGACGGTGGTGATGTACGTGATGAGGGTGAGAGCGGTGTCGGAGATTAGCGGTAAAACCTGTGTGCTCCTCCCGTTCCCCAGTCACCATAAAATGTCTCACACACGTTTGTCCGAATGTCCCAAAGAACTAAAGGACCATGTTGTTAAATCTTCAATAATGTGTGTGTTTGTGTGTGTGTCTGTGTGTGTTTGTGTGTGTGTGTGTGTGTGTGCAGTCTGTTCATGTGGGTACAGCCGGAGTTGACTCAGAAGCTGTACGTCGGTCTGTGGTTGGCCTTCATCTCCTCCTGCCTGCTGCCGTACAAACTGCTGGGATTCATCATAGGTACGACCCTGAGGTTAAAAACTCGCTCTGTAGTGTGAGGCTCCTCTTTTTTTATATCTATCAGTCTGTGTTTGTTCAGACTGTTACCTGACGGTACCAGCTCTGGGTCCGGACTGTAAAATGTAAATAAAGCGGCTGAAATGAGTCGCCTCCTGAGTTTGGAGTCTTGGACATCAGTAGGGAGCTCGCAGTAAAGCCGTCCCTCCTTCACATTACATGGAGACAGTCAGTCCTTCCTAAATTTCTCCCTTTGGAGGTTATCAGAGCATGAGCTGCTGGAGGGAGGCCCTGAGGTGGACCCGGAGCTCGCTGGAGCTGGAAAACTGGTCTTGGATAAACAGGAGGAAATGGATGGATTGGTATCTTTGTCGGCTCTTGCTGAGTGGATTTATACCGTTGCTGTCCCAGAACAGAGTTAAAGACTTCATATTTTTGGACTCTTCTAGTCTGGCTAAAGTTTGGTGTTAAAATGCAGAGAGAGGCGAGTTTTTGAATCAGGAGTTTTGACATTTCCTGCAAATTTTCAGTTTTACACACACTCGTATATCAAAGTAGCTATGAGCCACTGAGTGTTTGCAGCTGAGCCGTGTTTATAGATTAGAATACTATGAAAACTTATTAATGTTATTATTCCAAACAGTTCATCCAATCCACCGTAAACCCAGTGCAAAATTTCATGCGACTTTTTAAAAATTGTTATTACGTTTTTGCGACTTAATCCTCATTGAATGATCTTAAAAACACAGTTATCGTTAAATGACCCATTCAGCTCCAGCACCATTGGATCTCTGATTATTCTTGTCGTCTTCTTCCTCCTCAGGTGTGTACGCAGGTATTAAATTCTTCATCATCGACTTCATCTTTAAGAGCTGCCCGAAGCTCCGGCAGCGCTACGACACGCCCTACATCATCTGGACCAATTTACCCACCGACCTGCAGCTGAAGGAGCGCAGCAGCACCACCATGAGCAGACGGGTCAGTCCAAACTCGGTCCAAACCCGTCTGTAGTCACAACAAAAAAAGTGTAGCTTTACCCGAGATAACGCTTTTTTATTTTCTGCACATTCTCCTCAACTGTTAAAAATGACTGCCTACATTACCCACAATGCATCTCGCAGAGTATTATGCTGCATTTGAGTTACCTCAGAAGTCAGAAGTCCAAACTGAAAATGACGTCACACCTGAGTCCCCAGCATTTCAGTTACCAAGTCGGAAATAAGGAAAATCAGAGGTGGAAACAAGATGGCTACATCTACAAAAGTTATCTTAGTGCTTGCCCTGTCTGAATATAAGGCTAACGCTAAAATAACTTTCGTAGATGTAGCCATCTTGTTTCAGGCTTCGATAAATTTTCGGTTTATCGCCCAGCCCTAATTATGACTAACATAAATCTGAAATTTTAAAGAAAGTTGTAAAACTAGGGTGTTTATTTAATTTACATGGAATAAAATCTGCAGCTAGATGAGACTCCGGTGAATAAAATATTTAAAATCTACTGTATTTAAAAAAACTCAAAGGGGCGTGGCCGACCTTTAAATTTGAGTGATTCCCTACGAAACAGGTGGTTGTCTATTCTGAGCCGTTCATGCTTTAATCGGACCCAGATATTACAGTTTTTTTCAGAATCCCATCATTAAAGAATTTTTCGTGCAGCTCATAGCGCCCTCTAGTGGTAGCGGGAAATGTTATCACTCTGTTAGTGCAGGTTTTAGCCAAATTAGCTCTAAAAACACTTTATTTTTTGGTCCTCTTCGATTGAAAATATAATCTTATGTAAATAGCTGGACCATGACCCTGTTTCCCCGAAGACTGAACCAGCTAAACTCATCCCAGTATGTTACAGGTTCTTACTGGTCCCAGCAGGTGGCGTCAGCTCGGTCTGGTTTCAGTTTCTGTTATTGTTTTTCTTTCTCAGCTGTCTGAGTGTGAACAGGTAGGATCTCGGTGTGTGTGTCGTCACGGGTCAGTAGTGTGTAGCTAGAGCTGTAGGATCATGGTGACATCACTGAATGTGACCAATGAGCTGCTGTCGTCCTCTTGACTGACAGCGATGATCATAAGTGGGCGTGGTCGTGAGATATCCCCCAGTCAGAGTGTCAGTCGGTGTCCCTTCCTGATCATCAGAGGATGAACCCTTTAGATTTTAAAGACCCCATCACCTCCCTCTAGCGCCCTCTACAGGACGAACTTTGGTTGGATCTCACTTGAATTTTGACCAATTTTTTTCCTTTTCTCCCCAAATTTTTAGTTTGATAAAGAAATTTTATGTTTTTTTTTTTTTTTTTTTACTAAAATATGAACTTTGGGGTTTTATTTTGCTTTAAAGTCACTTTTCAAGTTTAATCTCATCCAAATCTTGAACTTTTTTTCTCAGACTTTATTAAACACACGTTAGAAAGGTCAGCTCATTGTCATATTGTGTTTTACCATTGTGTCTCTAATCACACTGAGCAGGACAGGAGCGGTCAGGGCCAGAGGAGGAGGTTTCTGTCATAATGTTTGATTTATTCATTTATTATTTTTGTCTTTGTCTTTATATTTGTCTCATCTTTGGGTTGTTTTGCTCCTTCCCCTGCTCTCCTCTCTCCTCCTCCTAACTCCTCCTCTCTCCTCCTCCTGCTGATCTCAGCTGTTTAAAGCAGGTTCATCTTAGCTTCATCTTCTGATATTTTCATGTTTGTGTGGAATCATAATTGAAACCTGATTAATCGCCCAGCCCTACCCTTCCTCGTTCTTCCATGTGATTAGATTTCGGAAACTCTGAGCAGAATTTTCACCTGTGAATCGTCTTTTTTGTCGTGGTTGTTCTTGTTTTGTTTTACTGCCATTGTAAGGATTTAGTGTCTTTGTTTTTTGGATAAACACAATTTTTTTTTATCACTGCTACAGAAAAGACTCGGAAAGAAAAAAGATGTTTTAGCACAGGAGACAGATTTTAGAACAAAAGAATAAATAAGGACGCAGTAATCTGGACTCTGACTCAGTGAAAGTCCACGTACCAGGGGAGTGGTGGGCGACAACTTCACTCGAACTGCGGCGCTGATCCAGCTCCAGCTGATTTGTTGCTGCGGTCTCTGACCCTCCTGTTTGACCCGTTCAGGTCACCGCTGCAGGGAGCCGAGGCAGCGTCGGCGCCACAGCTCCTCTGGGTGTCCGCGGGGACGAGGACGGAGGGCGAAACTACAGCACCAAGAGAGGGACTTTTCATGAAGTCTTCAGTCTGCCGGAGACCGAGCGCCCTCTGTCAGGTGAGGGAGGAACTGCAGGAGTGCAGAAACAGACTTCAAATAACGCAACAATACTCGATCATGTCGACATGATACTTCACAGGTGTTTTTAAAGATCCTCTGATCAGGTTTAAGTCACAGCGTCGGATTTTAACCAGGGAAATAAAACAACCAAAACCAGTCATAAACTGCAGTATAGGTCATAAACCCCGCCTCCTCCAGCAATCCCTATGAAGCTGTGGACAAACTTTAGAAATTAATCACACAGAATATAAATGTTTCTCCCCCCTGGTTGTGATGTTGACATGTAGTTACTGTCAGACTGGTTTGTGCTCAAGTCCTCTTTTTTCTGTACAGCTCCGTTTTTAAAAGTTATTAGGGGGTTCATGTTTTCTATGATTGACACCTGATACAGCCTATGGGTGTACGAAGTCGTATAATCCCTCCACTAAAATCTCTAAATATCTGTGCATGACTGAACTTGTAGCTGCAGTATAAACTCCGCCTGCCTTTGAGCCGCTGATGTATTTCTTTTTCATTTGTGTTGCTTCAGTGTGTGAGAACGGCTGGCGCTGCTGCCTGATCAACAGAGACAGAAAAACGCCCACAGACTACATCCGAAACGGCGTCCTCTTCGTCACTGAGAAGTAAGTCCTGCGGGTCCTGGTCTGTGCTGGTCCGGAGGTCACGGATGCAGTAATTCAGTCTTTAATCCTTGAATGGTTTCCTCTCTGTCTCCTCAGCTACCTGTGTTTTGAGAGCTCCAGCTCCAGGTCAGGATCCTCCAAGAGGAACAAAGTCATCAAACTGACGGAAATCACAGACATCCAGAAGGTACGCCGAGTCTGTGAGCACAATATGTTTATGTTTATGAAACATGTAAACGTCGTCTCAGACTTATACTCCCTCTGTCTCTCACAGTACAAAGTCTTGTCTGTTTTACCTGGATCTGGGATGGGCATTTCCATAGCAACACCATCCACCCAAAAGGTAAGAAGGACGTCTACTTAAAGAGAAGAAACAGAAATATGACATTTTAGTACAAAAAGAAAAAGTTCTGCTTTTATGATCAAACTCGAGTGATTCTCCGTCTTCGGTTTCTTCTCACAGCCGATGGTGTTCGGCGCGATGATCCACAGAGACGAGGCTTTCGACGTCCTCAGCGCTCAGTACATGAAGGTGAACACCATGGTAACAGCCGCCAAACCAGAGACATAGTAACACCTTAACGAGACGGGCCGCCTTCACGCGAATGCTGAAACTGTTACACTTCATCCACAGGTGACATCTCCAAAAACGCCGCCGACTTAGAGTCACACCTTCAGTCATCGTACGAGGTGACTGAGCGGCGTTAAAAATCCCGGGTTGATGTTAAATCGATCCAAGTCCACGTGACAGAATCAGCACAACAAAGTCAGTCCTGAGTGTTCGTTTTTAGTTCTCACGGTTTCGGACTAATCCGCTTAGAAACAAGTAAAGAGAGGGACCCTCCTTCTGCCCGGAGTTCATAGAGTTCATTTCAGCAGCACTTAACTCCCCTAATACAACAATCACCGCTTCCTCACTCATTTTCTACTTTCTTCTTCTTCTCTGCTTTTTTACAATCCCTGTCCAGCACCAGTTTTCCAGACTTCGTCCTCCTGCACAAATGCTTCACAGTGAAAGTCTTGCAAGGGCACAAACCCCCCCTTTACCCCCTTTACTTGGAAGACTTGAATCCCACCCTGATGTACCCTAAAAACACCAGACTGCACCGCACAATGTATCAGCCATTAAATATTACCTGATAAGCAGAAAATTTAATCACAAATAATGTTTATAATGAATTAACGTGTTAATCAAACATCCAGACTAGTTAGGGGTCGGCCGTTTCTCTCTGTTTTCATCGTCTGAACTGAATATCTTTGGGTTTTGGAGGAAAACTTTCAACCACGCCAGCTCAGAATAAAAACACACACAAATAATCAGAACTGGCTGCAAAAAAGTCAATATTCAGATTAGATTTCTGTCTAAAATCAAGAGACTCTTGTGTCAAACAATGCAGGATGTCTTAGTTAAGCCTCTGAGAACCACGGCTTTGGCGACTTTGAGTGGAAATATTAAAACCTGAGCAGAACAGCTGCAGAAGAATTTCCATGAGAAAAACTACCAAGTGTCAAGTTTTGTCTGAAAACCAAAAATCTGCCGTTTTCCTGAATAAGTGAGAATCAGCACTTTAGTTGCGCTTAATCCAGTAATTTAACAAATGAATTATCGTCTCCTTAAAATCACATACATGGTCTTTAATCTACAGCTGACCCTGGAGAATCAGAGCGAGCAAAACTTCAACAACCTACCAACACAAAATCAACAAAACTTAAATATTAAAGCTCCAATGAGGAGTTTTCTGATGTTCAAAGAATAAACAGACGTTAGTGTTTTTAATGTTCATGTTCATAATCAAAATAGCGATATTTAAATCCAGCATTAGGAAGACAAAGCAAAGACTGCTTTGTCCACAGGGGGCGCCAAATCAACAGGAAGTCAAAGTTCCTCATAGGAGCTTTAACAACACCGTGTTACCAAGGAGACAAGCACCTCCCAGTGTGTGAAACTTTAAATCTACATATGCTGGTGCTTAAAGTGCATCTAAGCAGCTTCTTGTCCTCGAAGGCCACCGTCTAGAATCTGACCAGCTAAACGTTCCTAAATCTTCGCACTGTACCTTTAAGAGGCCTAAATGACTCGTTAATCCAGAAAAGAGCAGATTTTAAACTTTGTCTGTTTTAAACACAATCCACTTCCAAATGACCCGGCTATAATTAACACGACTGAACTAGAACTATACTCTCAATTATGCGTCTGTGATCCATTCAAAACCGCTGAGTATCCAGTTTAAAGAGATTTACGACAGAAGAAACAGAGACTTAGTTTTAAGAGAATAAATTCAGATGTTTTCACAGTGTTATAAGCAGATAATCATCGTTTAACCTCGTTCCTTTCATTAGTGTCTTCAGGGAAATGTAAAAACTTCATTATCTGTGTTGTATTACGCCTTACGGTCTTGTTAATGTGACACGTTCTTTATAAGGTTCAAAGTTCTTCTATTCAGTATGAATGTCCTCAAACTACTGTAGTTACTGTGCAACATTTAACATAGCGCTAAAAATTAACCACGACTTCCTGCTTTTTTTTATGTGAGTGTTAAAACTGAAGAGTCCGCTTCAGTTTGTTTTACGATTTCACCCGATCAAGGTTGATTCAGTTTATACTTGAGCTTCTTTTTTTTTTAAGAAATCAGGATTTGTAGCTAAATTAAGACGCTAGCCACACGATGACAACGATGGCGGCGACAGCGAAGTCGAGCTTAAGGCTAACGTAGCTAAAGCTGAGCTCCACAATAATGACTTGAAATATAAGTTTTTTTAAGATTAAGGATAAAAACAGCTGATTCGCCCACATTTTCACACATTTTTGCCTTTAAAGTTCGATCTTTTGCACTCGAGTTGCTTCCAGTCTGATCTTTTCGAGCCATTTGGAATAAAAAATCTCATCGAGCCTCAAAATAGGATCTACTGATAAGCTTTTTCTCTTGATCAACGGGATGATTTTAAATTTTCAGTTAAACGTTCGTTAAGTTTGATGCTAAATTAGGCTGAAGTGCAGCTATGTAGATTTTAACGTGTGTGTGTGTGTGTGTGTGTTTTTGCTCATGTTTGAGTTTGAACTTTTGTCTGTTTCTCAGAGGGAATGAGTGTAACTACGGTCCGTCTCAGGACTGTCACACCAGCATTTATCGTTTCAGTTCCCATTTAATCCCCGTTTCTGTAGAGACATTACAAACTGTACATTCCAACCAAACGCCGTCACCGACGTGACGAATATCCATTCAGGTGAAAATCAAAGTGCAGACCGTAAACGCATCGCCCAGTAACACATGACTCAGTTTCGTGGATCCTTCTCACGGTTCGGATTTCGTCTAACGGAGCTCTTCTGTTGCCAACTTTTTTGTCTTTTGTAGATTTTCATTTTGCTTCTTAAAGAAAAAAAACGTAACTCTCTGAATTTGCAGTATTGTTGCCAGTTGTTAATACCATGTTGCCTCATTCGAACATCTGTAGTTTTGTGTGTCCGGACTGTCTCGGCTCTAACACTCGGCCGGTCTTCTTGAGTTTGTTTTCGTGGTTTATCGGCTTTTAACTCGGTCATCTCTAATCGTAAACTCTGTGAGCATTTCTCTGTCCAGCTGTTGTGTCTTTTGAATGTAAGGGTTTTATAAATTGGTGTCATTGTACAAACAGGTGTAAAATTTTTAACTTGAGATAATTTCTGCTGTAAAAATTTGATTTTGATTTTTTTATTTAAGTAAAATCAAATGTCAAACTCTGATGGTCTCCTGGTTTGCTTTGGTGTAATACCTGCTCCGGCCTGTTGGTGTCACTGCTGGTCAGGGCTTATTTCTTGTCTGTCTTTAAAAGGACCAGAATATCCTGACTAGAAAATACAGGCAGATTTCATGAAGTGTTGAAACTATTGAGAAATATTAAACTAAATGTTCGTTTTCCTAGACGGTCATGAAACAAACTGAAAGTAAAACCGATGCTTCCATACGAGCCAATAGGAAATCAAGACCATGAGCCGTTTCAAGGGTCCAGGAGGTGCAGGGACCATTTAGGATGGACTCTTTAGGACAGGGGTGTCAAACTCAACCACAGCAAGGCCAATAATCTGGATTGAGGTCTAACCTGAGGGCCGAACAGGGTCAACATTTCACCAAAACTGTCAAAAAATATCAAACAAAAACAGCAGTGATTATAAATCATTTGGAAATTCAAAAAAAGATTAAAAAAAAGAATTTTTTTAAATTCTATTTTTAATTATTAGTTCAGAAGATCAGAGTGTGATATTAAAAATAGAAAAATAATGCTTTTAAAGAGCAAATACATGAAGAGACTTAAAATTTGAACCTTAAGTATAAAAATGACACAAGTCTAAATACTGAGTTGAACAAAATCAAAGCATGAAATAAAAAATCCAATCATGCTTGACTTGTAATCTTCGAATGCGAAATTGAAAACATGAAATAAAACATCAAATATTGTTTCCCCCACATTCTTGACTTTTTATCAAATCTTCCTCACTCTTTATTTAACAGATTTTCATGGCTCATTGAGGACATTTTAAATAATGGTGCTAAAGTTTACATTATTGTACTGGAGGAAATCTGCAGACCTCATACTGGTGGGCCAATAATAGTACAAATATGATATGATCTTATGGGCCAGATAGAATTGTTCAACGGGCCAGATTTGGCCCCCGGGCCTTGAGTTTGACACCTGTGCTTTAGGATGTCCTCCTGCTAAATGAATCAAGCATCAATGCATCAAGCAAGTGTTGCACAAAAACTGAGGATAAAATCGCTCCGTAACACCCCTGAAGTTTCTTCATCGAGGACATTTTAAGACTCATGTATGAGCGTTGCTGTGCGAACTTGGCACATCAAGACCTGCAAAAAATCATCCTGTATCCACACCCTAAACCCAGCAGGGGGTCAGGAAACATTACTGACACATGTGCAAGGCTGAATCAGCGAAGAGAGAGGACCCTGATGGGGCTGACCGCCAAAGAAAACGTGTATTTAACCTCAAATGAAACACCAGAGGTCCTTCAGGTCGGTACAGACGACAGCCAAATGGATTTTTAAGACAAACATGTCTTCATAGGGGGCACCAGATTTAACACTAAAAGTTCCTCCCAGGAGAAAGAAGTGGAAAAACTTTCTCACTGAGTTTTTTATCGTTTATTTTCCGTCGAGTATCATCCCTAACACAGTATTTATATCAGTGTCTGTGAAACTGTTGACAAGCGCTCAAAGAAAGGTCAAAGTTTGCATCATTTATAAGTTTTTACGGCGTTATGAACCAGCAGGGAGGGTTTTATGATCCCTGTCAGGAACAGATGTTTTTATTGTTTTATCACCTGAACTTTCCGTTTGTTCATTCCTGGTTTTAAATGACTCTACACATCCAAAAGAAAAAAACAGAAACACGAGGAGTTAGCAACCAGAAATAACAATACTTAGGGTTTTGTTTGGTGCAGCGAGCTAACCCTGGAGATAACACGAATACTTACTTACCTTTCTGACTTATTGTTCATTTTTGTTGGAATTTGAAAATGTTTGTTTAGGCTGTTTAACCATGAATTTAATCACAGGAATTAGCTGTGAGAACTTTTATTGTTATACTTTATCAACTACCAACATAGACAGCAAATAACCACCTCACTTTGAGTATTTATGGGTGTTTAACGGAGCGGTTTAGTGAAATAACTATCAGACTAAAGTACAGGGACCTTTCAGTTCTCGTTTATTTTGGTTTTCTTCTGACAGATTTCTTGTTTTTGGTCATTTTCCAGATTCCTGCCTATATACAAACCTGAATCATGAAAGTTTAATCAGTTTTTCTGAAATTCCGTCTGTGGAGCTCTGGAGAATTTTGCTCCGTCCGCTGAAGGTCTGGGTCTGTGTCTCTCAGTTTTATTTCTGTTCGCTCATAAACATTCGGCTCTTTCTCTAATCTGGTTACAGAACATTCATCAGTATTTACAGAAAGAAAAAAAAAATAGATCTACTGAAAATCTAAACCTCAGGACTGTGTTTGCAGTTTCACTCAGACCTCCTCTTATCTCCTCTGAGGCCTAATCAGAGATTTCGGATAAATCATCACGTGGTTTTATTGAGGGCGGTTCCTCACAGACGCTCACAGCTGATAACTCAATTTTTCCTCATCGTCTGAGTCCGCTCCTCGGTCCTCCACCTTCACCCCGAGTCCACTATCCAGATCCGTCTCGTTAAAGACAACCCTCGGGGTTTTCAACCCCCTCCTGTCGTCTTCGTTGTCCTCTTTCTCGCTGGACTCCTCCTCCTCCTCGTCCTCCTCGTCTTCCTCCTCTTCTTCCTCACTGTCATTGGCGCTGTTGTCTGGGATAATCACCACCTCCTCTTTGGCGTTCGGGTCGATGTCCTCCCTAAACCAGACCGACTTGTATCCGTCATCCGTGCGCTTCTCCTTGGTGAGGATGGGTTTCACGTCAGCGTCGGCGTCGGTCTCAGTGTCCAGGCTGGTGTCATCAAGATGAAGGTCCTGCGGCGGCGCTGCAGTCTTCCTCATGGCGTCTTCCTGTATGAAGCCCTCTGAAGGTTTCTTTTGCCCCGCCTCTAGACCGCTGGAGCCGGGGCTGTCTCCATCTTCATCGTTGTCAAAGGCCTCATTGGTGTACTGCATGGTCTCCTTTGGACCACCTGGACCTTTACCCCACTGAGGACGAGAAACAAATCGAGGAAGAGACAAAGTTAGCGTTAATTTGACTTCATAAAAAACGACGGACGACGTCTTCCCCTGATGTGGAGCCTGTTTTGAAAATTACTAAAAGTTGAATTAATATCATGTCAGAGAAAAATGCTGCAACTGACCAAAAAAACAAAACCAACAACACTCAGAACTTCGTGGTCTCAAAGTCAGGGCTTCAACATGAACCCAGGATCAGTGACTGAGGCGTGTCGTCCTCACCGTGCTTCTGAACATGTTGCTCTCATAGATCTTCTTCGAGAATGACACCCCCTTCTGGACGCGAAGAGCGAGGACCACGATGACGATCACACAGCTAAACAGAAGGACGCCCAGGACGGCACCGAGGATCGCCATGTCTGTGGAGGTGTAGTCGCCTGACGGTGCGATTTCTGCGGTACCGGAAGAAAAACATGTCTGTGAACTTCCACGCTGACCTGTCTTATCTGCAGACTCGGTCCCTCGGTGACATTTAGTGATTTCAACGTTAAAGCAAAAGCAAGAAGAAGAAATGTGCGAGGAGAAGAGGCAGATCAGAAAATGATGGATTTGTTTAGGTTTAGATCAGACCAGCAGGTGACCCCTGCACAACCGGAGAGAGAGTCTGAGTCTCTTTTCAGGCTACCTGTGGGAGGGTTAGCTGTGGTGTCCCCCCCCTCACTGGTCATACTGGGATCAGAGGTGGACACAGTGCTTTCACCGGCTGTGCTGGAGATGGCGGTGGAGACACTACCATCAGTGGTCATACTGGTGGACTCAGTAACTCCAGTGGTTTTGCTGTCTGTGGTCGACTCCTCTGTGAACGGAGTGGCGGGACTGGTGGTGAGACCTGGGAGGAGAGCACACTTTGGGTTTTCATTCTCTTTCCCAACATGGAGGCCTCTCCGACTCCTGACTGTCTGTGTTCGTCGGCTGCTCAGAACTTTTATTCACTGAAGTTTGTTCAGATATAAAACATTTCCCCCTCTGTGTGTTAGGAGAGGCTAAAAGAGACGAGGCTCGGGCTGAGTTAACTTCAACCTAAAACAACAGGAGCTCCAACCGGAACGGTTGATAGCTGGTAAGGATGTTACACCTGAGTTGACAACATTTCAGTAAACAAGTCGGAAAACCAAGATGGACGCCTACTTTTAACCGTTGTCAGTTGTTGTTATTTGTTGTTAGCTATACCAGTTGTAAACAACACATAACACAGTAATTTACTCTTACAAACACCACAGCGCCGTGTTCACAGTTAGACGTCGAGCAGAACGACATATAACACTTATTTAATTGAACGAAAACAAAACAGAAGTGCTAATAAATAAAACATAACGAGAGCTTTCACCGTAACTCTCTACTGTTGATGCACTGCGATCTTGGATTATGACGTCGTCGTAAAGTCGAGGTTGGTGAAGATCATTTTTGTTAATTGCCGTCTTGTGCTGATATCAGTATATCAATCCCCCCCCCCCCCCCGATTTGTCGCCTTTTGGTCAAAAATTTCAGGGTTTTAGTCGACCAAGAATTTCACGGGTTTGACTACAGCCTTACTGACATGTAATAAACCATTTTTCCGGACCTGTCAGGTGAATGCGGCTCTTCATGAACCTAAAATGACATTTTTGTACCAGAAATGAGACAAAATCAGCTGCTTTGTTCGAGGTTTTGCAGAGGAAGTATATTCAGATCTATCGACATGGAGACCACTCAGCAGGGCTGTCAAAACTGCTCCAGAATGATGATGTTCATTCTAAAAATCACACATACCGTAGGTTCAAACATATTCAAATATCCAGCTTACACAGTTTGCATATAACCTTTTCCCCTCTCAGAATTTTTTCCGTCTACCCTGTCTGCCCAAAATCGGAAGAATTTCCAAACGGAGCTTCTAACGTTCGTTGGAGTCCAGACCACTCTCTCTGAGTTTAGCCCCGAACACTGCAGATGCAGCTCCTGTGACCTTTCTGTGACCCGTCATTACAGTGCGCTCACTCACAAAAAAGACGCTGTTATTTTATTTTGTTTCAAATTTTTTGCCACTCAGTTTTTTCTTAAAATTCGAACATTAATTCTCACTTTTGAATCTATTTTTGTTTTAATATTGGAATTGAGAATATCCGCTGACAGCTCTTCTACTCAGCTGTTGAAATGCATTTCCAACTATCTGGTTGGAGTTGTGTGCTGATCTGTGCAGGAGTGTCCATGTTTATTCGTTAAAATGCAACATAAACCACCATAATCAGAGGCTTGGATGTAAAGAGCAAAAACAGCATTATTAAACTGAAGCATAGAGGGATATTCAGCCTGGAATAGCAGTTCAATCAAGACCTCTCCTGATCTCGATAATTAACATCATATCTCTGTAATAAGTTATATTTGACAGTCATATGTGGCTCTATCCTCTGTTTCATGTTCGTTTGTGATCAGCCAGGGCAGGCAGAGCAGCAGCGAAGACCCCCAGGACACAGAACAAGCGCTCGCACTGGTCAATTCAGACACGGCACATAAAAGAGGAGCAGAGTGCAGAGGAAGCAGCAAGAGTAGGGCGGCTGAAGCGGTTTTAATAGAAGGAACATTTAAGGATTCAGGACCTGACGGCCTGCCTGAACTAACACCACACTCAATCAAATTCTGCATTTCTAAAAAGTATGTACGGAGTAAAACGGACGTCTACCTACTTAATTTGACCTCCACTGAGAGCTGAGCTGTATCTGATTCATCGTTTGTCGAGTCAGTCGCCTTCAGCTGGAAATAAGAAGACAGAGTTAAGTGATCTTTGAGAAAATAAGAAAATCGCTGCACACCCTCTGGATTCACGACTCACCTGCAGAGACAGCGTGCCGTCTGGGAGCTCCTTAGTCATAAATAAATATCCGTTAATGACCGAGAAATCATCGCTGCCGATTACTGAGTACGTCATGTGAGGGTTTAGACCCTGTGGAAGCAGAAACTGAAGGTCAGAGCTGCACAGATGTTTTTATTTACCTTCGCTGTTACTTTACATCTCAGGAGTCAAAACATTCTTGTGTGAATTTTAATATTGAAGTCAGAGATGATCAGAGTCTGAAATCAGCGTCCTACCCCAGTTGTGGCGAAGTCCTCATCCGTGGCCATGATTTGCAGCGGCTCGCCTGTTGAGTCCACCGCCATGGACCCCACTGAAGAGATGACGCCACTGTACTGAGACTTCTGAAACTCTGGAAGGTGGAGACTCTTCAGCTGGACGCTGATGCTGACGGTGGTGGTGGCGTACTGGAAAGAGTTGACTTTTTGGGCGGCCTGCAGGTAAAACACAAAGTAGTTGTTTGGAAAATACAAAATTCCAGGACCTGACCTGGTCCCAAATGACTACGGGACCCAAACGTAGACCCAAATCTGTATCTGTGTCATCTTTACCAGCACGCTCAGACTGACGGTCTCAAACACGTTGGCGGGCTTCAGCATGGTGATGTTCCCCGTGGTTGGAGATATTGCAAACAGATCTCCAGTATCTAAAACACAAACAGGTTGAAAACAAACAAAAAAACTCAGTCCTGTCTCGGGTTGCAAAGGGGCGGAAACTTTCCGGTAAATTTCCAGAAACTTTTCATGGGAAGTTAGGCTCGGGAATTTTGGGAAATATTCCAAATTGGAAACTTTTCATGAAAATTTATGGGAATTGGGGGTAATTTAGATAAACTGTATCATATCCAAACATAAATGTAATACAAATAAAACACATGACACACATCAGACGGCGAACGTGGCATTTTTCTGTAGAATAAAATAACAAAAAAGTTTGTAAAAACACTAATATAATGGCATGAACAGAAATATAGTTGGCTAAACAACTGGAATGGTCTCCAAAATATTTAACGATTGATGTATAAATTATTGTTTGGTTACAGAAAACCGTCTCGCAGGAGTCTGGCCCCTCTTAGACGGAAACGGTCTCCATAGAAAACGGAAAAGTGTCGTTTCGTTTTCAGTTTTTATGCTGTTTACACAAAAACGCAATGTGGTTGAAAACGCTGTAATGTGCATGCCAGGTCGCTAGGTGGCGTGTGTCAGTGTGACCGCGCTCCCATATAGACCAACAACGCGTACGTAGAACAACTTCCGTTCTACTTCTTAGAAGTCATAAGCGTGAGCTGATGTGAGCCAGGACGTCACAGGTTTGACTGTTTTCAGCGTTTTTGTACTTTAGACGAAAGCGGAACTAGCAGAGCGTTTACAACATTTCCACTCTGGAGGGGGTTTTCACTTTGTTACGTTTTCATCTCCTGAAAAGCACTTGCCGTCTAAACGGACCCCCCTAAACAAAACTAAATTTTTTCCGTTTTCTATGGAGACCGTTTTCCGTCTAAAAGTGGCCTCAGAAGAAACAGCATCACATTTGTGGGAAGGTAGCACCATAATAAGCTCGCCCCTTAAATGGTCAATGGAACGAAAAATAGTTTACATTTAACACCTATTTTCAATTGATTATTGCAAGTTAAATATGAATACAATTATAGATCAAATATATTTACCCCATAATATTATCAAAACTTACTTGACTTTCTATAGTCAGTGGGCTCAAAAGTGTGGCCTCTAGGGTTATGCTACAATATATTTTCACCAACTATATTTAAGTTCCCTGTTGAGGGCCAGCCTTCAATTTTGTTAATTTCAGAGTTATTCCAGTTAATTTTCGTTCATTCCTTTTGTTTTTATTAAACTGGAGGATACTTACAGCCCAGGAAGGAATACGTGATCTCCTCATTTATCCCAGAGTCTCCGTCGATGGCGTGAAGTGGTCCTGGTTTCAGGGGCAACGCACCCTCCTGCACAGAAGAAGAACATGCTGATGACCATGAAGTGTGGAGAAAGGCATGATAGACAGCAGACTGTAGAAGACAGAACCGGCTCTAAATAAAGGGCAGCTTCTGACACTTCCTCTTAGACAGTTAGCTGCAGCCGTAACCTACCATCACTGTAACTTCCAGGCAATCATGCGTACTCGTACCCTCGCACAAACCCTTTATCTGTCCATTCAGCAAGTTTAGCGACATCAGGATGAGAGTGCGCAGTGCAGCTCCGTGCAGCCGAGCACAGAGATGTTTACAGCTCAAAGTTTAGAGGATTCATCTCCTGAATCAACACGTTTATCTTTAGGGACGTGTGAAAACGGTAAATGTGTCACCTGCTGTTCGTTTAAGACGACCCTCCCAGTGTAGCCCACGCTCTGACAGATCAAAGCTCCTTCCGCCTCAGACTGGGTGCAGGGCTGGAACCATGGCGGTCTGTTATCCACATCCTTAATGGCGACATTAATGGTGGCGGTCGCAGTGTATGAAGGACCGGTCACTGGTGTTCTAAAATCTGTGTCCTTTAAAAATGGAAACAGCCTGATCACTGCAGTGCCGCACAGACAGGTTATCATTCAACACACGTCAGGGAGACACTCTCCAAATTTCAGAGGTGTCTGAAAATGTCTGAAAAAAAACAGAACTCTGAACCTGCAGGGAGCAGCGCTAACCTGAGCTTCCAGTACCAGCTGGACATTTTTGACTTTGTCGTATTCAAGAGGCGTCACAACGAGGAGATTCGGGTTGGTAACACTCTCTAGTCTGAATGCATTCTGCAGGAATCAAGAAGGACAATATCAGATTATTAGATCGGACTTCAGACTGGAAATGCCCCCCATCCCAACATCCCAACATCCCAACACACTCTTTGTTCCAAAACTAAGCTTGAAGCCCATTGACAAGAGTTTGCTTTAAATCAACAGATCCACAAAGGGATTAAAAACCAAACCTGAGGACTTGCAGAGCCGGACACCAGTCTGTAGTAAATGGTCGTCTGATCCAAGTCTGTTGCAGCGAACCTGCGCACCGTTGAGTTAACAGGAGACAGCTGAGGAAAACACACACTGTCACTGTCTTGGAATAAATGGTGACAATCGTTTCCAGGAAGTTTGAGGCATGTAGATGAAAAAAGTCATACCTCGTTGACATCGGTGGAGTAGGTCTGCTGTGCGAAGTGTGGTGGGTTATCATTCAAATTTCCCAAAATTACAACAATCACTATTCCAATCTGGAAGAAAGAGACACAATCCACCGTTACACCGTCTGTTCAGTTTGGAGAGTCAAATCTGAAGATATTCAAAATGATTCTTGAGCATTTGACAAAGACTTTAGAAACCTGCCAAACATACAGTTCTTTATTCTCTTAACGGTTTAACTGTGACATCTGAAGTGTGCACAAAAGATTTTACCTCTGCGGCGCCAGCTTTGGTGCAGGTGATCTTGATGGTATAAGTTGGTGGATCCACCTGTCAATAGAAACATGGTGATCAGTCAGGTGTCGTGGGTTAGAATCTGGTTTTCTCTGTTCGATTTCACTGACAGTACCTCGTAGTCAAAGACTTTATTAGCTATCAGCTGGTTGCCCTCCAGTATAAACTGGTCGTTGGGCTGTGGGGTTTTAAAAGTGAGGTTCACCCCGTCCTCGATAGTGATCTCTGTCACCACTTTACCGATGGTGTTGTTTTCTGGGAAGGGCACCTGTATGGGGGACGTACAAACTGAGGAGAGAAAAGAGAAAAAATGAGACGATGTCCATTTTTAGATTTTTGCAACTGAGAGCGTCCAAATACACTCCACTGATGATAACAGTTGATATCGCAGGTATAAGGTAAACCCGTGGAATCGTCATCATTGTTGCCATGGCTGCTGCACATATAGATATATATGAGAAGGGCTAGATAACGGCGGCCATCTTACTCCAGTGTACCATTCTAGTACGCTCTATGGTAGCTGACGGGAGGTGAGTAAAATCTGCATGATCAAAAATCCTCTTAACTCGCTGAAATCTTGACAGATTTACAAACGGTTTTGTTTATTACAGACTTTAATAACGTGGCTGTGAGTCGGGATGTTTGGACATATCAAATGGCAGATTTTCTATAAAAAAAACACTTAATCGTGAAGCAAAGTTGTTTCACGGCTATTTGCACGCAAGGACTAACTTTAAGTCGCTTTGAGTGAGTTGTCAAGGCTGAGACCACAATCAAGATTTTGATTTCTTCTATGACAGCTTGTTTTTAATTTTCATTTATTTATTTTGAGTGTTGTGCTTGTGTTTATCAACTTGGCTAACAGACTCGTGGTGTGTCCCAAATTGCATACTTTCATACTAAATACTTAAAATTTTGAGTATACTCAACGCAAAATGGGAAAAAGTATGGATAGCATGTGAAAATTGAGTAAGTAAAAGTACCCGGATGATGTACTCAAATCGGTCAAGATTTTAAGTATCCGACTATAGAAACTCGCCACACTCATCAGTAAGAATGGCGGCGGATGGCTGTGGTGCCAGTGGAAGAAAGAAATCACGTCATTTCCAGTGAGTGCCCAGATTGCATACTTCCATACTAAATACTTAGATTTTTCAAATTGAGTATTCTAAGCATACTACATTTGAAAAATCTAAGTATTTAGTATGGAAGTATGCGATTTAGGACACACCATACACACCACACAAAGTTGACCCAGTAATTTAACATCAGTTGAAGAGGCAGAAATACTCTTTAGATTCAACATAACTTAAGTTGCACATGATTTCAAGCTGTTTGGTTTGTTAGAAACATCTATGGCAACATGAGGTAGAAATTGACCCTGTCTTCATCCACAGGAGTGTAACAGTCACCTGTTAGCCATAAAGGATTAAAACACTGGAGGAACCGGCACACAAACGAGACTACAGCGTTACACAGACTCAGACTTTTCCCCTCACTATCAGAGAGCTCATTTGTTGTTGCACTTCCTGCAGGGTCAGCACCATAGACTGTATTTACTTTGGACAACTTGGTGTATCTCCGCCGTATCCCCCGAGTGAAATACGCAATCTTGAGGACTTGAGCACAAACCAGTCTGACAGTAACTACATGTCAACATCACAACCAGGGGGGAGAAACATTTATATATTCTGTGTGATTAAATTTCTAAAGTTTGTCCACAGCTCCATAAACTTTGCTGGATTTATGACCTATACTGCAGCCTGTCACCAGAGGGTGCTGTTCTAACCCTGGCTTCACCCAGCGAGGAGACAGACGGCGTCTATTCTACATACAGCCTATGGTCAACACATACTGTACATGCTTTGCAGCGTTATCAGTGAATAGCTTGTATATTGGGAATTTTTGCATCTCAGTTTTGCATAATGTCAAGCACTAAATTCCCTTCTGGGTGCAGTGATGTGTACAGGGTTTGTTATTGCCGCTCAGTCTTCTCTGTCAGCAGCCAACACACTCTACTCTGATTAGGTAACATAACCGCAGACCATGGGAGTGTCATTATGCTGTAAAAAACAGGTAGAGCCGAAAACTCGGTCGTTTACGGTGTGACTCGTTTGATGACGAATTATAAAGCGCTGTTAAAAATCAAACCAAGTGTTGAGAAAGAAAGCTAGTTATAAAAAGAAGAGGTTATTTTGGTGTTACAGCTCCAGTGAGTAATCTTTAAACATTAAGTAAATGAGCTAAAACTCATGCTGATGCTTTCTTATGAGATTCAAAAGCAAACAAGATGATCAGGGATAAGATTGAAAATCTTTATTTTGTGATTTTTAATGCCTGAAAATTGAGGGTAGAGGGTTTAGGCTGTCACATGTCAGTTAAGAAGAGGCTCGTTTTTGCAATAACCGTGTAAAATACTCACGATCAGTGTTATATTAGACAGTCAAAAATCAGCAGGATGAGATTTTTGTCAGAAGATGTTATTTAAGCATGAAGAGGACAAGATGAGCAAAGACCGCTTCGACCACACAGGAGCGTCAAACCCAGAAGAGACCGCTTGACTAATGTTTAATCTCAGGTAGATCATCAAACTCATGAAGAGCGCCTCGACAAACAACCTCGAGAGGACCGGCAGATCTCAGTACTCACTCTGGGCCTCAGTGGACGTCTGAAGCAGAACCAGGACTAAAAAGCTGAAGCAGGTCCTGACGGTGAAGCCCGGATAAATCCCGTCCATGGCGCCGTCTTTGCAGTCTGAACTGATCCCCGTCTGTCTCTGTTCTCGGCTTATCTGCTCGACTTTATTGCAGCGGTGGACTTTTCCCCATCATAAAATCATAACACACACACGTCTGTTTGCTGAGGACTCATCTCGACCTTCCTCCTTTTTTATTTCTCCTTAATTTGAGTCTGACCTGAAGCCCGTCAGGGTTACACGATTAGAGGTGGAAACTTTTACTAAAAGCTTTAATTTAGTTTTCTATCAGCCAATCCTGGTAGAAAATCAACCTCCAGATCTTCTCCTCCACCCTTATTTTTATCAAGAACGTCACCGTTTCCAACAACATGAGCTCATGGCAACAGTGGAGGAAGACACAAACATACAGTGGATATAAAAAGTCTACACACCCCTGTTCAACTGCCAGGTTTTAGTGATGTAAGAAACTGACAGCAAGATAAATATTTTCTCAACTTTTTCCACCTTTAATGTGACCTATAACCTGTACAACGCAACTGAAAAACAAACAGAAACCTTTAAGGGGAAAAATAAAAAATAGAAAAGTTAAAATAACCTGGTTGCATAAATATGATCACCCTTAAACTAATACTTTGTTTCAGCACCTTTGGCTTTTATTACAGCACTCAGTCTTTTTGGGTAGGAGTCTGTCAGCGTGACACAACTCCATGTGGCAATATTTGCCCACTCTTCTTTGCGAAACCGCTCCAAATCTGACAGATTGCGAGGGCATCTCCTGTGCACAGCCCTCTTCAGATCACCCCACAAATGTTCGATGGGATTCAGGTCTGGACTCTGGTTGGGCCGTTCCAAAGTCTCAATCTTATTCTGGTGAAGTCATTCTTTTGTTGATTTAGATGTGGGCTTTGGGTCATTATCCTGCTGAAAGATGAAGTTCCTCTTCATCTTCAGTTTTCTAGCGGAAGGCTGAAGGTTTTGTGCGAACACTGACTGGTATTTGTAACTGTTCATAATTCCCTCCACCCTGACTAAGGCAGCAGTTCCAGCTAAAGAAAAACAGCCCCAAAGCATGATGCTGCCACGACCATGCTTCACTGTAGGTGTGGTATTCTTTTGGTGATGAGCTGTGTTGATTTTGCGCCAAATATACCTTTTACCAAAAAAGTTCAACTTTGGTTTCATCGGACCATAACACATGTTCCCGCGTGCGTTTGGGAGATTTCAGATGTCTTTTTGCAAAATTAAGCTTTGATGTTTTTCTTTGTAAGATAAGGTTTCCGTCTCGCCACCCTAGCCCACAGCCCAGACATACAAAGACAGGGGAGATTGTCGTCTCATGTACTACTCAGCCAGTACTTGCCAGGAATTCCTGCAGCTCCTTCAGTGTTGCTGTCGGCCTCTTGGTAGCCTCCCTGACCAGTTTTCTTCTCGTCTTATCATCAACTTTGGACGAAAATCCTGTTCTTGGTAATGTCACCGTTGTGCCATATTTTCTGTACTTGATGATGACGGTCTTTACTGTGTTCCATGGTTTATTTAATGCCTTGGAAATTCTTTTGTAGCCCTCACCTGACTGATATTATGTAACCTTGATTGACTGTTCGCTGTGATCCTAACCCTCCCTCCAAAGATACGTTCAGGTATCTGTTCAATAAACCTTTTTTTATGACAGAAATAACTTTATTAATAGAGCACTTATCAAAACCACGTGACAAAGTGTTTCACAGGAGGAGCCAAATGAAACGGGTGGATTATGAAAACATCATGTTAGTCAGACTAAATTCACTGAAAAGAGCTCGAAAGTAAAATAATATGATCAATATGAAGATGGATTTTTACTTTGTGGTTAATTTTACTGAGTCAGATCGAGCGCCAAGATTTTCTTTATAAGACATTTAAAATAACCAAAAAATTCTCAAGTATGGTACAACCCAACCAAAAAGATAATACTCCTCACTTTGTCCACAGGAGGCGCCAAAATCAACACAACCCAAAAGTTCTTCACAGAGTTTTAAAAGGCCAGGAGAGCCCCTGGTTTTTGAGGAGGACACGTTCACGCCAATAATTTGATTTTCTCAGCTGCATGTAAACGAGGACAAGGAGAGAAGTCTGACTCAGCGATAAAACCAAATTATGAGTTTAGTCCGATTAAGTTCTGCATGTAAACACACTGACTGTGACTGAAACAGGAGAACCAGAGCGAACAAGAGACCTGGTCGTGTTCTTGTTCTGGTTCTAGTGAAAATCCCAGCAGCTGAAGTCTCAACTGTGTCGTCGATCAATCATCGAGGTTGAACCAGATAAAAGCATAAAAACCTGTTTCTGTGTCTTTAAAAACATGAAGAAGAAGAACTTTATTGATCCCAGAAGGAAAATTCAATAATCATAGAGAAATGATAACATATCGAACACCTCCAGACAAAACCGGTTTTAGTAACAAAGATTTATTTCATGTTTTGTACATTAAATATGATAACAGCTGCATGTACTCTGAACATCAAATATCAGCTCCTGTTCCTCTCTGAGCGCCCCCTACAGGTCAGTCTGCCAGGGGTTGTAGATGGACGGACACATGTACTGTTTGAGGAGCAGGTTCACCTTCTCCACGTCTCCTCCCGCCCCGCTGAGGAGTGAAAATACACAGACTCTCATCATCATGAATCATCTTCTACAATCTTCACACAGTTATAATAAAGTCGTTTCTCACAGTAACGTCCTCTTTAAGTTTGTTTGTTGTTATAAAGTAGCTGAAGTTTCCCACCTTTTCTTGACGGCCTGAATGCGGCGCAGGAAGGCGCAGATGGAGCTGTGTTTGGCTTTAGATCGGAGGAACTCTGCGTATCTGTTGGAGAACTCCATGTCTCCCAGCTGCCTCCTGCGGTCCAGACCTGACGACAACAGCTGCCTGAAACACACAAAACCAACCATCACTCCGGTCCGGATCAGAACACAATCAGCTGTTACTGTTTACACACAATGATGAGTGAAAATTAACTCTCCGTTAGCTCCATGTTTGGTCTCCACCACCTCCACAGGGAAATATAATGATGCTGTCTTATTAAAGGTCATTGTCGCTACCCGATTCGCCCCAGAAACCAAATTTGTACTACCCATGTTCGAAATGTACGCCACCTCCTGGTATTTCATTGCATTTTACATTAGCTAGTTACGTTCATCGTTACTATTGTTAGCTACCCGATCCGTACTGCACAAGTGCGAATTTACGTCGTATTAAAATTCATTTAAACTACCGATCGATTTCAGAAACCAGCTGGCGATGTGACAGGCTAGCTAGCAGGAGGCTCCAGGGCACTTTTTTTTTTTTTTGTAGGATTGAAGGGGAAAGTCCCGCCTCCTTCGCCTCTGATTGACTAGAAAAGCTGGAAACATCATCAGAATTTTTTCTTGCTTTGATTTAATACTTTAATTTATTTATTAAATGATTAATTAATTTATTAATTAATTCATTTTATTGTTATTGTTATTTGAATTTCCCTTAGAGGATGAAATAAATAAAGTTACTCTTGTTGTTGTTTTGAATATTCTCATTGATCTTGTTTGTTTGTTTGTTTTCAGCTCACTCTTGTTTTTAATGCACATGTTCAAAATATAAAATAAAATAAATAAATAGATAAATTAATAGAATGGAATAAATTTGTATTTACAAATGTCAGAGTAAACAAACAAACTGTTTTTTTTAAAATACTCACCTGAGTCTGGCCTCCAGCAGAGCGTCCACCTCTGACAGGGACCACAGTGCGTTCAGGGGTTTGATCTGAGTCAGGAAACTCTCCAGCTCATCTTCATCCCTGAGGCTGAGGACATTTTTACAGAGAGACGAAACATTTTAAAAATACAAACAAAAATCCAGCTGGTGCAGTTCAAGACGTTTCACTTTTTAAATCTTCCTTTCTTTTCCATTAAAGGAGTTTATCTTTAAAGACGTTTCACTTTTTATCTTTAAAGACATGAACTGATTCAAATGTTCCAGGAGTGAGTCTGATTTCTGTGCAGCGTCTGTGTGAGGCGTTCAGGTACCTGACAGGAAGTGATGCAGCGAGGTGGAGGAGGGCCAACAGCAGGAACGCCTGAGTCACACTGACCGACGGCATTATGGTGATCAGGCTGATGAAGATGAAGGTGAAGATGAGGGTGGTGGTTTCCAGACCTTCAAACTGAATTTACAAGAGCAGAGGGAAAGAGACTGTGCATCTGTGAGTCTAAGCTGTCAAAATATATTGATTTTACATTAACAATATGATCAATTATATATATATATGTTCATAAACAGTGGTACAAATATAACTATTCAATTTTACAGTGTTTTTTTTCTGCAATTATCTCTAAATATTCATATTTTTTTCCAATTGTGTGAAGAATTATTAAACAAGTGTCAAATATTTATATAACAATAGAATTTATGTATTCATCTGTATTAAAAACATCATAAAACTCTTAAATTAAAATACAAGACCTTAATAAGTCAATAACATGATGGAAAAACACAAAAAAAAACATAAATAAGAAAGAGTTTGATGCTCAATCTGGAGATTCAAATATGAGATGCTGCTGCACAAATCAGGAAACAGCAGAATATAACTTTAAAAAGTGTTTTTTTTTCATTAAACTGTCTTTCCTCAACAATATTCTTATTAGTTTTATAGTTTTATTCAGATTATACAAAGGAAAATTCTGGAGCTAAAACAAAAATAATAATTAAAAAAATATCAAAAGAATACAAGTGATCTTGAAATACATAAGATGTTGAGGAATAAAAAGTAAAAAGTTAAATGAAGTTCTGTACGTTAAGAGAAATACAAATGAAGACAAGTCACTGAAAACTGAAAAAGTCCATAAAAGAGAGAAGAATTTAGAATTTAAACTGCATTAAACTGTTTTATTTTTGTGCAAAAGAAAACATTTTTTTTGGCAGTATAAAGGGATCAGCTCTTATATTTTAGTTTAATTAAAGTAAAATGAATAAAACCTGAAGTAAAGAGTGACTCACCTGGACAGATCCTCCTCTCAGACCGGATCAGACTGACTGTCCGGGTCCACGCCGCCTCTTTTTGAACCCCCCTGAGGTCTCCACCTCCCCACAGGTTTTATTGTTCTGATTATTTACCGTGTCGACTTATTGAGTTAGGTATCATATTTTCCTGCAGCGGCTTCCGGAGATCTTGATAAAATTATCGTATTTCTGACTTCCCTAATGAGCTCTAATCACCTGTGAGAGCTGCCGGCTGTTTGTTCACATAGAAACCACCGTCGGATCGATCGGGGGCATCGATCCTCAAACACACCTCCACGTCTTTTTATGAGTCTGATTCCTGCTTCTGTTTGCTCCGTCACAACTGCTGCTCAAAATGACCTCAGAGGATTTACCAGCTCTGTTTTCCTTTGAGATATCAGCTCAGGAAAAAACACACAGATTTATCTTTAGAGCCTTTTCTCATGTTTTATTATCAGGTGATTCAGGTGACACAGTTTGTATTCACTCAGGAGAGTTTGTGGTGGCCTCATCATGCCTGGACAAACGCTGCAGAAGTGGATCAGATGTCAAAGAAAATCCCTCGAGTTTCTTCTCAGTACTTTGAAAATAAGAAAGTGTCATATAGAGGCCTCTAAAGAAGTACCAGACCTGAAGCTGGCTCACTGGACCCCATCATCTCCTCAGGGAAAGGCCAAGAAAAGTCTAGACTCACAGCTGACAACATCGCTGAATCAGAAGGTTATCGGCTGCAACCTGTCATCTCTGCGGGATCCCAAGGTCTGAAGGACTCTCTCCTTTAGGGAATAAAGTTTTTGTCTATCCAGGACTTAAACCTCCCCTTCTACCACAAATCTAACAAACAAAACCCAGATCCTGACCCGAGCCACCTCAGGCTCAGATTTAGAGCTCCTGTGAGGATTTTTTGAGGTTTATAAAATAGATTACCTGTTAGACTGTTAGAAAAAATCTGATCAAATTAAAGGACATAAAAACAGCAGAGAGGTTATTCTGGGAGACTGTATTAGCTTAGAAAACCTGCACTGTCCCTTTAAGACCCCGACATATGAATATATTTAAATCATGATATCTTTATCAATTGTTGTGAACAAAAAGAGAAGAAGAAGACAGACCCAAATCTTTCTTTTGTATCTTGGTGTTAAACTGTGTGATTGAACTGTCTAGTTGGGTTTTGTAATATGGAGCCAAATGGGGATTGACTCATTTTGGGACCAGCCCCCGGTGGACAAAAGTGGTACTGCAGTTTTTTTCCCCCTTATTTTTCCACTGGAGGCTCCTATCTAAAATAAATCCACCACTCTGCACACATGTGAGTTGAATATGTGTTTTTATTCCTGATAATGAAACCGCTACAGCAGAAGGTAAAGATTCAGTTACAGCTCCGATAACAGCGAGAGGTCGACTGATTTACAAGTTAAAACTACTTTTCAAACTACAGCTCTGCAGATAAATACTGTCTCTTATTAGCCGACAGATACGAGTGCATTAAACTAATTCTTTCAGTCAAAAACGAGGGAAAAGTTTAAGGGACTACTCGATATTTCTGGGATAACTCATCCAGAAGATTATAAAGATTTTAATCATTAGCAATAAAAACAGAAATCAGTTTTCAGCACGACTCCTTCATTCTACGTGTTCTTCATGTTTTAAGCAAAGTATCAAACACATCAGCGACTGAAGACTTTCTCATTTTCTCAACACCGCACTCTGAGAGAATCAGTCCACGTCTTCATTTCTGGGGAGTAAACTTCTCCACCGACCTTCAGCGCTCACCAGTTTAGGAAAACATGCAAGAGTTTACACGACGACATCTAAAAGGTCAATAAATATTTGTGTCACCTCCAAATTCATCAGTCGACCTCTGGGAGGACATGCGTCGAACATTTGGTATGATGTTGGAAAGTTTTACAGCAAACATTTTAACTCTTGATTGTGGAACACCTTCATGAAGGTCTTCACAGGTCCACAAAAAGTTCTGATTTGACCCAGAAGGTCCAAGCGGTCCTGTTCTTAAACGTGTTCCATGACCTCTAGATGGAGCTACAACAGAGACGCGGCTACATCCTCAAACTCCGGCTGGTATTTTTGGTTCGGGTAAAGAAGAAGAAGAGGAGAAAGCTGATTGGTTGGTGTTTTTGTGGAGCACCATGAGCTGCTACTGGTTCACTCCGCTGTGGTTTAGAGTCCAGCTCCAGGACAGCAGAACTGAAGAACAAACAGCATGTGTGGTCTGACAGTCCACTTTGTAGTCCGGCTCATCTTCAGGGTCAGTTTTCATCATGTTGTTGTTTTTCACATCACGAGTGCTGGACGATGAGAAAATCTCTACAACGCCATCCTGAGGTTTGAAGGAGTCAAAGCAACTCCACCTCAGACTAAATGAGAAGAAACTACAGCTGATGGTGCTACATGCTGATTGTGTTTGTTTATATATGTAAAAAAAATCACCCTGCTAAGTGTTGAGCAGAGAAAATCATCAACAACATCAGGCTACAACAGGCTGAGAGCTGCAGCTGTGGAGGGGATTCAGAGATCAGGAGAGTCAACTGTGAAGATTCAACTTTAGAGAGAGTAGGACCTTCAAACTTCACTCCAGTTTATATCCAAGAAAGAGATCATCCATTTTTACTGAACGACTGAAATGTTTCTTTACCTGCTGTATATATTTTGTTACTGTTTTTGAGTTAAACAAGAGACTTCAATTACAGAGCGCAGCTGCTAAAACGGAGGATTAGGGCCACGACATGGAATTAGAGATTTTACAAAAAAAGAAATAAAGTCATTAAAAAAGTCAGAAATACAGAAGAGATCGACCCTCCAGGTACTCTGCCTTAATGTCTGGAAATTTAAAGGATAAAACTGAATGACGATAAAACCCCGAACATGATGATCAAACATCTATATGATAAATTTGTACGTTTAAGTCTGCCGCCGTCAAACTGTACTAACAACCTGTCCTGTGACTGGAGGTCTAATAAACGGACATTAAAAACCTTTTTGTGTATTTTAAGTGAGTTCCAGTTGCTCATCTCTTTTAAAAAGTATTTCTTAAACAACATCACATTATATTTCCTACAGACATATGAAGGAAATATACTTAATGTGTGGTAAGAGTCACATAAAGAGTCCTCCAGATGAGACTGTTTTTTCTGTTTCCCTCCAGTCAACTTTTAGGTGACGTTTGACGGCTCTTATATACGAGTTTAAAAAAGGACTAAAAACTCACACAGAGGTATCAGGATTGTTTGTCCTCAGCTGTTGGTTTCATTTCCAGATAATCTACACTTCTATTTTTCCTGATACCTCCGTATATTTCATCTTATCACCACTTCTTTCCTACAAAACTAAAACTTTTTATCTTTTTCATCATACAGATTTTATTCTTTCAAATCCTCACCATAATATTACAACTTCACCCTGAAAAATCCACATTTTTCTCCCTCTGCGTGGCCCTAATCCTCCGTCTGTATTTGTCGACTTGATCTTAAAAATTTCAGACTTTTCAGCAGATGTTTGTGGTCTTCAAGAAAAGTCAAAGACACGATAGGATTAAAATTTCGACTCGAGGGTGCTGCTTTAAGCTGAACACGTCTGCGCCGACTTCTCTCCATATGTTCAGAAATCTGTTTTTTCCGTTGTTTTGCCGCGTTCAGACTTATTTCATGATCAGATAGTTTTAGTGTTTTTTCCTCCTGTGACTCTTTCATCATCCGTCGAAGGTTCGAGATGATATTTAGAAGTTTTTACAGCACATGATGAACAGATTTCACAGCGTCACGTCAGACTGAAGGAAAGTTTGACGTCATGGCTACAACTCCAGCTCATCCTGAAGACGGAACATCTTCACGGTTTGTCAGTGATTCACTTTGATACGAGTTCATGTTGAAATGAGTTGATTTGCATAAAGAAGAAGAAGAAGAAGAAGAAGAAGAAGAAGAAATGGAAGATTGAAAAGACTTTGAGTCAAACTAAAACATCTACGATTTTCTCTTTTTTTCAATCGCTGTTAATCTAAACTAAAAAAAAAGAAATCAGCTGTTCAGAGGCTCAAAGATCTGTAACAGAAACCTGAAGAGGGTCAAAGAAACGGGTCTCAGCGTTAGAGAGGACTTCAGACCCCCAATGATCCGCCATCCTCAAACGTGTAACAGGTAACTTTAAATTCACGGCGTTTTGAAACTAGCTAAAGTGCGAATAAGATTTGACGTGTGTGTCGTGCCGCTACATCACTCTTACTGTCAGTGAGGGTCTGGTTTGGGGGTCAGGTTTGGGGGTCCGGTTTGGGGGTCCAGTTTGGGGGTCTTTTTTAGGTCCGCAGACTTTTGTTCCTGATCTCGTTTGTGTAACAGCCAATGAGATGAGTTTTAGACGATGGCAGTAACAGCAGCGACGTAGACAGCAGAGTTTAAAAGACGACTCCAGTGTTACGAGGGGGGAAAAAAGGGGGCGGGGCTTGTGTTCATATTGCACAGGGGTTGGTGAGATCCTCGAACACGGTGGGTTCTTCGATCCCTCGCGCGAACAGCTTGATCAGCTGGCAGTGCACTCTGAAACCAGGAGAAAGAGCGAGGTTTAGACGAGGTTTGAGAAAAGTGAAACCAGAGCGAGACGCTCAGAAGGTCGCGGTACCTGACGTCTATGGCCGTGTGGGTCAGGATCTCGCCATCGCAGTTCCAGCTGCTGTAGGCGGGGGTGCAGCCACAAGCCGGGTGGTCTCTGCATATCTGACTGAAGATCTGGCGTTTGCCGTTCTCCCGCAGATCCAGCTCCAGGTCCGAGTCGCTCTGGCAGTGACGCGGCGTGAAGCGGAAACGACGAACCCGGTGGACCTCCACGAAGGTCAGGTCAAACTAGAACGACAGAGAGGGCGTCAGTCTACCTGGAGTCTGGATCAAAACCTGAAGACGGGCTCGGACCTACAACTGTGACTCAGTACCTGGTCGTCTTTGCTGGTGTGTCTGAGGAGGTGTCTGAGGAAGTCAAAGCGGGAACATTTTCGCACCAGGATGAGGTCGGTGGTGCCGTCGGCCAGGTGAGCAGCAGGTGAGAGACCTTTGGGGCTGCGAGGACAAGCGCAGCTCATACTGGCGGCGTTTATCGCCAAGAACTTCCCTCGGATGGTCCTCCACTCGCCGTCGCTCTCTGCGAACGAAACCACAAAGTTCAGACTTGGAGTTCAGTTGGCGTCGCGGCAAAATTAAATCCTAAAATCCTCCTGAATCTTCTGAAATCTGTTTGAGGAGAAGTTCCTGAAGAGCTCAGCGGGAATTTTATTATTTTAAACCTGGAATTAAAAAAATCTGCAAAAGAAGATGACAGGACACGACTCAAAGGAGGTGAAGATATTTCTTAAACTTTAAAGGAGTATTACGCTAAATTATCCTGTGGCGTTCCCCAGGGCTCCTGTCTTAGCCCACTCAATTTCTAAAAATGACGAATGAATAATGTTTTAATCGACGACAAACACCTACATGGAATAAAAAGAGCGTGAAAAGGTGGATTTGGGATCACTGCACTTGAGTTTGACAGTTCGTTGGACTTACCGCTGTCTGAAGCTTCGTCCATCTCGTATCTCTCGGCTCTCTCCGACAGCAGCTGTCCGTTGTGTTGACAAACAGCACAGCTGCAGAGCGACAGACAGATGTCGTTATTTTAAACCACATCACGTTAAACTTTCGCCTTTTTTTAAGACGTTGAATTTTAATCAAACTTCGACAAACTGCGAGGACATTTTCACACATCTTGGAAATCTCTCTCACCCGGATCGGCACCTGACAGCATCCCGTGGGGTTCCCATGATGCCTCTGGCTGGTAGGTAGGACACGGCTCCTTCATAGTAGTGATGAGTCAGGAACATCTTCAGACCTGCAGGAGTCACAGAGTCCACATGAAACCAGCTCCAGTATTAAAGTAGTAGATCGTTTTTTTATAACTTTGTCTGTCAGGTGATTTAAAAACAGATCACAGACATGGTTCTGTCGGACCCTTAAAATAAACTTCAGATTCTTATTTTGGTCCAAATCCTGACAGCAGTTTTATTTTTAGAGTTCCTGGTTTTTTTTTTTTTTTTTTTTTTTTGTAATTAACATTTTTTTATTGTATTAATATGGCACTCAGGAAACCATATACATTCATAGTAGGCATACAACACATTTAACCCCCCCTCCACCCCCCACCCATAAACAAACAAAACAAAACAAAACAAAACAAAAAGTCACCCAACTTTACAAATGATTCTTGGCTGTACATAAATGTAGTTCTCATATCACAGTAGCTAGGTATGCACAATGAGATAAAATGAAACAAGAACAAACAATAGAATAATAGGATATTAAAAATAAATTAAAAAATAAATAAATAAAAGAATGCATCTCTCTACTCATACATCTGATGTTTTGTCCTCCAAGAAAGATAGGTATTTCCCCCATTTTTTATAATAAACCTCAAGTCTACCAAATGACTTCCATGACAACCTTTCCAAGGCTGCCACTTTAGCCAACTGAGCAGACCACTCCTGTGTTGAGGGCACCCCCTCAGTCTTCCATTCCCTGAGTAATATCTGTCTTCCTGTCATAATGCTAGTTTGGATCCAGCTTTTAATGTGCTTACTCCCCTCTGTTAGGACAGAGTCATCTCCCAAAACAAAAAGTCTGGGGCAGAATTGTATTGGAATCTCTGCTATCTCACTAATAAAGCTGTGAAAGAGTTCCTGGTTTTAAAAAAGGAGCTGCTTTCCTTCTCAGAGTAAACTGTTTGACCTTGACTCACCTGAGAGGTCGTATCTGGCCGGTCCCATCCACCTCTTCCTCTCACTGTCAGTTAGCACGTCGCCGTAGAAACCGTATCCCAGCAGGGAGACCGAGTACCGCAGGAAGGTGTTGTTGTGGTGAACGGAGCAGACGTCCATCGGCTGAGAGTCTCCTGAACACATCGACACATGAGATCAGTGAAGTCTGGAGCTGAAACCACTTCATGTTGGACTCAAATGTGGACCTGACACCTGAAGTCAAACCCCTCAACGTATTTCAGAATTTACAACAGGGTTTCTGCAGATTTCAACAACTCAAATTTAAGACTTTTTAAGACTTTTTTAAGACCATAATGAAAACAATTTAAGATCCATTTTACATCCATACTGGCAAAAAAATACAAAAGACATGATGGGAAATCTGAACATTTTAAACTAACTCCAAATCAATCTTCATTTATAAGTAACATTTATACATTTTAAGGCCTTTCCGATGTCTATGTAAGATATTTTATGAGGTTTTAATAGAATTTTAGACATTTTAAGACTTTTTAAGATGCAGCAGAAACCCTGGTAAAAAATAAAACTGAAAGACAACTCAGATAATCTCAGACAGGTGGCTCGATTAATTCATGATGATACGACACTAGATGGCAGCACAACACCTGTGCTCCGAAATACCTGTCTGGTTTAATAATGTGATTTTAATCTGAACACTGTAATCCGAGGCTTTCTAGATGAGTCTACGGTGAACAGCGGCCGACATGAAGCTAAATTTGTCTTTTCAAGAACACCAAGAAAAACCTGTTGAGAGGAGGAGGACCTCTATAAAAAGCCTTGGTCATGATCACGTATAAAGGAGTAAAGGTCTGATTATTCCTGTCAGTCACGGTAAGATTATTATTCCCTGATTCTGTCCGACCCCGGGTCAAACTCTCTATCTGGACCTCCATCTTTTACCTCACCTGCACAGCTGAGGGACAGAGCTGTGTTTATATTTACCTCAAAACCCACCCAAGTTATCCACATGGTCAAGAGACGTGATGAATTTTATTCAACTAGAGAAGATAAAATATTCATTTAGAGGGACTAAGAATAAATTTCATTTAATATGAAACCCAATTCTAACACATGAAGGTGGACTGAGTGTCCTACCTGTCAACATTTAGTTTACTCCTCTTGTTAGGAGTATCTGTCCTTTATATAATAATAATAATAATAATAATAATAATAATAATTTCAGTCTCCATCTCAGGATCTTACCTTTACACCTGTTTCTTCTCCTTAATATCAGAACCATTTCCAAAACATTTTGTGCAATATTTTATTTATTTATTAATTATTACTTTCTTTCTCTTTCCTTTGCCCTCACGTTGATCGTATTATCTTGTTCTAATCTGTTCATAAATCGTCTACAGTATGACCTGTCCTTTTTTATTTTTGTTTGTTTTGTTTTTTCCTCCTTGTATTCCACCATTTTAAAAATCCTTTTGTTTGTTTGTGTCTTGTGTTATAACTGCGCTCTTTAATATCTATTTTTATTTGGCACACTTTACAGGTAAACTGCAAATGTAGTTACATATATTAATAGTTCAATAGTGGGTAGAGCATATCCTCAACTGAAAACGCTTTGTTATTTGAATTTATGTCAACACTTATATATGGGGTCATGTGTCCTATGTTCTGTGCTTGTATATTTCCAAATATACAAGCACAGGGCGCCACAGTAACAGATGATCGATGTGGAGCGCCAAGTTTAAACTACAGTATAATGAACGTCATACTACAAAAATTTCACCATCTGATCGACTAAAAGGCTTCAAGATATCATCTTATCACTCCTCAGCATCTACATGTGAATCTCATACTACACACAGCGCCCTCTGGTGGTGGAGATGTGTCATTTCTCTCTTCTTTTCATCCACATTTGAAACTGAAACTCTTCATGTTTTTATCTGATGATGTGACTGACCCATGATGATGTGCAGCGCGGAGGTCACGGGGTCGTTGGTGCCCACGGTGGCGAAGCAGATGCAATCCGTCGAACCTGAAAGACGAAGAGAGGAAACCGCCTCAAACACACGTAACTCAGAGAGTGGGCTGCAGAGAATATTAATGAGTCTGTGGAAGCGTAGGAGAGAGTGAGTGAGCGTCAGAGCGAGGATGTTTCTGTGTTTGATTTATTTAAAGGTTTTTATTTTTAGAGAAGTAAAAAAAGGAGAAACCAGACCGCAGTGAAAACATGAAGTTCAACTCAAACCATCAGGATGTTGAAGCTCTGACGCTCCAGGACCTACAGCTGACTCAAAATACTCGAAAAACATCATCTGAACGTGAAACTGAGGAGTCTCTCTCTCTCTCTCTCTCTCTCTCTCTCTCTCTCTCTCTCTCTCTCTCTCTCTCTCTCTCTCTCCCTCTCTCTCCCTCTCTCTCCCTCTCTCTCTCTCTCTCTCACCTGCGGGGATGATCCCGATGCGGAGCGAGCAGGGAGCGAGCGTTTCCTCCGGACAGTTTGGATCAACGCCCCCGTCGATCTGAATCCTCCAGATCAGCCCGTGGATGATCTCACTGAACATGCCGTCTCCTCCGACGCACACCACCCTGAAACCGGAGGAGAGGTCAGAGGTCAAACCTGATTGATTGGTGTATAAAAAAACTCTTAAACGAAACGCTCACCCGTCAAACTTCTTCAGCTCCGCCTCCGTCCTCAGGTGATCCCTCGCATTGTTGGCGAACTGCGTCACTGCGGCGTCAAACACAGAGAAACAAAGCGTTTCAAACAGACGTCCGCTGATACAGAAAGACGAGCAGTGAGGGGTTATCATGTGACGTACCGATGACGTCTGTGGAGACGCCGGCCTGAGCGAAGAGCGGCGCCACCTTCTGCTCGTAGATGTGTTTGCCCTGTTTCTTCCCGCTGTAGGGGTTGATGTAGACCAGCAGGTGTTTGGGTCTGCTGGCTGTGGACCGGAACGTTGAAACAGAAGGTTAAAATAGAAATACTCTGAAGGTTTTCATTTTTACATCAGCTCCACCTGCGAGCTTTGAGCTTCAGGGTGGAGATGAGTTTGAGTCGGAGTGTGTCGATGTGAACTCTTACTGATGGCGCTGAGCTGCTCTCTGATGCTGCTGACCCAGCGTTGACACAGCGCCTCCTCTGGACAGATGAAGGTGACCTCGGCACACCGCCAGCGGTGCTGCCGACCCCTCTCCACGTACATCACTGAAACCAGACAGACGCAAATCAACAAAACGACCGTTTTCAGGTGTGCTTCTCGATTTTAAACAGAAATTTTGCAGGTAAATTGTCTTTTTTCTTGTTGACGCGTGGACTATGTTTTTGGATTTGCTCGCACAGCTGCGTTTCCTCGCCGTGCTCGGCGGCGTGCTCACCTGTGAAGGCCAGCCTGCAGTCCTTCCCCTCTCTCTCTTTAATCTTCTTCCAGCTGCCATCGTCTTTTCTTCGTCTGCTGCTGGTCTCCTCCTCTTCCTCACGGACAGAGATGATCTCTGACACGGACACGCTGTGACACACACCTGACAACACACACACACACACACACACACACACACACACACACACACACACACACACACACACACACACACACACACACACACACACACAGTTTGTCAGTGTACCGCACAGATCAGCTACGTCTAATATTCCCGAGCCTATCTACAGCACCTGAAATAGGGCTGGGCGATATGTCCTCAAATCAATATCCTGATATATTGATCAGTTCACCTCGGTAACGATAAATGGACGATAACTACTCCACAAGCTGCTCACCCCCTCCCACCTTAACTTCGTCCACTTCAGCCGCTACAACTTCTGAACCGTCCTCCATCTCCTCACCTGTCTTTCCCTCGTCATGTTTTTCACGTGTTATTTAGAGACACGAAGGAAAAGATCTACAAAATAAAACAGGGCTCGACAGTGTGACCGTTTCACTCGCATTTGCAACTAAAAACAGATGTGTGCGAATTGTAAAATGTATTTAGGGGCACATGTGCACATAAAAAAAATCTGACGACCGGTGTTAAATAAGGGACCGTCAATAAATTACCGGTTGATGTTCTTAGAAAAGGCTGTTTTCCTTCAATAGCTTCCATGTCATGTGACCAACTGACCTAAAATTGATTTCAAATAATAGCACCTATGTCAACCAATAAGACGAACATTATTTGATCAATTTTCATTGTGCCTCTAAAGTTCTTTGTGTGCTCCTTACTTTTTCAACTTAGGAGAACATGTGAGTGAAAAAAAGTTTGTGTCAAGCCCTGCAAAATGACGTCGGTTATTGTCATAAATTTCAGTATCTGTAAATTTTCGGTTTATCGCCCAGCCCTGACCTGAAAGCACCTTCAGAACGCTGGTTAACTTTAAATTCCAGGACTGAATCTTCATGTTTTTTTGTTATTCAGAGACATGACGGAAAAGATCTACACAATAAAAGGAAGGAAATCTTTTATGTGGCCGATGTTTGACAAACTTTGATGTTGTGCCTGATATTCTGAAAATCAGATAGCTGTCTCCTACAGGAAGAAGTGGTCTATTTTAATCCAAACAAACAGGAAGTAGTACAAAGGTCTTCAGAGGAGGTGCTAACAGCTACTTTAAAAATCTGACACTAGAGATCCCAAAGACACACTGATGTTAGTTTGATTGTTGTTCAAACGTCAGTATCGGCTCTAATCTCCAGAGAAGATCGATGAGGTCGGTCCTGTACATGGATGAGGGTCACAGGAGAGACAGAGGCTCAGTGTTTCCGACTGATGTGATCCTCAAGCAGCTCATCATGTTTAAAAATAAAGACAGAGAGGCGTTCAAAGACCCGAGTGAGAGACACTGATCCATTTGTGTGATTCTCACTGTGAACAGAGACTCCAGTATGAAGCTCATTTCACACAGATAAACCGTTTAAGTGCAGAGAAACGTCAGGCTGAGAGTTTCCGTCACGTCTCTCTGTCTCTGTCTGTATCACAGCCTTTAAATAGTGATGTTTTTATAGACTCAGCAGCATGAAGAGGCCGTGTGTTTGCTGACAAAGACGATAGACGTGTTAACACCAGCAGTAAACAGACGTATGACAGTCCTTTCCACCCTGCAAGTTAAAGGGATATTCCGCATTTTTGAAGAGCGGTTGCATAACTTAAACGTCATTCCAAGTAGATATGAGCCAGAATAGATGATGAGCTCCTTCACTGAGAAACAGGACGCTGACTCACACACTTACTACCGACACGTAACTCATACAACTTCACTTCAAAAATGCTGAAATATCCCTTTAAGTGCTGTCCCACTCAGCTGGAGCTGGCCGAGTATTTGTGTAAGGCGCCATCTTTTAGCTCTCGTGTTTCCTTAAAGGGATATTCTGGTGTAAAATTAAGTTAGGGTCAAACACACCGTAACCCCGAGTTAGACGCCCCGAAGATAGCAATACAGAGAGTCACGCGCTCAACCAAAACGCCACAAATAATGCTCAGAACAGCACCTAACTTCATCAACAGGACATACAGGGTCACAGCCATAGTACTAGACACCAAACATCTTTTTAACTTTACCTGAAAGAGACTAAACACAACTCACCTACTCTCTTCCAGCAGCCGCTTGTTTGTACAGACTACAGCGGGGTGACGCAGCTCAAGGAAGAACATTTATGATAATTTCTTTATCATTTCCTGGAAGTTATAATCACCATATTAATCATTTTACTCTGCAGACGCTGTAGTTCTTCTGCCTTAGCGTCTCAGTCTGATTGCATTTCCATGAAGAAATGATCATAAATGTTCTTCCTTGAGCTGCGAAACTCCGTTGTAGTCCGTAATGGATTGGCCTGAGGTCTCGCTACAAACAAGTGTCTGCTGTAAGAGAGTAGGTGAGTTGTGTTTAGTCTCTTTCAATGTCTGTGACACTAAATGTCCTGTTGATGAAGTTAGGTGCTGTTCTCAGCATTATTTGTGGCTATAGAGTGGCGTTTTGGTTGAGCGGTTCTCTGTATTTCTATCCTGCGGTCGTTACTAAAGTTGGTATAACTAGAGAAGCAAGCGGTCGGCAACATTCATCTCTCAGTTAGGGGGTGTCTAACTCGGTGTTACGGTGTGTTTGACCCTAAATCAATTTTATGCCGGAATATCCCTTTAAGTGCTGTCCTACTCAGCTGGAATTAGTGGTAGAAAAAGAGACGTTACAGAGGAGGAAATAGCAGAGTGTGTGTGTGTGTGTGTGTGTGTGTGTGTGTGTGTGTGTGTGTGTGTGTGTGTGTGTGTGTGTGTGTGTTTAGTGCTCTATCTTTTACCTCCCACGTTTCCTCAACACTGTAAAAATCACACACCAGTGCTCACTCATAAGTATTAAAGTGTATATGATCAAGTGTCGTCTCCTTGTTGTTGCAGACTCACAAAAGCTTCTGATCAAACCGGATTTCTCTACAGCAGCTTCAGCAGATTAGTCTGAAATCTCGAGTCTAAACTAAAGCAGATGAGCAGACTCACTAAAACTAGTTTCAGCCGCACTACACATCCTTAAGTGACCCAGCAGCAGCAGCGACGATGACGGGGAGGAAGAGGGCAGCAGCAGCATGTTTCTACTGGATTTGATGTTGATGGAAACCAGCACCAAAACCGACTCCAACTCCATCTCTGAGGTTTCTTACAAAATGTGACTTTCATCCACATTCAAAAATTACAGTTAAAGTTGATTTAAGAGTGATGTGAGTGACCAGAGTCCAGATTTTAGAGAGGAAGTTTAATTCTCTGGATCATCATTTTGGAGGAAAACCTCAGGATCAGTTTGGGATCACACAAACAGAGTCTAAAGCTCGGACATCAAACACAGAAACATGTTCTAACAGCAGCACTAAAACCACTAAACCTGCAGCCTGCGGGCGGAGGAGGCCCACTGCATCATGGGAGCTCACATCTCCTACCTGAGTCTTGTTGACGGGGAAAAGAAGGAAGACAAAACCCTGCAGGAGAACCACAAGGTTACCAAACACGGCCCAGAGAGTCACCGTCAGGAAATCTGAGCTTCGGTTTGAGGGTGTTTGGACTAACTCAGCCAGGATATTTGTTTCACCTTCATCAGAGGATCTTTGAGGAATCACTCAGAGTTAGAAACTTTTATAATAATGCAAAGAAAACAGCATCACACTGGAGAGGTGACATGATTTAAAACAGCAGAAGTCTGATAGAAAAATGTTCTTCAATCAGCAACTCGAAGCCTCTCTGAGCAGCAGGTCAGACATAAAAGATTCACACCTGAAACACAAACCCAAACACACACGCAGCTGTCTGACTCAGGGTTACACACCCCGCAGGTGTTTCTGTTGTCCCCATGACGACAGGTACACAGAGCGCTGCGGATGGCGAACAGCTGGTCTGTGATCAGCTGTAGCTCTGAGTCACTCCAGGAGTTCTTGGAGCTGGAAATCAATCAACTACAACTCCCAAAGTGCAATTCAGTCAGAGTGATCGCCCTGTGGAGATCAAGATCAGCTGAGGTGAGGCCTGCAGTCAAGAGAGCAGGGCACAGTGAAGCCTGCAGTCAGACATCAGGGCACAGTGAACCCTGCAGCAGCCTCTGTCTGATCTGAATCTTCTGCTCTCCTACTTTGAGTATTCAAATCTTGTCGTTGTCACATAGACCTGATCTAAACAGGAAGTGTTCAGAACAGATATATTTTAAGATTTCTATGGTACTGTTCGTCAGCAACAGAAAGTAAATTCATCTTCTTACTTTCAAACTTGTCAGATTCAGCTGAATTACAGTGATGTTTTTTAACCGGAGCTCATGTTTTAGTCTAAATGTTTAGAAGGTCCAAAGATCCAGAAATAGCTCAGTACACTGCTTCAGCTCGCTGCAGTAAGAGAGGCTGAAATGGTCACGGCTTAACGCCTGAAGGCAAATACATTCAAGTGAGTGTTTGTCTTTGTCACTGACACGCTCAGATTGTTTTTCTAAGTGTTTCACAGACTGAGTTGATACGAGACATGAGCGTCTGGTTAATGGAAGACCCGGAAAAACCCTTACGGAGCTGTTTCTCACTCCAAAGGTAGGGCTGAGCGATATGGGGAAAAGTTTATCACAGTATTTTCTTTTCATATCAGTCGATATCGATATATATCATGATATAAAAATGAACTTTAGCAGTGCTTATTGGGAGCATGTCTTTTGCAATACAACAAGCTACTGCATCTGTGAGGTCTTTGTGTCTCTTCAACGTTTTATCGTTGCGCTGTTAAAGTGCTGTGGTTGCGTGTAGATGCAGCCTGCTACTGCGCAGTTGTTTGCTACTTAAGGCTAATTCACCACATGATTGGTTCAGCGCGAAGTGGACCCGGAGAAACTCCCCTTTTCATTGGCTATTCGTTAAGGGTGGGAGAATAAAATTGATTCACATAAGTATCACGATTTTTTTTTTTGTTTTACAATTTTGAAATCGATTTTTAAGTTGAAAAACCTTTTTTTTTTTTTTTTCAAATTTAAGAATTAATCTTAAAAACTGACTTACATGTGATGTGTATTTTGGGAGGAAATGTGTTTCCTGGAATAGTCAGTAGACATTCAGAATCATTCAACTGTTTCACTGGTGTTAAAAATGCAGACTGAAAATCGAGGAAATCTGCAATATCATAGAATCGCAATTTAAGTCGAATTGGCATCCAAAAAAATTGTAGAAGAATTGAATCGGGAAAAAAGCATATTGTCTCAGCTCTACTATTTGTATAGTCAACCAAAACATGGCAGAATGCCGATAACTGAAAAGCATATCAACCATGTTTTATATTTATATCGAGGGAAATTAATTTCCAATATCGTTATCTTTTATCGCCCAACCCTATCCAAAGGGGAACCAAACAGAAGAACATTTCAGACTCATGGTGTCCAGTTTTCTCCCTGCCTGTTATTACTTTGGATAATAAGCATGTCCACATGACATACAGAAGGACCTTTACATGTTGTTGGTATTGGAGGGGCATCCAAATCTCACTATTTTTACATCTTATCTACTAGAAGAGTTTCTTGAAGGCATCATGTATTCAGTATATCCACTGAAAGTTTGTCCTATTGGCACTTTTTTAAACATTGTATCTACTGGTAGGGCATCCGGGGCACCATTTCAACATAGGATCCACCTCAAAGGGCATCAGAAGGGCTTTTTTTAAATATGTATCCACTGAAAGGGTGGCCTGACATCAAAAGAGCACTGTTTTTATGTCATATGGACTGGGAGGGCATCCAGAGAGCACTATTTTTACATGCATTTAACAGATGGCTGTATGGAGGGTACTGGTATCATTTCAACTGGAAGGGCATCCAGGGGGCACTTTATCTTTACATGTGATATATAGGAGGGACAGCTAGAGCGCAGTTATTTTGCACCGAAGCCAAAGCAAAGCACTACACTAATACGTGAATGGTTGACCACAGCTTTTCAACACCAGAGTCACAACACCGTAAAAAAGACCAACAGGAACAGACAGAAGTAAACAATATTCACTCCCATATTCAAACAGGTAAAATCACAGTTATTATAAATGGAGTTTGGTGGCACCAAGGAGGCTGAAGTAACATGTCACCGGTTAAAAAAGCCTATTTAATATTAACAGACAGGTCTGTGAGGTGTCATTAATAACTACACTTGGTAACTTTCCACTTCTGTGCAGTCAGCATCTTATGGACTAATCAGTAACTTCCTAATTGACGTTCACATCTCAGCTACAGAAAAGGTTAAGACAGGTTATGTGATATCATTATCTACCTGACATACACCTAAATCTTCTGAGTTTGCTAAAATAAGTGATGTTAACGTGTTTTTTTCCCACTCTGGTTCTCTGTTTCAATGTGTTTCTTAAATTATATAAAAATTGAATGGGGTTTGGTGTGTTCCTCAGTGTGACCTCCACATATTGTGTGTCAGGCTGGATGATGTATTACGTAACCAGACATATCATGTCTCCCTCGTAAATACTGTTATCGTGTTCTGGTTCGGATATCATTATTTTATCAACAGGTCCACAGTCTACGGTCCACTCACGGTCCCCGAGTCCAACACGTCCTCTGTGTTTATCTCATGGTGTTTTAAGGCCGACAGACACACAGACTGAGACAAACGGGTCTTTTAATACAAACAGGAAAAAGAGTAGAAATACTGAAAAAGTCTTACTGGGTCTGAAAGGGTGGTAAACCGGGCTGGATACCCGTCTCTTCCAGGTGAGCAGTGACCGACCCAGGCTCACGTCGTACGCCGCGTTTCGAACGCGGAGCTCGGAGACCAACAGCAGTCTGCTCGGCCTCTCCATCTCCTTTTTATCCGTCCTGCTCCGTCCTTCAGCCGGCTGAAGAGGCAGTAGCAGCCCCGGGGAAGGTTACCTCAAACCGGGCATGTTTTCTGTACGTAGCCGGAGAGGCTCCAAACCGCAAAAAACCAATGTGTTCCAGACGGCGAGGATGACAACAAAAGAGAGTCCGAGTAGCGGATTCAGGCTCGGGATGTTTTTTTCTGACACATAGCGGTTTCTTAACGGAAGTAGGAGGAGCCTGAGTGATGGTGCGTTTACGAGCTCACGTAAAAGTCAGACAGTTCAAATTCGTGACCTACCTTGTTTAGAATATGCAAACTTTTCATGTATAATCGGTGACTGTAATATTAGGACCAGTAGTCGTGTTGTGAAAAAACAAAAATCCGGGGGGATGGTAGAATTTATTGTTTGGGACGCATATTTTGTTCTGATGACAGTACACATAGTGGGAAACCAACTGTGTACCCATTTTATTGTTACTGAAGGTCCTTTCACACTTTCTTTTTTGTCGTGCGATTATTTCGGACGTCAATATTTTTTTTCGAATCCGTGTCCTGTCAATACAAGGGTTCACATCAGCGACGTTTTCTCGTCCTGCGAGATTGCATTTATTTTTTCGGTCAATTTTTCTAAAGTTTCACATACAGTGTGTCCACTTTTGACCAATCAGGTTGCGTGTTGTTGCGACGTCTCATTCGTAATTTCGCCTTCTATATTCGCGTTGAGACCTTTTTTCTGTAGGTTTTTGCTATTTTAACAAAGTTTTTACACAAATCAATGGAGCATTCATTTTCAGGGATTCATGACAAACAACAAGGGAATAAATTTTTCTTGCATCATGTGACCACTTTGACCCGCCATACCCTCTATTTTACACCCGGAAATCACGCGCTCTGATTCTCATTCGGATACCTGATCCGGTATGATGGCGTGAATGGACGACCGGCAGGTAAGTGGAGAGATTAATATCTGTGTGAATGTTTGTTTAAGTTAACTGATAGAGCTCATATTGTGCAATCTTGGTTACCCTATCAAACAGAAAAGGAGAAGTATCCCTGTTTAGTGGGTGAATAGGGAGGGAAATGTTTGGCGTGTATGTGGGTTTGTTTGTGTCCATGCGCAGCCCGCAGTCAGCGAGGACGCCGCTCCGTCGCACCCGCTAAACGTTAAAACTGCGGTAATATTTCTGATGTTAAAATAGTTGTAATATTTCCACATTCATTGACAAAAATGGCTCAAGGGATGGAAAGTTGGGATGACCGTTTTAGAAGGGGGATGATTTTGAACATTTGTAATGGTAATAATGCAATGGTGACAAGAATTTATAATTACTTTTTTGGAGGGACATCGTAGATAACATATTAAATTAGTTTTACGAGTCAAGTGTTTAAAAGGTCTTTCTTTGTGGGACGTTCAAAACATCCAGAATCGTTTGCCACCATTCTTGTTCAATATTCCCTTCTTCTTAATAAAAAACTTCCAAGCTTTTAAAAAGTACTTGAACGCACCATCGATCTGCTGCGTCAGTGGTGTTTTGCGTCATCACGTCCTCTGGCTGATCCTGTTAGCTGGAGGAAAAACAGCTCCTGTCTGTCTGCTGGGAGCGAGGAAGAACTTAGTGTTAAACTAATTATCTGTTTGTTGTCTGCAGTCTGAGTCACTCTGAATAAAGTCACGGGAGCATTTTTGACAGTATTTGTCATAAAAAGCCTTAAAAAAAATTATCTTATAATACAAAGTTCCGTCAAAAAGTTTATTATCCTCCAGTACAGCTGGCTTCACGGCCTATAAGTCATTCATTGTGTCATTTTCAAGCAAATAAAATAGCTAACACACTCTGTATAATGGGCTCAAATGAGTTGTCGGTGTGTCTGTATCACCTTCATATGGTGTCCTCTCTCCATGGAACAGTTTTTAATCAGTGTTTTGGGTGCAGTAACAGACTGTGTTCACAGATAATAGTTTATGGATGACATCCAAGTGACTCCCACTGCAGAGTCAGGTCTGTTTTTCATGCAGCGCTGCCAGAGGGGCTGAAGATCATCACTAATCTGTATTTGTCTTTGGCCTTGTCCCTCCTGTACAGAGTTTCCTCACGAGTCTCTGAACCTTTTGATAATTTTATTTATTATAATTGAAGAAATCCTTCAGCGCTCTCCAGTTTTACACCAAGTGCGCTCAGTGAAAATGTATTTTTTTGGCCTATCTCAATGGCCTCTCTCACACACAAAAACGACAACAAAAAAGTAAATTCTGACCAGAAGACTTTGTGACGTGGAGTCAAAACCAGCAGGCAGGTTTAAAGGGACCTTGAGTGGTTTTTTTGTTTGTTTGGTCAGCTGTTCTGAATCGCCATCTCTTTTTCTTCTCTGTTTTTGAGAGTGTTTGTGTTTCCTGTCATGAGGTCAAAGTGTTGAACGCAGCTGTTCTGCAGAGGTCAATGTCTCCAGTCAAGTCAAGTTTTTTTGTTTCTATGGAAACACGAGTATGAAGACAATTATTAGATATTAGATAAAGACTTTCCAATTCTGCTGATGATGACCATCGTCTGTCTTTTTTAAGACAGAGGTTCTCAACTGGTGGGTCCGAACCCAAAAGTGGGACACGTTCTGGATGGGTTGCAAACAGCTGATGTTTGACATGTCTTTTATTTTGAAAAATAGGTTATTTTGTGCAATTTGGTATTTGATATTTTCTGTATATGCAGCTTTAATAATTGTTGTCCCTTGATGGACACCACAAACAAGCGGGCTGGTTCAAAGTGCTGCAGAACCAGGAGAAGACAGCAAAACCTCCCCTGTATTAGCTTCTGTACACTGGTTTCCTATTAAATTTAGGGCAGAATTGATCATTCTTCTGACCTCCACCACCTTCATGTCTAAAAGAGTTCTTCCTGTGGCCAAAACAAAGGAAATGGACACCTTCAAAATAAAAGTAGACATTAAAACAGCAGCAAAATAAATGACATTGAAAAATAACTTACTTGCAGCAGACAGTTCTGGATACTGCTCTATAAATTCAGTCATACTTGCAGTAATTTATTATAGAACTTATTCCTGTTTATTGCATTTATTCCTGTTTTATAGATGAAAACAAAGTGAAGTGTGACTGAATCAAATCAAATTCTTTGGGCTGATCTTTTTTGGCTTTTAATTGCAGCTAGTTTTGAAGATATTTTCATGTTTTTCAGACATTCTCCAGGTTACATGCTGCTTCTTTTTTTGTTGTTCCTGTAGTTCCTCCCGTTGGACAGCAGAGGACGCTGTTGATACATACACCGCTCTGGCTGTGAAGTTTCTGTAAAGACCGTCCTGTTTCAGATGTCAGTCAGGTAATAAATTCTCACTGTTTGTTGGTATGTTGAGTTAAACTTGACTGTGCAAACCCTAAAACAGTTTTCCCACAAGAAGCAATAAAAACATTTTTGTAAACACTTTTTAAATGGAAAATCTAATTTTACTGGATGTTTCCCTTTAATTGGAAGTCTGATCAGTCTGTTAGTTTTCACTAGTGTGATATTTAATATTTTGCACATGGTAAGTGGATGTGAAACGAAAACAAGCTTCATTAACCTGAGAGGACAAGACAAAGAAGTCAGTCAGGGGAAGCAGCAGTAAAAAAATAAAACAGGAGAGCGTGTTGTGATCGTGATGACACAAGGACCGCCACAGTTGAAGTCCATGAACCATCTGAGAACAGCTTCTTCAGCAATGACCTTTTCAGTCTCACCCTCCTTGTGCAGGGTGTCACTTTTTGTGCTGAGTTACTGAAATAAATCAACTCTTTGAGATATTCTGATTCACTGAGACACACCTGTATATAGAAAACAGATGAGGAGGCCTTAGCCCCGCCCCTTTTTTGATGCACGATGACAGCCCCTCCAGCTGCGCCCGCTCAGGTGATCGAAAATGAACGATAGGTGAGGCGGCGGAGCAGCTGTCCCACGGAGGATCTGGTAACAGCTCGGGTTCGGTGTCAGAGCAGAGAGTAAATCACGTAGTTTAGAGGGATTCACTGACACACCCACCGCCATACCACACATGTGTGCATGCACACACATTAACACATGCACTCAAACACACATGCAGTCTACAAACACCAGCATTAATAAGCATATATAAGTATAAACCATATTCCAATATTCAGTCTGTTTTTATGTTATTAACCTCAGGTGGAGAGCTCTCAGCACAGAGTGACGCTTTATTTTATTATTCAGTAAACATGTTACTACAACATAATAACACAAATAAAGCTGTGAACAAACACTCTTTACTCTGCGAAGGAGTATTTGGATCTGTTTTATTATAACTATTTTTCTTATGTGAATAAAGTTGTAGTCAAATCATTTTATAATCAGAATACAGACATGAATGACTTAGTCACAACTCTTAGGTCTTAGTAAAGTCATTTCCTTTCTAGAGGTAAATTTAACTATCATCATGATATGAGTACTAAGTCATAAAGAGCATATGATCATAATTGAATCACAGTCTTGCAAGAATAAAGTCTTTGCAAAATATTTTTTAAAGATCATAGATCTTGTGAATCAAGAATTAAATAGTAGCAGAGTCATAATTGAGAATTAAGTTGCAGTAAATCAAATGTAAAGGTCTTAAAAACTGTTTTCTTGCAGGAAGTTGTAAAAATATTTTTTTAATGAGGTTGAAGTTCTTTAAAAATCATTTAATTACAAGAAGGTCAAATCATGAGAATCAGGAGGTACTTGTATTATTTTGTCACATAAAATCTCTTGATTTAAAAAGTAAAGACAAAATTGTTTAATTTTTCAAGAACATAGTTGTTGTGAAATAATAAAGTTGTAGTATCTTTGTAACTGAAGAACTGTAAGTACGACTTAAAACTCATGAGAAAAGACTATTTTTCCTATTTTATACCAGTTTGTAAACACATTTATTTCCACTGTAAAAATCATTAATTTGATATGAGGCTCTATAGAGATTCACTCACTTTCGGACTCAGCCCCAAGTGGACACTGAAGGAACTGCATATTTTTTTGGTTGCATTTCCACCAGGGCTTCAATTTTGAACCCTGGAGGTCGCTGCTTTGATTTAACATAAGATTTATGCAAAATGTCGACACAAGCTGAATTATCAAACTAAAGCTGAATGATGCAAACAGGCAGGTTTATGTTTTTACAGGAATTTTTTTGCATATTTTTCAATGACTTCAGAAAAGATAATGTTTTTCATATGAGCTCTTCTTTTAGGATTAAAAAATTTGATTAGGATTATTGAAACTGCACCAGTTTTTGTAAATTTACAGCAATTAAAATGTTTGTAAAATCAGATTTTAAACAGGGAATAAAGATCACTCTTAAGTGAGATTTTTCTAAAACCAAAACTAAACGACTACGAGTCGTAAAAACACCTTCAGCTGCAGAGATAACCTTTATTTTTAACACGACGACACGCTGCTTTGAAGCTGAGTAATGACATGTGAATGTTGCCCAATCAGAGCTCCCCGCCACGTTGTGTAAGTCACTTCTGCACATGCTCAGTGCGACCCCTCCCCCAGCTGTGACCCCAGTTGTACATAGCTGTGACACCTGAGTTGTGTGACACTGAGTGTGACTTGCAGGATCATCACTGGGGCTCGTCTTGACACCTACACCGGGGTCAGAGGTCAGGCGGTGTCCATCGCAGCATGACGGTTACATAACCTTTTCCCGCATGCACACGTAAACAGTTCCTGATCATTTGAAGAGCAGATTTATGTTTCTGAGAGCTTCACTTCATCGAGATTTGTTTGACTGACTCACCAGCTGTGACGGATACAGATGCAATAATGGGATACACACAGTTTGTTTTAAGTATCTTTGATGGAGTGAAAAACACGAGACATGTGCTTTAAGATTAAATGAGAAGATAAACGACGCAAAAATGAAGCTACTGAGTCTAATCCAGAGGAAAATAAAAGAAGAGAAAACAACTTTAGAGACAAACTTTGTTTCTGTGATTTTAAAGACTTTTTATTCCCGCTAAATGACTCTCTATTTTTTTGGAGCAAGCCTCTAGTGGCCAATAATGGAACTGCACTGTAGGTTATTCTCCTTTTTTAAGTAAAAATAAAACAGAAACACAATATGTAACATTTTTACCTGGTTATTATGGCCTTTTTTTCAACATTTATGATAAATCCATATACATCTACCTATCATATCTATGCGTGTAGCAACCAGCGAAAAAGCACCACTACGACTCGATTGGCCACTTTGCTGCTGAGCTCTCACTGGTTACCATCACAGATTAGAACATTTTGTGCAGGATAGAAAGAAAGAAAATCTCCTGAGACAAGATATTGTTATTGGACAAGATAAAACCACCAGTTTCTAAGGCTGTAAGGTCCAAAAACCCAGAGATAGTCAGGATGACGACCAAGCTGTAGTTTGACCTCAAGATAACACCAACATTTGGAGTTGATTTTTCCCACCAACAACCAGAGGAGTCAATATCAAAAGAAGGAAATAACATTGTATTTTTCTCCATATCTGAATTTCATCACAGTTATTTTAAAGAAACTGTTTCAGGACGTCGTTGAAGAAGTTTGTCGTAAATCTGTGCTCTTCACTCTGGATGGTTTTTTTCTTCTCTGGTGGACGGTGGATTTTCTCCGCAGTATCTCAAACAGCTGCTGAGCTTTCAAAGTCCAGTCCATCATCCTCAGCCTCATGTTAACACACCAGCACACGCATGACCACTGCTGTGTGTGTGTGTGTGTGTGTGTGTGTGTGTGTGTGTGTGTGTGTGTGTGTGTGTGTGTGTGTCTGATATGATGGGCTTAACTGGCCCTGCAGAGCAACAATGGTCGTATTGAGGGGGACGTTGCCCCGCGTGGCCCGGCGTGGATGGAGGGTTATGGAGGGTTTTGTTGTGGGGGTTCACGGGGTTGTTTTTTTGGGGGGGTTGTTATGCACGGAGACCCTGAGCCCTGCAGCTGTCGCCTGGCACGCTCCGGCCTCAGGGAGAACCGACAGCTCACGTCAGTGCCAAGTGTCCTGGTGCGGCCGATGGCGTGGGCCTCTGTCATCGTGGGGCATCTGGAGGGGGGTGGGTAACGACCACCACTGCACCAGCACCTTCCAGCTCCACACAGACCCCTCCCTCCCTCCCTCCCTCACCCATGAGGCTGCATGTCACCCAGCTGCTTCGCCCTCCGAAGGAACGTGTCGCAGTTTGAGCGTCAGGCCGATTACAGCGCTCCTGGAGTCCGAGCGTCAGAACCAGCAGCTGTCAATCTTAACCACAAAGAGGGGACTCATGGACGGGCTGGTTTACAAGAAAAACTCGCTTCAAACTCAGACGAACTTCAACGTTTTCCCTGTTTTTTACATTTTGTATTTGATCAAATATTTTCCTGTGTGTGAAAGTTTTTTTGCCTCGTTGAAATTTTAGTTTCATCATTTAAAAACTCGGGCTGAGACTCGATTTAGAAAATTAATCTAATCAATCAGAGCCTTTGCAATTAATTAATCGCAATTAATCAGGTGAGCCAGAGAGTTTGTTAATTTTTCTGACATGGACTAACCGGCAATTTCCACCACATCTGGAACAGCTACGAAATGGTCGTATCAACCGATTGATGCTGATCGTAACCATTCAAGTTAACGTGTCAATTTCCACCGGCTTCTTTCCGTTCCTCTGCTGATCACAAGAAATCTATTTACGTCAAAAGCATGCTGGATAAAGTCTGCACAGATTAACCCGTGCTGGAAAGGAAGTCGGGCACAGACACAAAATAAAACATCCGGCTTCTTTTCAAAATAAAACACTCTGTGTTTCAGGAGGATCGTATTTCACACCATGCAAACGGGCGGAGACGAACAAGTGAAAGGTTTTTAGACGTCATTTCACCCCGATGACACCATGGATGAGGAGATGCTGATTCTAGAAGTCTAGAAGTAGATTTCCTCCTCTGGAAGGACACAATCTACTGCTTACATGGTTAGCCTCTGTGGCTAACGTGAATCCATGGGTTCTTGTGAGTTCTCATAATTCCTGCCGTCTGAAATCCACCATGAAATTCGCCTCACAAACGGACCCTGTAGGAATTGGCATACGGTGAAAATTACAGCCGTTCCAGATGCAGTGGAAATTCCGGGTTACTGGGTTGGTTGTGGGTCGCTATACTCAGAGTCGGACTAACGTTAGCTTCCATGCTAGCTGCAACATGTTTAGCATCCAGGTGATTCTGGAGGCTTGATGTGCTGCAATGACAACGACAAATTCTTTTTCACGTAGTTTTCATGCCCATCCACGCTGGAGCCAATCAAAGCAGATTCATCGGCGACTTCGTTCATTTTTCATTTTTATTATTTTTAACGAGATCACATTACTGTAATTAATTAATCGGAGTTAAGCCCCATTAAAAACCCAAACTGTTAAATCTGTCATTATTTCAATAGCAGAACATCTATCAGGCTGAAACAAAAACACGTCTTTAATAGGTGAGAGGAAATCCAAATCTGTGTTTGTGGATTAAAATATAAACGTTTAAATACATAAAGATGTAATCCACGTATGTGTGAGGGTAAAGAGAGGAAACATTAAACCATTAAACCAGTAAAACATGAGCTCTGGGTCACTGTGCTCTTAATCCTGTCCAGACTGGTTCCTGACTGGATTTACCCTGCTCACACACACACACACACACACACACACACACACACACACACACACACACACACACACACACACACACACACACACACACACACACACACACACTGAGCTTTACTGAGGTGGCAGATAAAAATAACTGTGGAGTCAGGTTGAGTCACTTTTATTTAGAGGAATCACATCGACACGACGCACACAAACAAAAGACGTAGAGAGCAGAGTCAGTTTGAAACCATGAAACCATGAAACCAGTAAACACATCGAAGTTTTTATCGTCCTGAAAACACGACTGAAGGTCTGACCCTGAAACCGAACCAAGAGACCCTGGAACAACGTGTGAAAAGACTTAAGAGTCCAGACTACTTTACAACCACAAGTCCAGACTTTGAGGACCGGATCTGAGGAGGATAGTTTTGAGAAGTCTCTCTTCTCTATGTGACTCTTTCATCATCCTTCACAGACCTCAAAAGTACCTAAAAATAAGAACTGGTGTTTGCCGACCTGTGAATAGGAACAGTTCAGAGAATTTTATGGCTGAACAAGAGGATGAGACCCCCACCTGACAGAGTAGAGTCCCCTTCCACTTCTTGAAGATAAACACTTTTTTAAACCGTTTTTAACAGTTCTTGGCACTTACTCATGCTGTCCTCTACTGCCCCGGTAATCTCCATGTGATGTACGAACTCTCAAATCTACGTCACTTTGGGCTAAAGTGTCTGTTAAATATTATTGTAGCATTGTGATGCCGTAAAGGTCGTCACACACCGGCGAATTAACGAAGAGATGCAAAAAAGTGACACGAAAATGCAAAAGATTCGGCTTACATGACACGAATAAAATTGGCATAAAAATGGGAGAGAAGAAGGAGAAACAAATGAGGACTACATCCTCAAGTGATGATGATCTGGTCATGAATGTAAGATCATTAAATAAAAATAAAAAGAAGAATCTGAGCGTCTGGGTACATCCAATACTGACCTTGTGACAGGAGATGGGGGAGTTTAACACAACGATCCAGGAGCTGAAAATGTATCCTGAGAATTTCGGACAATACTTCAGACAATTTGAAGAACCGCTCCATGAGCTGACTCCATGTTTGCAGAAGGACAAATTACAGAGAGCCGATTGATCCAAAGCAACGACTCACCACATGTCTGAAGTAATATTTATAATAGGCTTTAGATTTACACAGCAGTTCACCTGCAAATGTTCGAAAAATTCACTACAGGGATGAAAAAATGACAGTTCCTTTTTCTCTCTGCGGAGGTTTGTAGCCGGTGTGGGAGCTTGCTTTGACTTTATGAGTTTTTAAAAAAACCTAAATATTCACTTCGAAAATTCGCTTCACTTATTCGCCCGTGTGTAACGACCTTAAGAGAGGAAACGCAGTGAGCATGATGAAGCTCAGCTCAACAGTTATTTTTGCAGAAGTCTGATTCTGCAGGTTTGTCTTTGAAGAAGATTGCAGCAGTAAAAACATGTGGAGGTATTAAACTGCGTATGTTTAATAAAATACTCCTGAAGAGTTTCGAACATAAAAAGCTTCAGTGAAATTCTTGCAAAATAAAACTTCACATATGATTTTTTACTTCTGCAGTTTATCAGTTTGATTCATTCATTTACCCTTTGCATCCAAAAAACTGATCCAGTTTTACTCCTTTACAGGATTTTAGACATTTTAGATGTTTCCTCCTCCGTCTGTATCAGTGCATCACAAAAGGACAATAAAAATACAGAAGAAACAGAGTAAAGTAAAGAAATAGAAAGACCAGAGGAGATCTCTCTCTCTGCGTACAGGACCTCTTCAGTCTTGTTGTCGTGGTCGTTGGCCTTTTGCACATGCTCCTCGGCTTACTGGCTGAACCCTCCACCTATTACATCACCGGCGTTCGTATCGTGTTGCTCAAAAGTTGAAATATTCGCGGTGACATCTGCTCAATTAAAAACCCAGGCCTGGTCTCTCTGTGCCAAACCACGAGTGCAGAGGTTTAAACCGCGTCCCTCCTCCTCCTCCTCCTCGTCTCGCTGCTGCATCACGTCTTGTTCTCTGTTCGGCTGCAGAGAAACGCTCGGCTCACAGTTGGTTTATTATTTATCTGCCGGCGGCGGCGGCGGGCCAACAGTTGCTCTTCAGCCTCTTGTTCTCTCTGAAGCCTGAGCTCCCACCACCTGCAGCTGTCACTTCACCGCAGCGCTGCTCTGACTGGACTTTTACAAACTCTTCATTTACTGTTTCAAATCCTCCTCTACGGGGTCTGACAGGGTTCAAGAGAAACTTCTGTGAACTTTCTGAGCAGGAGTTCACGTCAAATTTGTTTCCACAGTGACCTGAAGTTGATCAAAAGTTTAGTTTCTCTGGTAGACGCAGTAAGTTCAGGGGGCTGCGAGCTGAGCTGCTGCTCATGTTGTCTCTGTTTCAAAGCTCTGGATGCTTCAAACCGGTTTCTTCTGGAAGTCCTGAACTCAGAGAAGAATCCGGCAGATAGAAACACAGACTAAATTAGTTTTATTTATTTGTTTATGCAGGATACACTTCCTTGAAACAGAGTTTTCTCTTTTTGGGGCTTTCAGAGCAACATGAAAATGGTCCACGAGGGTTTTTTAGAGTCTGCTTGGTCTGACAGGACCTCCACTCCTCCTTCTCTTTATTTCTGTCTCTTCGATCTGGATGTTAGTTTTTGGTTCTGGACCTAAAGACTGTTACACAAACTTCGATCTCACTCATTCCTACCACTGTGATGCTGAGGTATTTTACTCGATAATGACGAAAGATCAAAACTCCAAACTTTCATGGTAAGATGGATCACAAACAACTTGAGGCAGATCAAATGGCTTTAGTAAATCTGAATTGATCCGTGGATTTTTGAGGATATACTAAATTTGGATTAGATCTGTCCTAATGGGCCGACTCTTGGACTGGTTTGGTGCAAACTAACGGGTAAACTTTGATCGAGGTTAACGTCTTTGTTGATGCTTTTTGATGAACTGTGAGCACATCTGCAGAACAGCGGCTGTTGCTTGAATTATGGAGGTAAGATCGGACTCTGAGGTTGTTTATTAGATTTGTTGAAACCAGGAAAAATACATGATGTTTGGATACCAAACCGTGTTCTTGTTCCTGGACGAGTATTTGGACAGCAAAGGTCGCTCCACGATGAGTTTTAACGCCCGTGACTGCAGCAGTTGTTCGTCTGTTAAAACTTAAACATCATCACAGAGACGCCGTCTCCCCCTCAGCCGTCTACCTGATCCTCATATCCACCTCTGTAAAGCCTCCAAACAGACTGGCAGTTAAGATCAGGGGCCCTTCATCGGACTGACACTGCTGGCCCTCCGTCTCCCTGTGAGGTCCCTGTAAACTCGCCCTCGTGGCGGCCCGTGGCGCTGCCACTTGCCTTTCACGTTAAAACACTTGTTAAAAAGCCTGTTATCTTTGGACGGCGTGGCGCTCAGAGAAAACAACACCTCACAAACACACATTTACAGTCGCACACACTCACACACACACACACACAGATGGTTTTCCACTCTGAGGCTGGAGCTCGATAAACAAATCCAGCAGAAAACAAAGAGGTCTGACTGCAGGTCCTCCCCCAGATGCAGTTTCATTCACCTGTTAAAGGAAGCGAGGGGTCGGGTCGTGTTACAGCGGGTCACATACTGTCTTTACATCGTCACTGAGACTCTTCTTCTTCTGTGGTGTTTTTGGCTTTAATGGAAGTTTACAAAGACAAATCAGGAGAAACCCACATGTGTACGAATAAAGTTCTGTGGTTTTGAAGCGTAAAGAGGCAGGAGTCCCTGACCACACGCGGTTTGTGTTTTTACAGCAGGTATGAGGCTGAATCAGAGATGATTCAGACGCACAGTTAAGATGTTTCTGGTGTTTGTCAGAGTCTGAATGTGAAAACCAGATTCTGAAGAGATCTTCAGCTATGTTTGAAATTCAGCACACATGCAGAACATCTGTCTGCTGCTGCTCTATACGGCTAAATACGACCAGAGCAGAAAGATAAAAGCTGCAAGTGGTGATGGAAGAGCCTTTGCGATTTTCGCCATATGCCAATTCCTACCAGATCCGTTTGTGAGGCGAATTTCATGGCGGAATACAGACAGCAGGAATCGTGAGAACTCGCAAGAACCCGCGGATTCACGTGCGATATCGCCATAACAAGTTGTCTCTTAGCCACAGAGGGTAACCATATAAGCAGTAGATTGTGTCCTTCCAGAGGAGGAAATCTACTTCTAGACTTCTACAATCAGCACCCTCATCCATCATCTGAAAACCTTTCACTTGTTCGTCCCCGCCCGAATGGAATGAAGCCGATGGAAATTGACACGTTAACTTGAATGGTTCCGATCAGCTACGATCGGTGGATACGACCTTTTCGTAGCCGTTCTGGATACGGTGGAAATTGGGGTTAGCGTGTGCAGATAAAGTCTTGGACACCATGACTCGTGAATGCGACGCTTTCAGAAACTTTTGACTTTCAATATCATGAACATGACAAGATGTGCATTTTCATACAGGTAAACAAAGGCCCCATCGTACTTCAAAATAAAAGCATCGTTTTACAGAGCAGGAAACAGAACAACCTAAAATCAAGACAGACAAAATTACACAATAAAAGCATCACAAGAGTCTCCGTCACAGAGCTGATGATGTGGATAAATTATAGATTTGTCTGATTGTGTTGTTTTTTTTTATTTTGAAGTTGTCCAGATAACCACGAGTTAAAAATCTGGTTTTGTGGATGGCCTAGTGAGTACCATGTCCTCCTGAAGGTGGCGCTGTGAGTGGAGTCGAGAAATAAGGAAATAAAAGTGTTTAGAGGTGGATCAGGATCATGTCTGTGAAATATCGACCACAATGAAGACTGGATAAAAGAGAAAAGTTGACTTCCTGTTTCATAGTGAGCTCTTACCACCACATCTATTTGAGAAGGTTTAGAGGGCGCTGTTGCAATCTGATCCATCCCAGGAACCCGATTTGTATTGCACATGTGCGAAACGTACTTCACTTATGAAATTCACGTCACCTGTCCCAAACCGCTAGGGGCAAAGATGCTGAGCTGTCGCAATAATGGCTAGGAGAGGAAGTGACGTACAATTCGCACATGCGGGTTTCCGGGATGGATCGGGTAGCGACAGGCGCTGTTGAGCTCATGATTCCACTAAACTCAGCTAGATTTCTGAATGAAGTTTTGTGTTAAACGGAAAAATCATTTAGGCAGAAGAAAGAAAGAATCCTCTAATACAGCCTTGACTTGATAAATGTTCGATAGACTTAAACCTGCGAGATCAGGGGGCGCTGACTCCTCCTAAAAGCGAGTTGCCACCTCATGTTACCAGAAAGGAAGACGGAGTTCAACCTGATCCAAGCTTCAAACCTCTGGCACGGCCTTGGCCTCCAGTTCCGCCTCTTACAACCATCAATAAAAGGATCCAAACTTGGCACAGCGCTCAGATTCTGCAGATCGGGCCAACGATTAACGCACAAGAGGCTCTCAGAGCGGCAGAAATCCCCTCTCTGCTGCGCGGTGTCCTGTTACCCTGCACAATTTTCAGGGGTTTTAGCGTCTTCCTGTGGAAATCAATATATTCTCTGTGGTAAAAATGATTCACGCTGAAGGTCCGACCAAAGCGAATCCTCAGCACGGCGGCCACCCGCTGCTGCCCGCTGAAAGGACATGCTTCAAAGTGTTCATCCTCAGACCTTCAACCTCTCAGCCGGCAGGAAGCCAAACAACTTCCACTTCCTCTGGACAGAGAAGATATCATCTGAGGTTCACTACATCATATTTTTACCAGATAAATGCAGAGTTAATGTCTATAAAATACTTCACAACCATCTCTATGATTCTCTGGGACCTTAAATCTGATTCCTGCCAACAAATCAGAACTTTTCTATCGTTTTTACTCTTAAAAAACAACAAGAGGAAATATAATATAATAGGATATCATTTAAATGGATAACAACATGATAGCATACGACATAAGATGATACAATAAACCACAAAAGAAACAATAAAATATGATTAAACCTATATTAAAAACAATATGGTAATAAAATATGACATGGTACAGTGCAATTGACCCTTCGCGAAGTCCCGCCCCCCATGGTTACAGTTGCTACGCCTGGCAAGCTTTCTTCGCCAGTTCTGCTTACATGAATTTCTCAGTGATTTCGGGGGAAGGATATTCTGAAGTGAATCGTGTCAAATTTCTGGAGTAATAGTTCGGAAATATAAGAGAGAAGTAGACAGAAAGGACTGCAATATGCATCTGAGAAATATATTTACAACACAATTTGTTGGCGGGGTAATGCTGACGAAGAGGACGTTAAAATCGAGGCCGAGGCTCATTGTTCATATTGCAAGAGTTGGCCACCCCACGTCTTGACAGTTCATGTTCCAAACAAATGTATTTAAAGGAACAACAATGTTCTTGCATCGCAGGGTAAGTCAATATCTCACTTTATTTTAAGCTAACTTTCATTCATGACTCCCTGTAATTTTCTCTATCAAATATGTTAGCCAGTTGCTAAATGGTATGTTTTCCATTTTTTTTATAGCGCATCAGGATATTGTTCCCACATCATGAGTTTGATCAATATATTGGATATGATAAAGGCACATCATAGCTGCTACTGGACTGGGAAACGCTGGCGTTGGTCACTCATTCACAAAATGCTGGAATGCAAAATCCGGTATGTTGGTTTGGCCTCTAAAGGTACAAAACTACCCATCTCGATGTTAAAACATCAGTAACTTTTCATTAGTTTTGTACTACTGTCTTGTAGGGAACAACTGTGTGCTAGGTAGCGTTAGCATGTTACCTTGGAACAAACATAGTCGTTTTTCGTTATCCTCGATGGATACAGCTGCGAGCGAGGTCTTCTGTGAGTGGGTTCTTGATATCTTTCATCCGACTTGCAAGTCCTGTAAGGGAAAGCTTGCCAGGCGCTCCTCATTAGTTACCATTGCTAACGTAACGGTCAGTGGCGGAAAGAAGCAAAATTGTAGGCGGAAACAAGATGGCTACATCTACGTAAGTTATTTTAGCTCTTTCCTTGTCTGAATGTAAGACAAGCGCTAAACTAACTTTTGTAGATGTAGCCATCTTGTTTCAGACCTCTGATTTTGCTTTTTTCTGACTTGGTAACTGAATCGCTGAGAACTTGGGTGTGACGTTACTTTCAGCTCCGACATCTGACTTCTGAGGTAACTCCAACAATAACACAAACTTAGATACAATACAGCACGACAAATACACAATGACAGGATACACTTTTGTTGTGATTTTAAGCCTTTTTAAAGTGTGTGGTGTTACTTTTTACACAGATTTGCCATCATGTCAACTGCAGCCGACTCTGCCATCTTCCTCAGGAGAGTCACATGACGCTGTAATAGAGGTTTGGTCGTCCTACCTGAAGCGCCAAGATGACCACGCCCCCTGTTGTCCAAACAGCCTCTCAGGTGTGTTTCTTGTTTATTGATCCCTGTTGGCTCTTAATACAGAGTTGCTCTCTTTGTGTCTCCTACGTATAATGGAGCATACCAACATTTAACATGAACATGCAGGACTCTCACTCAGTTTTAAAACGATTGGAGCCGCATCGACAGTCGTTAAAATCACGTTAGCTCCTCCGAACGTGAGCTAGGATGTTTGTGGTCTCGGCTCAGTTTGGTCCAAGATGAAAGTCAACTTTAGAGTCCAGTAAAAGTTCAGATCTTGGTCCAGGACGTGAAGGACCTCTGACTGCACGAGGTTAACACGTCCCAGGAGACACACACACACACACTCACACACACACTCTCACACACACACACACTTTAGCGTCCTAATCCCCCCCGAAGCAGCAGCTTTAGTGTAACTCACGCCGCAGCTGTCCACGGCTGGAAGAATCGAGAAATTGTCCTGCACATGTTCAGCTGCAGCAACAAATGTCACGGAGCACGGCAGATGAAAAGTCAAGATGGATGGATGGATGGGCTCCTGATGCCAACACACACACACACACACACACACACACACACACACACACACACACATGCCAGCGCTGGCTTGATGAGTCATGGATAAGAAGGGCAGGTGAAGGCTGCCAGAGGTTTTATAGTAGAGAGGAGTGTGTTTGTGTGTGTGTGTGTGTGTGTGTGTGTGTGTGTGTGTGTAGTTGGGGTCGATGAGGTCGCGTGGCATAAATCAACACAGAGGTCAAAGGTCAAGAAAGAATAAGTTGTGTCTAACCGAGTTGCTGGATTTCGATCAATAAATCCTCAAAATTAAGAGAAAAGTTTGATGATTTTTAAAGTTTAAGGGTCCAAATTTAGTGTTTAGTGACTCAACGAAGACTTTGAAGGAACGTATGAAACTTAATGCAACATGTCTGTAAATCTTTAAATTATTAAAACATTTCCTCATTAGGACAATAATTAGCTTTATTTACACTATATAAGTTTGGATCTTAAGGGCCTGTGTCCACTAGCAGCATTTTCTGAATCGGCCTGTTATACTCGTCAACATTTGGGTGAATTCGGTCAGAGTTTCATCTGCGTTTTTGTGTTGGTTTAGTCAATAACCAGTCAGAGGATCTCTGTTTTCATTTTGGTCTCATTTGAGTCAAAAGTTCTTCGTAAAGTTTTATGACGTTGGTTGAAAGGAAGGATACCTGCTGCTGCTGCTGCTGCTGCTGATGGTCATGCTGGTTTTTCTCCGTCACAGAGATGCTTCACCGTCTAACCTTCAGACAGGTGCTCAGGTGTCTCTCTTCCCTCCTCCTGCTTCTTTTAACTCTGATGAAACCTAAAGCTGGAGGGTGTGTCTGTCTGTGTGTGTATACCTGTGTAGTCGTGTGTGCATGTGTGTGTGTGTGTGTGCCCTACATTCCCAGCATGTCCGCGGTCTCACTGAGCATTAGTAGACACATTAACCGGCATGCCGCATGACTGAGGAGACAAACTGCAGTGTTTACTTCCACCTCAGGGGGGCAACAGTGAGCTGGTAGAGCATCAAACTCTGATTCAGTCACTACAGACTAATTAAGTTAAAGTCGTATCAAAGGAAAAGTTCCTCTTGTGTTCAGATCAGGACTTGAAGTCAAAGATTAACTTCCTCTCTAGTGTGAGTCTGCAGGAAAGTCTTGAAATAAACCCGATGTGCACTCTAAAGTGAGCATCCTGCAGAATTTCTAACATCATGTCTGCTGTTAAAGAAATTTGGAGAATAACTTCAGATCTACAGGACGTATTTTTTCCCTCATGGCTGCAGAGGACTGTAGGAAACTCCTGCAGGTCTTGATTCCCACAGATTCCCCCCCGTCCTGGGCTAAAACTGTCCCTGCTCCAGATACTGGGAGATGAATCCAGTCCAACATGACATGTGTTTCCATGATCCTCCTGTTGCTCTGCTGGAGAGTCGCTTTGGATAAAGAGAGTCAGCAAAATGCCTGAAATGTAAAATGAGAGAGCAGATTAAACCAGAGCCAACTCCGGGGTCTCAAATCATCCCTCTGAGAGACGTTCAGGGGCCGCTTAAACCGTGGGACGACGGGCTGTTTGTGCAGGATGGTGTGGTAAAATGTCAGGAAGGATTAGAAAGGCTTTTATACTGTTAGGGCAAATAAATTAATGATACAAAGAGAAAAAAATGACTTTATAATTTAAGTTTTGAGCCTTTATAGGAGGAGACGGGACAGAGGACTGAGCAGGAAACACGGAAGGAGATTTTAAAGGTCTGAAGATCTGCTGTTTAAGACGAGAGGTGTTTTAATAATTTACTCTCTATTTCAGGATTCAACACTATTTTCAGTCTAAAGTTAAAGATAGTAGACAGAGAGGAAACAGATAAAATACCAGAAATAGTCGGGCAGACCAGACCAGAGTTGGATTACTTGAAAAAAAACATGAAGTCACACCTTAAAAACCACAAACAAACGTCGTGAGTTCTGATCTTTAAAGGGATATTTCAGTGTTTTTGTTCCTAGTAAGTGTTTTAACCACAATTGATGACGGTCAGCTCTGCTACAGCTTTCTGTAAACGTTTGTCAAAACTGATAAAGAAGTTAAACCCAACAGAATACAGCAGAGGACACCTGCTTTGTTAACCACACATAATCAACCTTCACTTATAATCCTTTGGCTGGATCGTGTGTTTTGGAAAGAACATACAAACAAATGAAGTATTTCTCCTTCCTGTCCAGCTGAACTCGGTGACGCAGCTCTCGCCCGATGGAAGATTCTCCGACCCTCACTCAGCTCTCGGGCTCTGCATAATCCACATGATCTCGTGGATTCATTAAACCGGTCCTGACGCATGCTATCCTGCAGACACATACCCAGAGAAAGGTCTCATGCCCTGGGCACGGGCGGCCTGGCCCTCAGTGACGCTCCGGACTAAAATAGTGTCATAAAGTCATCCATCAAAGAAGTGGGCCAAGGGTCAGCGAGGAGCTGGCAGCCGAGGGAAACCACAACGGGAACATCCCAGAATACTCCTGAATTCACACCGCTCAATATTTAGACCCCAAAGTGTTTTTCCTTCCTGTGATCAGGACTTTCTTTTTTCAGTTCCCGTCTCTAAAGGTCAGACCCTGAGTCTGCAGAAAGAGCATTTCAAACATTTATAATTACATTTACTGGGAATGTGGGCCGAGCGTTTCACACGCAAGGAGACTGTCTGAGCTCTCTCGTGGTGCGTTCAAGGACAGTTCTTCAAGAAGTCTTTATTTTAGATGAAGTCTGAAAAAACGTGAATGTTTCATTTTCCTGTTCTCCATTTTTCTTTAGAATATTTGTCTGTAATAAAAATGTGTTCACGCTTTCCAAACTGTATCTGCGCTTCCAAAATATTTTTATATTTATTTATATTTTAATTTTTTATTTATATTTTCATTTTTATTATCACTTTATATTTTATTATAAATATTTATATTTTCAAAATTTAACAAAATCATTATCTTAACTACCAGATTTGTATTTATTTTACTTTATTGAAATCTATTTTTAAAAGTGTCTAATCTTCTCTCAGAGGGATGCTAAAGCTAGTTCTCTAGCAGCCGCTGCTTCTTCTTCGTTTATCTTCTGTTTTATGAGAGTGGTAACCAGATCACCACTTTTACCTCTCAGTACTTTTAAACACAATTTTAACTTTATTTTTTTAATAATTGAAATATATCGATTTACAGTCAATATAATTATAGATACAAACATACAGTAAATTGTAAAAATAGTTGCGTTATAAAATAGTTACAAACATACAGTATTTTGTACCCACAGCCATCAGACTTTATAACTCTTCTGTAAATAGAAAATGACTTTTAGAGACATGGCAAATGAGACGACAGACAATTGAATTTCCCTTCAGGGATCAATAAAGTTCTTCTTATTCTTAAGTCAAGAAAGTCCGACATTTTTCATGGAAATCATAGATGCTCCGTCTCCTGCTTCAGAGCCAGCATCCCTGATGGTGTGGGGAAGTGGACCAATTCTGTGGAAACCTGGTTCACACTGAGTTCAGATTATCCCAGACTGAAGGATTGAGGAGTCAGTAGCACCCTTCTACATATCTGTTTTAGGACATACCAAAGGGGTCACTGCTGAACACGGGTCTACAACATGGTCCAAAGAGAACGGGTCCAGAGGCTCCAGTTTGAGCCTCAAATCCGTCCAGTGTGAGAAAAATCCTCCCTGACAAAGATCAGACACGTCTCAGCCTGAAACTGATCTCCGCTCTGAACCCAAAACAAAATGAAAACCAAACAAATCAGGACCCTCTTCCCATGCTCCCCTCCATTCATATTCAACCAATCAGACAATAACAAACCTATTAGTGCTCATCATCACCCATAAATATCAAACAATCGCCCGGCCCAGATGGGGAGGATTATGTCGCCTTAAAGTCATTACCATCACATCCTCTCCTTAAGCTTCCAATTCCCCCTCTCAGCTGCATTGTAATACCCACCTCGGATCACTTTCCCGTATTAAACTCACTGTTTGACGATGGTCTGCCCGAGTGGAGGGCATTTGTTTTAGCACGCCGAAACAAAAGCATTAATAAGCTCAAGTCTGGAGCGTGATCTGATCAGTGGAAACAGGCCGATCCTGGCCGGTCGAGGCTCTTCCTAGGTGGCGGTGTGAGGTTTTCCTCCACGCCTGCCCCCTTTGAAGTGAGGACAGTGCATGTTTCACGCTGAAAGTGGCTGTCAGAAGTCAGGCTGGGCTTATAACGGGCCGAAACATGAGAGCCCAGAGGGGCTTAGGCTTCCCCCGCCAGAGTTTTGATATCAATTAGATTTGAGGTCACCTGATACCGCCAGGGCCCGGCGCTGAACATCTGCAGGGGATAATGAGAAGAGGAGGAAGAGGAGGAGGGATGAAGCAGAGCTGTGGTACCTTGGCACCGCTTGAGCACACACGAAACATCAGTCCACACCGCTGGATCATGTCAACAGACCAGGATCATCTGAGTCCATGTCGTCTATGAAGGCTCCATTAATGCTGAGCTATATCTGCAGGTTTAGGAGCAACATCTGCTGCCATCAAGACCTTCATATCCACTCCAGTTGTCCTTTCAACAAAGAATTGGAAACCATAGATGCTGCATCCTCAGTTTTGAGCATTATCTCCAGGTTTAGGAGCAACATCTACTGCCACCAAGACTATGACTTTTTCAGGGAAGACCTTCATGTTTTAGCGAGACAATGACGAACCACATCCTGATAACAGCGATTACAACAGCATGGCTCTGTAGGAGAAGAGTCCTGCTGAGAAACTGGACTGATACAGTCCTGACTTGTCCCCCGTTGAAAACACTTGGAGCGTCTCTTCAGTTAAATGTCAAAGGAGATTAAATCAGGACAAAGTTTTCATGTTTCAGGGATTAAACAGCCTCATCGTAGCTGCATGTGCTCGCCACCACAGTCATGAAGACAGAGCCTTAAGTTTAACATTATAACAGCAGCTAAAGTAACAGTCGATCAAATATGCTAATAAAGCTAAATAACGAGCTAAGTGGACACTAACAGCTAACCTTGGATGTCTTCTGTGGGCAAAACTTGCGGGCTGCTTTATGACTACAAAGCTGTGTAAAAAATAACACTCTGAGCCGCGTCTGAGTGTTTTCATGGACAACAATCTAAAGTAAATGAGGAGCTGCAAATCATGCAGAAACTCTACAAGTGTCCAAGACTGACACAATTAAATGTGAATAAAAAGGTTTCCTTTAAGCTTCTGTTTTGGTTCAGAGTCATGGGGCATTCACACCAAGCACGAGTAAAATGATCTGCTTAATTAATTCGCGTGTATCTAGACGTGTGAATGAAAAGTGTTCACTTGCTTCATTCGCACAAATGCTCTGCATGTCAACAAAGTGCTTAAAAACAGTGGATAGCCGTTTAAGCTAATTTCACCAGTGATCAGTGTCAGTTCAACTGGCGGAATCAAGTCAGACAACAGGTTTTTCACAACTTACCAGATAATCCGACCTCCTCACTCACTTTCCTCCAGGCGAGCTCCTTTTTATTCATGTTTTTATCACAAAAGCCGAGGATACAAGAGAGAGAGAGATTCTCCACCAAGCATGGTAGGAGTGAAACACGTTCAGCGGATTCCTACTTTGTTTTTGTTGTGGAAGGCCCAAAACCGTCAGAGATGTAGGCGTCACCGTGTAAAATGTTGCGCCAGGATAACGGCCGTTTCCAGCGATATTTTTGGGTTACCTGAACCCAAGTTGATAACCTGTTGGTAAGGGTCAGTGCCTGGATATCCCTCCAGAATACCGATTCCGGGCTTTCGATCCCAGCTGCAGAGCGCCTGTCCATCTGTCTACTGTGAGTAAAAGGATTTGTATTTGTGTTTGTGTCAATCTTCACGCTGATTGGTTATCGTGATGCAAATATCCGCTCAAGTTGAGATAGTTTCAACTCTCGCAAATTCTTTTCCACTCAATTCGTGCTACCCAATTCGCATCAATCACGCCGCCCCGAGAAGTGCAAGTGCCGAATCGCGTCTTTGCATTGACTTAACATGTAATTCATTTGTGCAAGTGATTTTACTTGCGCTTGGTGTGAACGCCCCTTAAGAAGGCAAACCTTTTCAGCATTCATTCGGCACCTGTGGAATTATATGATCATCTAGAAACGTCTGCTGTGGATGTAACCTCTCCGATATAACAGGTTGGTCGTCAGTAACAAGTGCAGGTGTAGGTTGAGTCCTCTGAGGTTTGTGCAGAGTGCAATCCACTTTAAAGGTTCACTGAGGAGGTTAAGAGCAGGCAAAAACAGGAAGTGATGCTCTCTGGGGACGCCGGTTGATCCTGTCTCATAATTAACGTCCTCCGTGGTCCTCTGCCAACCGCTCGCTAGCTGTACCCAAACAACTCTGAAGCCGCCTGTCTCAGGTTTCAAAGTGAAGTCCTGAACACCAGCTGTAGACCAGAGCACATTTCTCTGCTGTGTGCTGCTGAAAGGAGAGCAGAGAGGACGGAGAACCGGCATGTTTGAGAAAGTGCAGATGTTCAGCAGGAGAAGCTGAAGCTGCTGAAGGAGTGTCAGCAGTTTATAGGACAGCAGCTACAGAGGGGAGCAACAATAACAGACAAAGAGCTTCTTAATTCATCTCAGTGGGACTAACCGGCAGTTTCAACTGCATCAGGAACGGCTATGGAAAGACCGTATCTGCCGATCGTAACCATTCAAGTAAATATGTCAATTTCCACCGGCTTCTTTCTGTTCCTCAGCTGATCGCAAGAGTTCTATTTTTTACAGACGCCAAAGCATGCTGGATAAATTCAGCACAGATTAACCCGTGCTGGAAAGGAAGTCGGACACAGACACAAAATAAAACATCCAGCTTCTTTTCAAAATAAAAGACTCCGTGTTTCAGGTGGATCATATTTCACACCTTGCAAACGAGCGAAGACGAACAATGAAAGGTTTGTAGACATCATTTCACCCCGATGACACCATGGATGAGAGGATGCTGATTCTAGAAGTCTAGAAGTAGATTTCCTCCTCTGGAAGGACACAATCTACTGCTTCTATGGTTAGCCTATGTGTCTAAAGACAACTTGTTATCGCGTGATTGCACGTGAATCTGTGGGTTCCTGTGAGTTCTTGCGATTTCTCCTGTCCGCAAACCACCATTAAATTTGCCTCACAAACGGATCTGGTAGGAATTAGCGTACGATGAAAATCGCCGCCATCCCTGATCAGAGCCGTTCGGGATGCGTTGGAAATCCTGGGTAAAAGAAGTTCCACACCACTCTGCCCTCATCATTTGGGTCAGTGGGGGGCTTTGGCTAGAAATTCAACCATCATAGAGACCAGTAAAACTTATTTACCCCAAAACACCCTGAAAATCTCCAAGTATGATCATCTCTGCATAAACCAGAGGATGGAGGGACCAGGATCCGTCTCTGCGGTGCTCAGACTTTACCCTTGACTTTGGCACTTTCCTCTCTCAGTAACCTTAGCCCGGCTGACCCCTCCCCTTTCGTCCTCGCTGACCCCTCACCACAGCAGAGCTGAATTTACATTCTTCACCAATCCTTTAAGCTCAGCGACCAAGACGCTCTCATCCCCTGATCAAAACAGACCTGTTGACACGTCCAGCTCGGTCCCAGAACACACTTTGTCCTCCTGGTCGCTCTAAT